TTTTGGCGATCAGACGAACCCTTGAGGCACTTTTGACGCGCCCCTTCCTTTAAGGGCCGATTAAGGGGTAAGGGGTAAGTTGCACACATCTGGAACCCGAGGCTGCGGCTAGATATTGACCCGAGGAATCGATTGCGACCCTTATTTCGGCGATCAGACGAACCCTTGAGGCACTTTTGACGCGCCCCTTCCTTTAAGGGCCGATTAAGGGGTAAGGGGTAAGTTGCACACATCTGGAACCCGAGGCTGCGGCTAGATATTGACCCGAGAAATCGATTGCGACCCTTATTTCGGCGATCAGACGAACCCTTGAGGCACTTTTGACGCGCCCCTTCCTTTAAGGGCCGATTAAGGGGTAAGGGGTAAGTTGCACACATCTGGAACCCGAGGCTGCGGCTAGATATTGACCCGAGGAAGCGATTGCGACCCTTATTTCGGCGATCAGACGAACCCTTGAGGCACTTTTGACGCGCCCCTTCCTTTAAGGGCCGATTAAGGGGTAAGGGGTAAGTTGCACACATCTGGAACCCGAGGCTGCGGCTAGATATTGACCCGAGGAAGCGATTGCGACCCTTATTTTGGCGATCAGACGAACCCTTGAGGCACTTTTGACGCGCCCCTTCCTTTAACCCGCGCCCTGCTGGGGGTCCTGGATTTCCACGCCCTGCTGGGGGGGGGGGGGGTGTTTGAACACCCCCCCTTCTAACTCGGCTCCTGGGCCACGTAGCGATACGCGGAAGGCGGCGTTCCAAAGAGCGTCAAAAATAATGACGAAATCACTTCGGTCATTTTTTTGGTCAGGTCAAAGGTCAGGTCACCAGAGGTCATTGAAGGCAAAATTTCGCCGATTTCCAGGTCGAATGTCGACAATTTCCAAGATGCCAACGCATAACTCGGGAACCAATAGAGCTACAGCACCGCGGAAAAGCGCATTCGATAGCCCTATTAACGCCCTTTCTGACTAATTCTCTCAGATTTGACCTAACGTCAACGGTTTTGCCTGCAGGGGGCAAAAACTGCAAAAATAGCCGATTTTTTCGGAAACAGTTTTTCTGCAATAACTTTTGACCCAAGCCTTGTACGAGCTTACTTTTACCGGCATCGTGCTCCTCTCGTCAAGACGCATCGAATGAAGTATAACTTGACCTTGAAAGGTCAACTTGAAAATTTGACCTCAGGTCAAGGTCATGACCTGACCGGAAAGGGTCATGTTGCATATCAGTCGATCCGTATCGTCGAGCTGAACACATCTAAGGCGTTTTCATCGCTCTAGCATGCTTCTATCAAAAGTTATTTGCGAAAAACTGTTAGATACCATTCGTGACCTAAGATGACCTCAGGGCATAAACAGGGGTCACGGACACCATTTTCATGTTCAGTGTGTCTAAACCACTTGTAATTCAGTGTTTGGGAGTGTTTATAATGTCTTTCGTCCAAAAGAGGCGCATTTCAATTTTCTCCCATTGACTTATAATGGGGAGGTCGCAAAATTGACCTGACCTTAGGTCATCGATATCAAAATTCTGAGATATACATTTTGTACATGCTATTCCTCTTAGCAATCGCTGAAAGTTTCAAAGCGATCGGTCACTCGGTGTAGCTATGACAGACATTGAAACTTTTTATGAGGTGAGGTCACTTCAAGTGACCTGGTGACCTGACCTTGAATGACCTTGGTCTGAAATTTTCACAACATGTGTAGAATTGATTATGATAAGGTGTACCAAAAACGGCGGCGCTCCGCGCCGCCGTTTTTGAGATATTCGCGAAAAACCACAAGGGGGGGTGTTCAAACACCCCCCCAGCAGGGCGCGGGTTAAGGGCCGATTAAGGGGTAAGGGGTAAGTTGCACACATCTGGAACCCGAGGCTGCGGCTAGATATTGACCCGAGGAATCGATTGCGACCCTTATTTTGGCGATCAGACGAATCCTTGAGGCACTTTTGACGCGCCCCTTTCTTTAAGGGCCGATTAAGGGGTAAGGGGTAAGTTGCACACATCTGGAACCCAAGGCTGCGGCTAGATATTGACCCGAGGAATCGATTGCGACCCTTATTTTGGCGATCAGACGAACCCTTGAGGCACTTTTGACGCGCCCCTTCCTTTAAGGGCCGATTAAGGGGTAAGGGGTAAGTTGCACACATCTGGAACCCGAGGCTGCGGCTAGATATTGACCCGAGGAATCGATTGCGACCCTTATTTTGGCGATCAGACGAACCCTTGAGGCACTTTTGACGCGCCCCTTTCTTTAAGGGCCGATTAAGGGGTAAGGGGTAAGTTGCACACATCTGGACCCCGAGGCTGCGGCTAGATATTGACCCGAGGAATCGATTGCGACCCTTATTTTGGCGATCAGACGAACCCTTGAGGCACTTTTGACGCGCCCCTTCCTTTAAGGGCCGATTAAGGGGTAAGGGGTAAGTTGCACACATCTGGAACCCGAGGCTGCGGCTATATATTGACCCGAGGAATCGATTGCGACCCTTATTTTGGCGATCAGACGAACCCTTGAGGCACTTTTGACGCGCCCCTTCCTTTAAGGGCCGATTAAGGGGTAAGGGGTAAGTTGCACACATCTGGAACCCGAGGCTGCGGCTATATATTGACCCGAGGAATCGATTGCGACCCTTATTTTGGCGATCAGACGAACCCTTGAGGCACTTTTGACGCGCCCCTTCCTTTAATGGCCGATTAAGGGGTAAGGGGTAAGTTGCACACATCTGGAACCCGAGGCTGCGGCTAGATATTGACCCGAGGAATCGATTGCGACCCTTATTTCGGCGATCAGACGAACCTTTGAGGCACTTTTGACGCGCCCCTTCCTTTAAGGGCCGATTAAGGGGTAAGGGGTAAGTTGCACACATCTGGAACCCGAGGCTGCGGCTAGATATTGACCCGAGGAATCGATTGCGACCCTTATTTCGGCGATCAGACGAACCCTTGAGGCACTTTTGACGCGCCCCTTCCTCTAAGGGCCGATTAAGGGGTAAGGGGTAAGTTGCACACATCTGGAACCCGAGGCTGCGGCTAGATATTGACCCGAGGAATCGATTGCGACCCTTATTTTGGCGATCAGACGAACCCTTGAGGCACTTTTGACGCGCCCCTTCCTTTAAGGGCCGATTAAGGGGTAAGGGGTAAGTTGCACACATCTGGAACCCGAGGCTGCGGCTAGATATTGACCCGAGGAATCGATTGCGACCCTTATTTCGGCGATCAGACGAACCCTTGAGGCACTTTTGACGCGCCCCTTCCTTTAAGGGCCGATTAAGGGGTAAGGGGTAAGTTGCACACATCTGGAACCCGAGGCTGCGGCTAGATATTGACCCGAGGAATCGATTGCGACCCTTATTTTGGCGATCAGACGAACCCTTGAGGCACTTTTGACGCGCCCCTTCCTTTAAGGGCCGATTAAGGGGTAAGGGGTAAGTTGCACACATCTGGAACCCGAGGCTGCGGCTAGATATTGACCCGAGGAATCGATTGCGACCCTTATTTTGGCGATCAGACGAACCCTTGAGGCACTTTTGACGCGCCCCTTCCTTTAAGGGCCGATTAAGGGGTAAGGGGTAAGTTGCACACATCTGGAACCCGAGGCTGCGGCTAGATATTGACCCGAGGAAGCGATTGCGACCCTTATTTCGGCGATCAGACGAACCCTTGAGGCACTTTTGACGCGCCCCTTCCTTTAAGGGCCGATTAAGGGGTAAGGGGTAAGTTGCACACATCTGGAACCCGAGGCTGCGGCTAGATATTGACCCGAGGAATCGATTGCGACCCTTATTTTGGCGATCAGACGAACCCTTGAGGCACTTTTGACGCGCCCCTTCCTTTAAGGGCCGATTAAGGGGTAAGGGGTAAGTTGCACACATCTGGAACCCGAGGCTGCGGCTAGATATTGACCCGAGGAATCGATTGCGACCCTTATTTTGGCGATCAGACGAACCTTTGAGGCACTTTTGACGCGCCCCTTCCTTTAAGGGCCGATTAAGGGGTAAGGGGTAAGTTGCACACATCTGGAACCCGAGGCTGCGGCTAGATATTGACCCGAGGAATCGATTGCGACCCTTATTTTGGCGATCAGACGAACCCTTGAGGCACTTTTGACGCGCCCCTTCCTTTAAGGGCCGATTAAGGGGTAAGGGGTAAGTTGCACACATCTGGAACCCGAGGCTGCGGCTAGATATTGACCCGAGGAATCGATTGCGACCCTTATTTCGGCGATCAGACGAACCCTTGAGGCACTTTTGACGCGCCCCTTCCTTTAAGGGCCGATTAAGGGGTAAGGGGTAAGTTGCACACATCTGGAACCCGAGGCTGCGGCTAGATATTGACCCGAGAAATCGATTGCGACCCTTATTTCGGCGATCAGACGAACCCTTGAGGCACTTTTGACGCGCCCCTTCCTTTAAGGGCCGATTAAGGGGTAAGGGGTAAGTTGCACACATCTGGAACCCGAGGCTGCGGCTAGATATTGACCCGAGGAAGCGATTGCGACCCTTATTTCGGCGATCAGACGAACCCTTGAGGCACTTTTGACGCGCCCCTTCCTTTAAGGGCCGATTAAGGGGTAAGGGGTAAGAGCTAGGGCCAAATAAAGGTCATATTCTTGCTCCTTGTCCCCCAATTGACCTAATACGAGTTTTTTAAGCGATTCTGAATCCGACGCTGTATTCGTTGCTGTTGCTGACGCTAACTTCACGGACATAATAAAGTCGCTAGGAACAGCGGAGATCCCAAAAAGTAAACAAAAGTAAAAGTCTAATATCTTGAAAACCGGTGAATATTTTTCGATGAAATTTGGTAGATATTCGTTTTCGCTCTTTCTGAACCGAGCGACATCACTTTCGTGCCAATTCATTAACTTTTTTGAAGGTGGGAGGGTCCCTTTAACTTGACCGTGTCTAGCAAAGATGGAACTCTTCGAAGTCTTTCAATGTAAACAATCGTTTTCTTTTTATATGACGAATCATTATCGCTTGTATCGTTCTCGTTTTCAGAGTCGTCGGGCGGTTTCGTCACCACCCCCAAGCCGACGACGCCGCCGCCGCCACCTCCGACCCAGAACCCGTGGCGACCGGTGGCCGGACCGCGACCCCGACCCTCCTCCGAGGGGGACAGGTTCGTCTTCGCGCAGCGGCCTCAGAGTGGCACACCGAGCCCCCAGGAGGGCCGACCGAAACCGGAGCGGCCACAGAGCAGACCCAGCCACAAGCCCATCCTCTTCGGCCCCGTTCCCAGCGGCGGCAACAGCGAGCGTCTCAACCACCGCGACTTCATCGGACACAAAGGTGCGATACGATTACTTACCCTAGCCCGTGAGAAACGAATGCATTGTCGATTAGAGCTACCTACTCTGTGTAGACGGCAGTGTCGTAAGTATTTTCTTGTTCGGTTCATCTGTTTTCGGTCTCCTGCATTTTCCGTCCGGGAAGGACGGTCATCGTTAACTCGTTGTATTCAACGGCGTGACCGTCTCTGAAGTTTTGGATGATATGCCGTTTCTGGCGGCGGGTATCCTTCAACCAACGCAATTTTTGAACCAAAGAACGTTTGTCGTAGATACCTATATTCCGTGACAACACCGTTCATAACAACACCGTCACTGTTTTCACGCCAGACTGCGGCCTGATCACGCGGTCGGTGCGGGCCGACTTCGATCAGCTGGAGCTGCGCCGCCGGCGGCGTCGCTCGGCCCTGAGCCGGTCGCACGCGGCCCCGCCGGCGCTGGACGGGTCGCAGGCGGCGGCGCCCACCGCCACCGAGGACCCGTTCGCCATCTTCGACTCCCGCTTCTACCCGGAGGAGGAGGAGGACCCGGACTTTGTGCCGTACACGGAGGCACCCCCGCCGGCCGGCAGCGAGGTGGTGGCGTTCACCGAGCCCCCTCCACCCGCCGGGGAAGCGGGCGGCGCCGGGGACCCCGCCGCACCCGACGGCAAGTTTCTGCACGTGACGATCCTGCCCCACGACCCGGACGCGGCCAGCCTGGTGTACGGTGACGCCCAGGACGGGTACGACCCCGACTACTACGACACGCCTTCGGCCGAGTTCGCCGAGACGTACCTGATCCGAACTGGGAAGGCACTGAAACACGACGACCCGTTCGGCATCAACTCGCAGGAGTACCGCGACAAGATCAACCAGCAGCTCAAAGACGCGCACTTCATCACGGCAGGAGAGGACGCCATCATCGGACAGTGGCCCTGGATCGTGAGTAACGACGGGAAATTCAGGACGTTTGTCTTTTTTATTAATTGTTAATTTGATTTCCGGGTGGCTACATAAGTATTAGCCGAGGGGTATCAAAGATTTACATTCTCATTGGGCTGACAATTTCCTCAGCTATAACTGTGATGCCTAATTTTTGACGGGGAAAACATGTCTTCACATCAGCATGGCTCTGCAGGTGAGCTTGTTAAGCACTTGCTACACACCTGCATCATTTTTTTTCTCTTACTGACCAACGGTGTTTCCCCAGGCCTTGATCGGAGAGCGGCGCCCGTCCCAAATTAATTGGTTCTGCGGAGGAGCCCTCCTCAACGAGGAATACATCATCACCGCCGCACACTGCCTGGGAAAGTTCCAAAAGTAAGTAACAATGTTGAATTTTAACGGTTAACGTAAAGCGACAGACTTCTTTTTTCGCCGCGGGAGTGCTAGACAAGTATTTGATTGGTATTATTTATGCCAGTTATTTATCATTTAGAAGGAAATGTCTCCCCCAAACCACGTTCTTTCCTCTACGTAGAGGATCTGAACCTTCCGATTGATGTTCACGGTGCATATTTTGATGTGGCACCTTGTTGATATGAAATCGTCTACCTGTACCTACCTGTACCTACCTGTATGTACCATAATGCGGAGGTAAACGAAGCTCACTGAATCCATCTCTTCAGGAACCGCCTGGTGGTCCGTGTGGGCGAGTTCGACCTCAACTACGACACGGACGCGGCGCACCAGGACCTGCTGGTCGACCAGATTATCGTGCACCCCGAGTACGTGCACCGGCGCAAGCACCACGACATCGCGCTGCTGCACCTGAGCCGGCGGGTGCGTCTCGGCGGCCACGTGCGGCCCGTGTGCCTGCCGCGGCGCAGAGTGGATCTCACCGGGGAGACGACCACCGTGGCCGGCTGGGGACACACCGAGTTCGGTAAGTGGAGGGAGGAGGGAGGAGATGAAAGGCAGATGGACAGGAATCGGTGATGGGGAGATAGAGGAGCAGAAGATAGGTATGACTTTACCCGATAAGGAGATCTTTCCTCGTTCATCGATGAAAGCGAACACGTCAGCCCCCAAAGATCTTAATTGATAATGCTTCCTGATTCTATCTTTCTTTGCCTTTTAATTTTGTTAGTCTCTATGCCCTCATCTGCAGGTCTTTCAGAACCTTCCGATCGGTAAATTCATCCGACTTCTCCGACCTTATACGACCATTCTAACCTCATCTTACCGGCTCCCGTACCCGGCAGGCGGCGAGAAGTCGGCCATTCTCCAGGAGGTCAAACTGCCACTGGTGAACACCACCGAGTGTGAGAACACCTACCGCACTCTGGGCAACGCCTTCCAGGCCGACTTCGCGCCCGGCTTCGGCGACACCAAGATCTGCGCGCTCGACCCGACCGGCCGCGGCCGCGACTCGTGTCAGGTGGGTGGCCGGGGTCGTATTACATGTCTGATGGGTCAGATGTCAGAACTCAGATGGGCTGGGGGGAATTCGCGACTTTTTATGTATTTAGGTATATGTTAGGACTTAGGAGGCATGGCAATCATAACAAAACAGGCTTCATACTCATAGCATATTAAATTGTTAAGCATATTAAACGTTAAAAGTTAGTGGTAAATACCTAAGCTTCCATGCTTTTCAATTCATTCATTAGAAGACGGATTCCACATTAATTCATTCACTTCTTCATTCATTCATTCATTCATTCATTCATTCATTTGTCCATTCATTCATTCAACCATCCATTCATTCATTCATTCATTCATTCATTCATTCATTCATTCATTCATTCATTCATTCATTCATTCATTCATTCATTCATTCATTCATTCAAGTTCAATATCGTTTCGCCAATTCACATCGGGGTTTATTGATTATTGCACTGACGTCGTAATAATCATTTTTCACCGTTGCTCACCGTTTCACCTTGACTTTAAATGGCTCAAAGTCTTGACCTCTGAACTATCTCTCTGACCTCCGATCACTGCCGACAGGGCGACTCGGGCGGGCCGCTGACCTACCGTGACCGGGCGTCGGGTCGGGTCCAGCTGGTGGGTATCGTCTCGACGGGCGTCGGCTGCGGCCACCCCAAGTTCCCGGGCGTCTACACCCGAGTATCCATGTACGTCGACTGGATTCTGGAGCGGGCCTTCCGCAACCAGTGAGCGGCCAAAGCGGCGGGCGGTGGAGCTCGTGGGCCTCGGTGTTCCGGTGTCGATTGCGCTCGCGTTGGATTTGATTGCCTGCGAGGTGTCAAATCATGTCAGTTGTGTCTTGTTTTGTTGACTTATCCAAGATGGTGCGCACTTAGTATATTTCTTGGATGTACCCCATAGTTATCATTATGAATGAGAATGTGGCTATATCTGCCACTTGCACGTGACGGCGAGGCTTAGCGATTAAGCGCAAAATCACCGAATTGTCAAAAGTGCAAGTTTTTGTGTGTGCCAGAACCAGGGCTGCGGAGTCGGAGTCGGAGTCGGAGTCGGTCGGAGTCGACAGTTGTGACCGGAGTCGGAGTCGGAGTCGGAGTCGATTTTAGAAACCCGAGCCGGAGTCGGAGTCGGAGTCACCGAAAATCTGTCGACTCCGCAGCCCTGCTAGGTCTGCGGAGTCGGAGTCGGGAGTTGGAGTCGGTCGGATTCGACAATTCTGCCCGGAGTCGGAGTCGGAGCTGGTTTTTGAAAGCCGGAGTCGGAGTCGGAGTCGGAGTCGCCGAAAATCCATCGACTCCGCAGCCCTGGCCAGAACTGTGACTTTTGAGTCGATAACCGTTTTATATTTAGTGACATCATCGGTTATAGTGCGGATTGTTGATCTCTGTTTATATCATCTCATATTTATGTCGAAGTGGAGACTACTCGGTGTGACTAAGTGATTTAATATACCTATTGACCTTGTGAAGCGATTGCGTTGTTGAGATGACCGGATAGGGCCATGTAAACGGATAACCATAAAGCCATGTGAAGTTGAAATGAGACCAGACAAGGTCCGAGGGCAGGCCCGGAAGGTCATACGACAAGAGTGGGTAAACGAACTCTCAGTGTTCGGCAGATACTATAGGCACCTCCTACCGAGGCCGATGTCTCACGTCAAAGCATGAATTAGTCGCCCATCGCCACACCGAGCTATTGTGGTTGGTTGCATCTGAAAGCAAGAGCAATTATTGCATACTTCCCAAATCTCTAACCTCTGTCCTCTAATGTGATCGCAATAGTGGCCCTCCTGAGCTCCTCAATACCTTGGTTCATTCCAGGCTCCCGGCTCCCACTTGCCTTCCTGCAGCGCAATGAAAACATTAATTAAAATTACACCGCACCGCACACAGCTCTCTCGTTTTAGCCCAGTTTTAGCCTGAGAGTGAGGCCCAACCAGCTGACTGCTGAGGCCGACGGCTACGGCTGCGAATTGCGATGCTGCGATCTGGGAGCCGTGTATCTGGGCCAGAAATTATACGCTAGTACACCCTAGTGGCCGAAACGAAAGCATTACTTACAAAGATTACCGCTAGGGTACGCGATAGTTCGAAACAGCTGCGGCAGAATCGTCAACGACGATCCGGTCCTTTGGTTACTGTTCGTTCACGGCATTTGCGGGCGGCGCTTATCACGTGATATCTGTAAACTACAGCATAAATGGTTTTTTTTGAACTAATTTTGAAATCTTTTTTCTTTTTAATTGCATATTAGAATTAAAAAACTTAGGCAAAAACATTAAATTTTGTAAATTAGAAACAAAAAGTCATTTTTACTCCCAAAGTAAGCACATGACCAAAATGAAGCGGAAGCCTAAAACGCCCTAGGTCTCCATTGCCAAACGATCACTGATTCCCAGCTGTCGGCTTACGGTAAAATATTATTTATTTCGTCAGCGGAGAAGTGTGGTGTTGCGGTGCTGTGGAGGTGATTATTTGAAATTAGACGGGACAAAAGGGTGCCAGAAATATCATACAAAGCACACCTCATCTGTTAGACATAGTGAGTTCTTTAGGGCCCTCTTTTGTCTTAATATTTTCGTTTTCGGTACCTAGCTGATTTAATCGTCGTGGGTGTCATTGTGGGACACGTGGTCTGCAAGAGCCGGCGTGTCTGCAAGAGCGCATGGTTCATAGCATGTGTCTTATAGTATTTGAATCAGTTTTTTTTACAAACGCCATGCCTAGCCACAATAATAGTTTTGTTACAAAACTGTATAGGCGTTTTCCGATGCATTTTTAACCTCGTGCAAACTGCTCTATCCTTTTTCCGCTTTAACAATTGGTTATTATTGCTGCTTTGACCTCCTTTTCATTCCAGCTCTTACCTCATCTAGGTAGTCGTAAAGCAGGCTTCACACTTGTTTTTTGCAAACAAGGAGAGGTGGCAGGTGCTATACCCAGGGATGCCAGTTCAGTTGGTGACATACCAGGGAAATAAGCTAAAATTAGAGCACTCTATTTATTGCTCCTGCCCCATGTTGAAGAGATACCCCTAAAAGCGTGATCTTTTATCGGCCCTTACGCAGCAAGGCAGTAATTCTCAGACCGGTGGATGGTATCAATAGAAAGAGAATGCGTCAAGGATTAACATGAATTAATTAAAATAACATTAAAATGTTAATTAAGCGTGGAAATTAGTCCCAAACATAAGCTAATTATTGCTCCTACCTCGGCGACGGCGCTCCCCGCAGTCGGCGGAGAAGCTAAAATAAAAGCCACCATCCTCCTCCGTAAGTCAATTTTAGAGCGGCCGAGTGGGCCGATGCGGGGCCACCAAACTGAGGTGAGACGTGGCTAGTAATTGCAAACCGCGATAGAAATCAATATCTTAAGACGTACAATATGGGATGATTACTCTGAAGCTGGAGTGAAAGCATGAGTAGATTGCAAGAAACGAAATGCATAGATTGGTTGAATTATGTACCTACAATAGGCACAGCTCAGATGAAGCCATTTTTATGATGTTGACATATGACATAACCCTTCCTCTCCTCACCTATGACCTAAGTGCATTGGCAGTTACCGGCATAGTTTTGAGCACGAGTGCAATTCGCCATCGGACCGCAATACATGTTGCTAGGCTGCTGCAATTACAACGAACATACGAATACTGCCTTCATTTGTAGACGTTTATTTTTAGGCGGTCTTTGACGTGCAAGGGGGCATACCTGTCGACAACTTGAGTTTCTCCGAATTTCAAAAACTCCCAGAATTTCAATTCCTTATGCACTGTTGTAGGTACAGCTATGTTCACAAGTTTTCGTTTCCTCCTGTTCTAAAAAGGATGATATTTGTCGATTTCGTGCGTCGCTGATAGGAGGGTGCGTTTAATAATTAGGCCCAACGCTTTCTGCATCCGCGAGTACCTTCAAAAGGGAACAACAGTTTCCATTTATTACACTATGGGACATGTGACAAAATGACCACTGGAACACGCATGAAACGGAGCTCATATTCCTAAAAATGTCTACAATCACTTCTTTTCTGACACTATTAGCAAATACCATCTCAAGTTAGGTGGTTGACAGACAGTCAATGGAGATCTGGGGAGACTGAGTGATGCCAATTCACCACTTAACTGATAATGAGGGCCGAGGGAAGAGAAACATGCAACATGCACAACTGACAACTTGACAAGTGACAAAACACTACCACTATTGCGCAGTGCACAACCAAATTACAGCAGCCAGCCCAAAAAAAATGCTTTTGGTGGCTAATTGCAAAACAAGTCACTAATAAATGTCTTAGTTGCAGCTGAACACTGCACAATAATCACACTGTTCACACATTGAGTGAGATGCCACAGGTGGTTTGAATCACACTTTGGTTCAACTGCAAATCTGAAGTGTTGTCATGAGGTTCATGCCTCCATGATCACAGCACTTTGGTTGTGGTTGACATAACACTTGTAGTCTGCAGAGTTCCACATGAACTGCAGACACCTCATCTGGTGGTCTTCATGTTGCTCAACTTCTTCAGGAGGCAAATGTCGACCACCCAGCGGAAGCATGGTCCTGCAGAAAAGAAAGGTAATGCATAAGGTACAAACATTATCTGCTGAAACAGCTCCTTCTGTTGGCTGTTATTAAACTTTTAACATAGGTAACATAACAACATGTATTCTATGTATATTACATTTGTTGAAGAAAAATACTGCAGGCTATTTCAAAACCAGAAAATGAAATTATATTGTGGCATAATCCACCTGCTCAGCTATCAGTATCAAATAATAATTAATTTAATATTTGGCATATTCTATATAACACATTCATAGAATATTCTACTTCACGTCACAAGGACTCACAATCTTTCTGTTGGGTGTTTGATTGACGCATTAACTAAGTTTGTCTTAGGTTTTATTATTGCAAAAAATTCATATTGCATTATTGTATCAAAATACTGCCAGCAATAACAAAACAAGAACATGAAATGCCAATGAGCAAGCCCCCTTTCCTTAAAATGGATTACTTTGAAAGGAATTTTAGTTTCTTTTAAGGAAAAGGAGAAATGATTATCAGGTAATTATCAGAAAACCACTCAACCAGCAAGTGGCTGGGTGGTTTCACAGCAAACATCAAGCCAAAACATATGCTTACATCTATCTAACAATTGAGCCATTTGACTACTACAAGGATATGTGAGCAAAATAAGAATCCAATTATCCAATGTTGACTTCCTTGCAAAGTTTATGCCTTATTTTATGAAAATGTGTCACTAGAATATGATACTTATCATCGAATGTTATTTAGTTTACGATTTATTTCGATCGGAATGCACATGGAGTCCCACGCCATTTTCGTCGACGATGAATATGATCGTGTTTCATGAAGAGATAAGGGGTTTCAATGGTCTTTCAAAGCAATAATTTGATGCAAAAATTTGTAGGAAATAATATGAAGCTGGTTCAAATGGCCATCAACCATTTAAAACACCGAAAATACTCACAACTCCGTCCCGACGACCACGCAGCACCGCGCACGCCACACTACTGGCACAATGCCAAAACTGTTGTCACAGCGGAAATGTTTTTTTTTCTCGATTGCAATTGTGGAATTATTTATTAAACAGAAGATGATCTTTCCGAAAAACCGACTGATTTCATACACAGATGCATGGAAAATAAAAAAATCCCGGTAATTTTATTTGTATTGTTTTGTCGATTTTGACATGCTCCTAGTTTGCAGCCATATTTCGATATGTTCTACAGGGAGTTCAGAATTATTTCAGGACCAATCTTTTCCTCATTCATTTTCCCGTCGATCATGAAATTTTTAGAGCGGAACAATTGGTTTCCAGGCGGTCCGAGCGGTTTTCGTGAGAAGGGTGCAAAAATCGGCGTCATTTTTAGAGCCTCGACACCAGCTCAACACAGGACCCTATGGGAGACGGTGAAGTAGCGGGAGCAATAAATAGAGTGCTCTAATTTTAGCTTATTTCCCTGGTGTGTCACCGACTGAGTTGGGGAAACTACGAGGAGCCAAACAAAAATTGGATTAGCCAATCAACGGCTGGAGTGGGCGGGGCGATGACCATATATGGTCATAAAATCAGACAACTTCATCTTTTCAATGAATTTCAGCATTCAAATGAAAAAATAAGGCATAATAATGTTTTTTAACCACACAAGACCTACACTCACCCGGTGCATAATTAACTGGCGGCTCTAAATCGCAGAGTTACAACGCAAGGTCAAACCGTGATTGGCAAATATGGCGGATTGAAACAGACGCGCCAAGAAATGTAAGCAGTACCGTGGTTTAAAAATGCCACTATTTTTATTATTTTGTTTATGGTTTTTCTAATTGTAGTTAAGTTATTATTTAAGAATTAAATATTTTTGTTTATTGTAATTAAATTAAATCTTTTAACAATTTTCTTTCATAAAACCAATCCATTTATTGAATGGCCAGCTGATTGTGACGCCCAGAACCTGCAGAAAAGCCGTTTTCCTATCGCCATTTTCGAGTCAATTCGCCGAATGTAATCAAATCACACTAATTCCTAGTGAAAAATGGAAGCCTTTTCTCTCCAATAAGTGGATGCGATACCGCAAGTACCGGCTTGTTATACCGTTTTTCACCCTTAGTAGCGGGGGCTGCATTTATGCCCATATATGGTCATCAAAAGTCCATTTATTGACCAATCCATTTTTTGACATTCGCCTCGTAGTTTCCCCAACTGATGCTTTCTAGTTTCTAATAAATCCAAATCAAACCTAACCAAACCTGACCTAACCTTACCTACAACCTAAAACCTACAACCCCAGACCTACAACGTAAAACCTACAACCTACAACCTAACCTACAGTGCCTCTCCTTAATTGCAAAAAAAACAAGTGTGACGCCTGCTTTACTACTACCCCTTGTCTATCCTCCTTGCAATTTTTTCTTATCCCAAAATATTTTTTCTCTGGAAGGGTTAAGTAGACACAAATATTAACAGGTTCCTGAACTCCACCTTCATCAACCTTGCCACCTGTGTCAGCTGCCACCTAAATCCAGTTATTTTTTTAATCACCATGGAATACTGGTGATGATTAACACCAAGAGAGCAGTTACTGCGCAGGATGGAATCAATAAAAGCTGCAGGAAGCAATCTGTGAGCAAGAAAACCATGTTATTCATGGTTTCTACTTTCTATTGGCCATGCTGACTGCTATGATATGCTACACTACATTTTATGAATATGATAAGTAATTGCAATAGTCCTTACTGATCAAAAGAGCTGTCATGTGTCATGTGATGAAATAACACTGCTGTGCCAATGCTGACATGCAAAAATAAGTCAACCTTCTCATTACCCACCTATAATTGCCAGTCACAGACAGGACAATAGGTTTTACTTGGCATGATCCTGATTCCTGGATCCAGCCTGCAGGCCAGTTAACCCTGAGGTCTAGCTCATTAGGTTCGATCCTGAATCCAGCTGACAGGCTGGAGAGTAGGGCATGCCCACTACTGCTCTAGACCATGTCATCCTTGATACCATGGTGTGTTGACCACTATCAAGCCTTAAGTTTTATATCATTTGGTTGTCTTCTAATCAAGCTGCTCAGTTCAGGTATTCCAGAATCTGCTGAAAGATGGACAATTACAAAACAGCCCACAATATAAACTTGAACACTTTTGAATATTTGCTACTTTGTTGGTTTGTTAGATAATTAAATTATGAAAGTTAGATTATATTTTTTGAAATATTACCATGTAATATTAGGCATATTCAGATGGTTACTATCCTTATAAAATTAACAATATAAGGCTAAAGGTAGGCGCTAGCATCAACTCCAAGAATGGTCATAATTATATCTGACCTCTGATCACCACTTTTGACCCACCATCCATGATCCCCAGGTGGTAGTACTCTGTCATAGTCTCTCAACCAGCGAGACACCACTGCCACCGCCATGGCACAGCCGGTGCCGGAGCAGATCAGCTTCCCGGCTGAGGAGGAGAAGATGCTCGCCCTCTGGAAGGAGATAGACGCCTTCCAGACGTGCCTGCGCCAGTCGCGCGGCCGGCCGCGCTTCTCGTTCTACGACGGGCCGCCGTTCGCCACCGGCCTGCCGCACTACGGACACATCCTGGCTGGCACCATCAAGGACATTGTGACCCGATACGCCCACCAGAGCGGCTTCCACGTGGAGCGCCGCTTCGGCTGGGACTGCCACGGCCTGCCGGTGGTGAGTGCGGGGAGGGCTGGGGCGCAGCGATTGTGCGAATTGTCCGGGGCTGAGAGTGCATGTCAACGCGTTACGTCTTACGTCGGTGTTTGTAATTGTTTTGCAATGATAGTTCCCATTTCATTAATTCACTATAATCTATAGTTGTGTTGCTCCATGAACCTCCTAACCGATTCGAATACACGGTTGTCGTCTGTCATTCCCAGCTCACAGACATTAAACACCCACTGCCGCCTCTGCCGTTATTTATCACACTTTTTTGCATATGTCAGACCATCCCAGTCTCACAGTCATCTATCATTGTCAGGAGTATGAAATCGACAAGACGCTGGACATCCGTGGTCCGGACGACGTGGCCAAAATGGGCATTGACAAGTACAACGCCGAGTGCCGAAAGATCGTCTCCCGGTATGCGCACGAATGGGAGGCCTGCGTCGGACGCATGGGACGCTGGATCGGTGAGTAGAAATAACTGGTGATTAGAATTAGTTAGACGAGAAGAGGAGGCCACTCGAATCATGGTGCCCTCTTATTGCATCATGTGTCAAAGGACTGAGGAGTATGTATTTATTTGTTGGGCTTTCGGACAAATCAACGTTTTCGAACATATTGAAAAATTACTGCTTAAAATCGTCAAAGTGATGCAAAAATACAACATTACCAATTCATTTAACTATTTATCTCGTTAATAAACGTATCATAATTTCCACCTCTACGCCTCCGGCAGATTTCCGTAACGACTACAAGACTCTCTATCCGTGGTACATGGAGAGCATCTGGTGGGTATTCAAGCAGCTCTTCACCAAGGGCCTGGTTTACCGCGGCTTCAAGGTGATGCCGTATTCCACCGGCTGCAACACGCCGCTCTCCAACTTCGAGTCCGGCCAGAACTACAAGGACGTGGTCGACCCGGCAGGTATGCCGTCAGGAGACTGTTGCGATCAAAGATATTGGTAACGGTTTGATGTCGCTGCGGGGAAGCGTTGGTATGGAAGGAAACGCACTGATAACTTTGAAATGCCATTGAAAACGTAAAGTCGCATCTTCCGAACGATGCTCTTCAGTTTGGAGTGCGAGTTCCAAAGCCGTGGCTTCTCGGAGCTACGAACCGTGGTGGAGGTTACGATACGACATGCTATGCTCGCAACTGAGATAACGAAGTGTCGATAAAATAGCATCGGCTGGCATCCATCGACTATGGAAGCTTCTCATGTATACCCAGACCACCCATCGTTCCTTGTTCATTTGTTCCCTTCATCCGGCGCCTGTTTCCTCACCACCCTCTTTCTGTCTCATGCCGCAGTGACGGTGAGTTTTCCGCTGGAGGACGAGCCGGATGTCAGTATGCTCGCCTGGACGACCACGCCGTGGACGCTGCCCAGTAACCTGGCGCTCTGCGTACACCCAGAGCTCGACTACGTCCAGATCCAGGGTAAGACGGGAGTGAGAGCGTTCTTGTTTAGTGGTGAGAGGGCAGGGTGGAAACCGGTGATATTGTGTGGCGTCCGAGTTTTGATACTGTTGGTATTCTAGAAGTAATTGTTTTCCTTCATGGGCAAGAGTGTCTGCAACGCGACAGTTTGAAGTAAATTGTTAGAAAGTAATTGATGTCTTCTCATGTCATTTCCTGAGGTCGTTTTTTTTTTCAAGCTACATGGAATGATGTCAATTCCATCCAACTGAAACGCCCCGTTTTCGTCATTTCTGTAATAGAATGCGCTCCAATTACATCATTTGCCCGAATGAAAGCGCTCCACTGACATCGTTGTTCACCCCGCAGAGAAGCAGTCTGGGAAAAAGTACATCATGATGGAGGCCCGCCTGTCGTCCATGTACAAATCAGAGGACGACTACACCGTGATGAAAAAGATGAAGGGCTCCAAGCTGAAGGGCAGGCCATACAAGCCACTCTTCAACTACTTCGAGAAGGTAGGCTGAAGGGACATAGTGAAGGTCCGTTGTCATGACATTATTTGTGCATAAAGACGCACGAGGGATCAGGGATAACATCCCTGCCGAGCCTATTTGTCTATTAGTGTAGACGCACGCTACACTGCTAACAGTGTATGGTACCTAGGCTATCTGACCATATGTCACAGCCGTCTGACCACATCTGTCTCTCCTCCCGCAGATGAAGGCGTCGGGCGCGTTCCACGTGCAGACGGACACCTACGTCACGGAGGAGTCCGGCACGGGCGTGGTCCACCAGGCGCCCTACTTTGGCGAGGACGATTACCGGGTGTGTCTGGCGGCCGGCATCATCACCAAGGACATGGAGATGGTGTGCCCGGTGGACGCCAGCGGCAGGTTCACCGAGCCCGTCACACACTTCAAGGGACAGTACGTCAAGGTACGGATGGCGGTGTGGGGAAATGGAGCCGAGGTATTCTGGTAAACTAATGAGTTTTGTGAATGCTGATAAGTAGTTTCGTTCTTGCGTGTTGACAATTCAGTGTCTTTTCCGCTCCAATAAACGGGTTTTGTTAATGCCGCTCAATCTCATTCTTGCCAGCTGTTGATAATTTGGCTCCTTATCGCCACTGTCATGCTTCTGAGTTACGTCTTAACTCTTAGCACAAATCATTTAAATCTTAGCTGAATACCGTGCCGCGGCCTGCCCTGGATACCGGGTGTCCAATGACCCGGCTGACCCTCCGGCCGGCGGCTATAGTACCAGAGTCGGCAGTCCGACGAACGGGCCAGACGTCGCCCGGACGCCTTCGTACGACCGACCTCAAACGGAAACACGAATAATATTGTTTCCACGATAATTTACTAGTAACTCCCTACCTCGTGAACGAGTAGCCCCCTAAAGAGTGAACGACTTGAAATGAATGAAACTCCCAATAAATGAATGAGTGCATGTGTCTTTCAACAAAGTGAAGTATTTCGTGCAACGTTTATTATAATGGTCGTCTCGAACATAGTTCATGTCTAATGAGATTACTGCTGTTTTGTACTCGCAATTCTCAATGCATATTGTCTACTTGTCTCAACTGATACGACAGTTGAACATTGCCCAAGCAGTCGTACCATTGTGACGTTCCATCACCGAATGACGTCACCCTTTCGTTCTCCATCAGGACGCCGACAAGAACATCGTGAAGCACCTGAAGGAGGCGGGCCGGCTGGTGGTGTCCGCCACGTGCAAACACAGCTACCCGTTCTGCTGGCGCTCCGACACACCGCTCATCTACAAGGCGGTACCTTCGTGGTTCGTGCGCGTGGAGCACATGACCCAGGAGCTGCTGAAGAACAACAGCCAGACCTACTGGGTGCCCGACTTCATCAAGGAGAAACGGTGGGTGATGCGGCTGCCGACAATGATCAAACGATGGCCATTGCAGGGAACGCTGCTTGGACAATCGGTTTGTAGTCATTCCGTAAGACTAGCAATATGCTCGAAGTGTTCATTCGGTTACTTGTGAGTTGCTTGTTGTTTTTCTTAATACCGCTCCGTTTTGTCTACCTGTCGGGTATTCGGCATATATTCTGCCTCTGGGGCATTCCACGATAGATCGTACCACTTTTTTCCAATTTGATACCCTCATCTCTCGGATTTTAACGATAATTGGTCTAAGGGGTAATCAGGGGCTCTGAATCCTCCTGTAACAATTTCAGGCTTATCAGATGAGTGGTTTTTGAGTTATAGTGTATAACATGTTTTGGATCTTGCGTTGCAGCCCCAAGTTTGGCGGGCTGTAACTCTAAGACGGATAATCCAAATGCCAAATGCTATACGGCATTGAGCTTGCATTGAAACAAAGAATAATATGCATTTTTTAAAATTTTGAAATATATACTATTTTTGATATATAACACCTCAAGTTTCCTTTCATTTACATTTTTATGCCTTTGGGACCAATTTTTTTTTGAATTTTTATTTACTTAAAAACATTTTTGGATCATTTTTAAGTAGTATGCAAAAAATTAGGAAGGTGATCTTTCTATAAATGTACATATTTTGCGTCACCGTAATGGTCTCGAATTGTGATTTCGGAAGAGAGCCTACAAATGGTGTGGTAAAGCTGCCTAGTGACATCACTGGTTACTGAAAGTTCAATTGAAGTCATTTTTGCCTCACTTTTGCATTGTTGACCTTGCGTGACGTCATTCGTACGTCACTAGGGTCATAAGAGTTTTTCGTCAATAACTCTCGATCAAATTGAGCTAGAGAGACGGGAAGGCTACCAATGGACTCGGGAAGACCTTGCGAATCGAATGATGTGCAAAATGATCCCATTCACCTAGCTTCGTGGCCTGACCCGACTGTTAACCATCTCTGTAGCGGCGCTGTTTGTCCAGCGCCGCGCTGGTTGGCTTTGCCGCGGACTCGGGGCGGTCACGTGATGCCCGGGGGCTGGCTGCCGGCTGGGCCGCCCGGTCGGGGCGCGGAGCCAAATACACGGCAGTGTGCTTACCCGAGGTCAGCGACTTAAGCTGGCTTCACCAGAACAAACAGTATACCATTCGACGCGCCGGAACTAGGCAAACACAAAGATGCTAAAATCGCGGCTCTGCGACCATTTGTTGCGAAGTTATCTATCAAAAACCGGACCCGTAATTTTGGGTCACTTGAAATGACCTCAGGGGTCACCAATGAACCCGAGACCTTAAAATGTGGTATCATTCGATGCATCTTGTAACGGCGCACATGCTCGTTTTTTCCGCAAGGTTCTAGCTCCATTAGAGGCGAAACGGCGAGCTGGGGTCGTACCGACCCCCGGGAAACCCATTTTGTATACATTTAAATGAGGATGTTATAGAAAGAACACCTTTCTAATTTTTTGCAAGTCGATTTTAACCCTATTAGTGGCAGGGGGGGGGGGGGTTGTTTTCATCCACCCCTCAGGTTTTTCGGGAATATCTCCGAAACCGCTGAAGCTACGATGCTGAAATTTTTTGACTTTTCCTAAAACTAAATTGGGCACATTCCCTGAAAATTTCAAGTTCATAACTTTACCAGGGGCGGCTCCAGAGCACTGGGAATTGGGGGGTCCTATTCGTGAAGCGAGTCATTTGGGCGATGATCACGATGCTGATGTATTATAACTGTATGCACCAGTTTTATCATGTGATAACATATACAAAGTTATTGTGCATCCTCTTTTGACACGTTTTTGCTATAATAGGCGGATCCAGGCGTCCAAAAAGGGGGGTTATGTTTTACCTCCCAACATAGGTGCCCTGACACCGCCTATGCATGACCAATACAATTGTAGTCGTTCTCTCATAAGAAAATTGTAACATAACAAGACCATTACCACCCTTTTTAGAAACAGCACCAACAAAAACCTTATTTACTATACTTTTTGTGTACCCCCAATCTCAATGATCTGTATCCGCCTATGATTTTTGAAAATGCATATTTTTAGGATCCATGTGAATTCCTGGTTCATTCTCTATCGATCGGCAAAAGTTGCGTTAAGATTGGTTCAGAAACCTGGCCGTGATAAACAGTCTAAAATGTATCTGCAATTTGCCCGTTTTACCCCCCTCAACCCCCTTTTGACATTTTCTTAATTTTTATTTTTTAGAAATGTAGATCACGTTGAGCGAAATCGAATGCCGTTTGAATTTTGAAAATCGGCCCGTTAAATCTCGAGATATCAAGGGGGGGGGTCGTAAACAGCCCCCCCTGCCACTAATAGGGGTAGCCAAGAGCCTGCCACTAATAGGGTTAAAGGACCTGAGATTTATTTTGAAGAAATAAAAATGGCAAAAATTTTGGTCCCAAGGGCCATTATAGACAATTTAAAAAAATGCTACGACTTTTTTTCAATATGCAAAGCTTTTCTTTCCAATTTTAAAAATACTGTATTTATCTTTGATTCATCGTTAGTTCAAAGCTGTTTACCGTTTGTTGCTTGCTTAGCTCGTTTTTGAGTTATAGCTCATCAAATTCACCCTTACAATCTAAAGTTTAGAAAATATTATGCAATGTAACTCAAAAAGTTTTCATCTGAGAAGTCTGATATTTTGGCAGGTGTTTTTGGAGCCTATGATTACCCATTGTACCAATTTTCATTCAAATCTGAGAGATGAGGGTGACGGGCCTGGTACGATCTATCGTGGAATGCCCCCTCTACCACTGGTCTCTGAGTTCCGTAACAAAACATGTCACCAAAACAAACCACAAACAAACCAGGACCAGTGGAAGCATTGTCATTTGCAAATATTTCGCGTCAGCTGTCGAGTGACGCCCTGCTCCCTCGGTTCGCTCCGCCAGGTTCGGTAACTGGCTGCGTGACGCGCGCGACTGGGCCATCTCCCGTAACCGGTACTGGGGCACGCCGATCCCGCTCTGGGTCTCTGAAGACATGGAGGAGGTGGTCTGCGTGGGCAGCATCGAGGAGCTGCAGAGGCTCACCGGTGTCACCGTCGACGACCTGCACAGGGAGATGTGAGTCGGCGGTGCGGAGGTGGGGGAGGGAGGCTGGAATCCGCGGGATCGGAAGTGAGCGAGAAGAGCTGGCATACATCGTGGACGGTTCACCTAGAATGGAACTATGATTAATGGTAGTTTCCCGAATTCCAGAATTCATTGTTATTTGATTTTTAGATGTTTTGCTGTGAATGGCCTGATTCACTTATGCGAAATAAATATGTCGAGTGCCTCTCTGGTTTCCATTCTGTGTTCGATAGACTGCTGCTTAGCCTGTAACTTCATTTCAAGCCAGTTCATGCTAGGTACTGACTAGTAGCTTGTCTTCGCCACCCTTGCTGTGATACTGGTCACCGAACCCTGCCCTCTCCCCTGGCAGCGTGGACAAGCTGACGATTCCGTCGCGCCGGCCGGGCCAGCCGCCGCTGCGGCGCGTCACCGAGGTGTTCGACTGCTGGTTCGAGTCGGGCTCGATGCCGTACGCGCAGGCGCACTATCCGTTCGAGAACCGGCGCCAGTTCGAGGACTCGTTCCCCGCCGACTTTGTGGCAGAGGGCATCGACCAGACCCGCGGATGGTGAGTACTGAGTACCGTAAGAGGGATAGAAAGGCGCAGTGGGATGACCGTGAGGATGTGGTTAGACTGTCTTTTTAGTTCTGGTAAACTCTAGAGCTCTGATGATTCTGCCCATGCCTGATTCATGATTGTGGAAATAGGTATTAGGCCGAGACACATGCTGTCGATGTTCCAAGTTGACGCCAACCTACCTCCTCCCTCGGCCAGGTTCTACACTCTGCTGGTGCTTTCGACGGCGCTGTTCGACAAGCCGCCGTTCAAGAACCTGATCGCCAACGGCATGGTTCTGGCCGCCGACGGACAGAAGATGTCCAAACGGAAGAAAAACTACCCCGACCCGATGCTGGTGAGATTGGGGCTAGAAGGGTCAACTGAGGGGTATAACTGTCATTGAGGCTTACAACGAGGTGATAAGGGCCTGTGTTCACCCGGTGTTGTTACTCTTTTAGGACGTGTTACGTAAGTGTTTCAGCATCTGTCGATGCCGGCTGTATATACGTGGCCCTGTGTGTTGTGTTGTGGTGGGGGCTTTGTGAAGTATGTTCTGCCGCGGCCTGCCCTGGGTACCGGGTGTCTTATGACCCGAGTGACCCTCCGGCCGGCGGCTATAGTAGCAGAGTCGGCAGTCCGACGAACGGGCCAGACGTCGCCCGGACGCCTTCGTACGACCGACCTCAAACGGAAACACGAATAAGATTGTTTGAATGTTTCTGCAATGCACAGTGCACTCTGCCTGACTTGACGTCCATGCATTGGTCTCAGGATGGCAGCTCGGAGTGGTGCCAACCATTATTCTATGAATTATCACCTCCTGCAGACATTGCGTTACTCGAGTGTCTAGAGAAGGACTTCTTTATTTCCGTCTACAGATCGTGGAGCGGTACGGCGCTGACGCGCTCCGTCTGTACCTCATCAACTCGCCAGTGGTGCGCGGCGAGAGCCTGCGCTTCAAGGAGGAGGGCGTGCGGGACGTGCTCAAGGACGTCTTCCTGCCCTGGTACAACGCCTACCGCTTCCTCGTGCAGAACGTGCACGGCTTCGAGAAGGTGCTTGCGAGGAGCTGGGATTCTTGGGGTCGTGCTGGATCGTTATGATTCTTTAAAAATGAGAGATAGGGATACTAGGATAATGAATCGCAAGGTGATTTTCGAGCTGTGATGTGTGAGTACTGAGTAGGGTGAAGTAAATGATCGTAGGGTATGGGAATGGACATCGACTGTCAACAGTAAAAGTCTCATTGGTGGCTTGAACGTTCCCTACGCTCCCTGTTTTCGTTTCTAAGTGTCGCCTGTCGTCCTCAGGACACGGGTGAGAAGTTTATGTACGACGAGGGTAAGGTGGTGCCGTCGACCAACCTGATGGACCGCTGGATCGTCTCCTTCACACAGTCGCTGCTGCTCTTCGTCAAACAGGTGAGGAGCGGCTAACGGGAACTGTGATGGTGGCTTGAGGGAGAAAGGAGGCTGCTCATATTTGTAGCCCATCTGTTTGCTACACAGTTGGCGGGCTAGGTATGTGTAGATGCTGGACAAGTTATTAACATAAAGACGTCGAATGTATAGGAGAGCTGTTATATTGCTTTGTTTACCGTTTTATCATGTTCACCTCCTGTGTTCGTGTTACAGGAGATGGCGGCGTACCGCCTGTACACTGTGGTGCCCCGGCTGGTCAAGTTTGTCGATAACCTGACCAACTGGTACGTCAGGATGAACCGCAAACGGCTGAAGGTGAGAAACCACTGAAACGAAATGTTCAGCTCAGGTGCATGTTTTCCGGTGATGTTTATAATTTTGGACACGAAGCTGCTAAACGTTTCAACCTGAACCTGTAGCTGGCAGACTTTTTCAACAAGCAGTCCTTACATATGCACTTTATGGAAAACCTAAAAGCTGTGCATTCGAGTTTTATATTATTTCTATCTGTACGTTTCTGATGACTCAACTGTGTTGTGACTTGTAAGCCGCTGCATACTATGTCAATAACGTCTGCCAGGTCTCGCGTCTCATGCGCTCTCCGATCGGCAGGGCGAGGGCGGCGCGGACGACTGCCGGGACGCGCTCAACACGCTCTTCTCGGTGCTCTTCTCCATGTGCCGGGTGATGGCGCCCTTCACCCCCTTCCTCACCGAGACCATGTACCAGAACCTGCGGCACCTGAGCAGCAGCGCCGAGGTGGCCTCCGTGCACTACCTCTCGCTGCCCGAGGCACGCCAGGAGCTCATCGACGCCGTCATCGAGCGCTCCGTCAGCCGCATGCAGGCCATCATCGAGCTGGGACGCATCATCCGAGACCGCAAGACGATGCCGGTCAAGTACCCGCTGCCCGAGGTGGTGGTGATCCACGCGGACGCGGCGGTGCTGGGTGAGCTGGAGCCGCTCGTTGGCTATGTGATGGACGAGCTGAACGTGCGCAAGGTGACGCGCTCGGGCGACAAGGACCGCTACGGCGTGCAGCTGCGCGCCGAGCCCAACCACCGCACGCTGGGCGCCCGGCTCAAGGGAGACTTCAAGGCCGTCATGGCCGACGTGAAGGTATGGTGGTGAAGAGGTTCGGTTCCTCGGGCGGAGTTTGTGCCGCATATGTTGCCAATTAGTGCCTCATACATCATTCTGGCACTCAATACTCATCCTTTCACGAATCGACTTCTGAGTCTGGTTATTGGAACAACTATGATTGAGGTGACTCATTTTACAACTGACTTTGCGTCCATTGTCGTAAATTGGTTATTAACTGACCCCTTCACCCCATCTCGCGTTTTCACACCATTTCCCTCTCTCGTCCCCCAGGCGCTGGACGACGCTGCTCTGCAGAAGTTCCTGGACAGCGGCTCGCTGACGCTGCGGGGTCACCAGCTGACCCCGGAGGACGTGCACGTGCGGTACAGCGCCGACGGGCCGGCCGCCGCCGCCAGCCACTACGAGGCGCACTCCGACAACGACGTGAGTCGACGGCCGATTGGAGTCATCGGAGGGACTGGGGCGGAGCAGAGTCGTCTTACTGACCGTATGACGGAGACTCGTTGATTGGAATATCTGTTTATCCAGTCAGTGAAAAGTGTGGTATGCATCAGTGCAGACTGCAGAATATATTTGTTAGAAGTCATGAACAGCAGTGGCGTCACCAATACGATGAATCAATATTCCACGACAGTCATACCAGCATGACGGATCTTTGGTGCCTAGCAATAATGTTACACTCTTTTATCCTGCTGCAGATCCTGGTGCTGCTGGACACGACGCCGGACCAGTCGATGCTGGACGAGGGCATCGCCCGTGAGATCATCAACCGGGTGCAGAAGCTGCGGAAGAAGGCCTCCCTGGTGCCGACCGACGCCATCACGGCCTACTACGGCGTGTCGCCGGCCGAGGGCGAGCTGGCGCGCGTGGCCGCCTCCCACCAGACGTTCATCGAGGGCACTCTGAAGGCGCCGTTCCGACCCGCCGTCAGCCGCACGGGCGCCGGACCGGCCATCATCGAGGAGACTACTGACGTGAGAGACGAGAGGGAGGGGAGAAAGACATGAATACGAGCATTGTAGTAGGTCTGCTGAGTGAACGAAATGGTTTTAGCGTGTCGTCCTTTCCTAGTGAAATGGCTACCGACATGATGACATGTTGACCTCGAGACCGTCGATCACTCTGTCATGATGTCGATGACAGTCGATAACAGTTATGACAGTCGATGACATCAGAACCGTCAATCATTCCCTGGCTTGTCGGTATGAAGCCCTTCAAACACTCTCATTTTCCTCCATTCAGGTGAAGGGCGCCAAGCTGGCGGTGTCACTGGTGGCCGGTTTTTGCGCCGACTGGACGGTACAGTCAGAGGCGGGCGAAGCGGGATCGGCCGGCGACGGAGCGCAGCCGTTCTGCAGGTGAATAGGGTACCATCGTTCAGCACAGGCCGGGGTCGAGCGTGCCGCTCTAAGGAATCTTGCTCTTTATGAGATGAGTCATGGATTTCCTTCAAACGGTTCATCATGCTATAAAAACTGTGCGTGAAGTAGAATGATAATTTCATGATGAAGTAATTTTAAGGTTACGTTCTTCAGTTGGTTTAGTTAGTGCGAGGCAGTGATTGTAAACATGAACCGCTGAAATTTTTCCCATGCACTAACAGTCTGGGTGCGTTATCCTCCCTCAGTTACGTGAACCTGGAGCTGATGGACACTGAACCGATCAACGGCGCCCGCTCACCGCTGGCCACTGTACTGCTGGAGAACCCGGCCGGCGAGAACCGGCTGTCGGTGGAACAGCTGGTGACGGAGGCCCAGGTCAGTACTGAGGGACGGGGAGGGGCGGTCGATAACCTCTTAAACGGAACCAGCAGATGACTGTAGAGATGAGCTTCTACGAGTTTTTTTTCATCTGGAAGGAACAATGAAAAGTGATGTCTGAGGAGACGTTATACTTAAAAAGACTATGGGACATTTTATTCCTTTTTTGTAGCATTCTGTACTCCTTACGAATTTCTGTCCTCTTGGGCCCGTTCCTCGGCCTCTCGGCGACCACCTGCAGTCAGCCCTAACGCTCCCCGTTCCTGTTCAGGTGGTGTTTGGCCAGCAGCGGAGGAAGGTGTTCATCTACGACGGCCCGGAGGCCGCGCGGGAGGTCACCTCTCTGGACGGCCTGTCCGGACGCACCCTGTACGTGTACACCCGGCCCGACAAGACGGAGAGGAGGCCCGCCTCGTGTCCACGACAGGCGCAGCCCCAGGCCAGGTGTGAAAACGGAAGGCTTGAGTTAGAACTGAAGGGGGGGTGGGCGTACATGTGGTCCGGCTTCAGTAAGAAACGGTTTGCATATTACGGGATGTTATGTTATTGCCTCTCACGAGATTCATGCTTCTTATAGCGCTCCAAGCGTCTAAATATATTTTGGTGCCCATTCCTGAAATTAATGTTCACCTTTTTTCCGTTCGTTGCAGGTTCGTGAACGTGCAGAACGGCTCTCGGCGGGCCACGCTGCTGGTGGAGAACCCCCGCGGCAGCTTTGTGCTGGACGGGGCCGGTGTGGGCCGTCGGGCGGGCGCGCTGCTCGGTCTCAGCACCCCGGCCACCCTCAGCCGGTCCGAGGGAGGTGCGCCGCTGCCCGCCAACGCCGACGTCGCGGCAATGAACGGCCAGACTCTGTTCGTCTGCAAACGTTAGCGCCGCGACCGGCAGCACTAGCGAATGGGGCGCGATGCGGTGTGTCGAACTGAACCAGTCTTCATTGGGGAGAGGGGTCGTCAATGGGGTGGGGCTGTTCATTGGCGAGAGAATCGAAAGATGGGTTTGGCTGTTCGGTGAGCAGTCTGTCTTTTGTTTTACGAGCCCGCGGCTGGGTGTATTAGAAGTTCGTTGTGTGATTCGACTTTGGACTCTGTCTGGGAGGAACAAGACCAAAGCGTGGACGCTCCCTCGTACTTGAAACGGAACTGAACGATGCCGTTGTGCGCGTAGCGGGGCCCGGGTGAAATCTGATGTGGGACGAAAAGCCAGCCTTTGCAAGAGAGATATTTATTCTGACTACGGTGTCGTATTTGGGACGGGGACGCGCAGGAGGGCCGTCCAGGGGGTGGGCGGTTCGCGTTTGTCGGTTTGACCCGTGTGTTTCGTGTCTGTTCGACTGTGGATGGATCAGCGGGAGTGGTGGAACTGCTCCGGCGGTGTCGGTGGTGATCCTCGACCTCTGGCGAAACTGTGGTTGTGCTTTTTAACGCCCCGTCCCATCTGAACGATACGCGATGGCTTACAGCTCAAGGCATTCTTACGTGAATATTGATCTAGGTTCGGTTATGGCCCCGCGTGACGAAGTTATTTGTTGTTTCTAATATAGCTCCCCAGAGTGAATGTCGATATCGTTTAAATCTACCGCAAACACATCAAGTTTTAAATTACCAGTCACAGCGGTTCAAGGATAGTTGAGTTGTAGTGATGTATTTTCACTTCACAATGTCAAAATGAACACCAAGATGACCCATTAACATAATCAGAGCACTTGTACATCTTTCTTGCACCGACATTCTGCTCTGCATTCATCCCATCCACTTCACAAGCACTGACCATGTATCTTGCATCCAACTCTTCCATCAATGGTGATGTGGAAATAACCTGGAGCAAAGGATTGTGTCATAGACCTCAGACATGGAATGTCAACATATTCACTCTTCACTCTTCAGCATGCCCTCTAAGGTAAGATACCTAACCTATTTGTGATGGTTGAGAAATGGCATATCATATCTTATTTTTCAAGAAGTGCTTAATGTTAAGAACATCACCTCTTGGCATTAGTTCCCTTGGATTTTACCAATAGAAAGGTTATGGGCAGAGTCAACATTAAATGCAGATTTTATAATTTATATTGGCAAGGGCAGATTGGTTTAAGTTATCAATGGCTTGCAATCCATGTAAAATCAGTGAAGTGATTCAATAAGTGGAATACAATGCTTAGAAAAGATAAAGCATATGAAATTATAGGTTACCTTATGCTGTTGGTGGTGCCAGCAGATCAAGGCCAACACACTCTCTGGCAATCTTGACTCCCACAGCAAACACTGCTATGCTCTTCACTATTGACCTGCGACACATAAAACCATGATCCAGTGTGTTATCATGTAAAAAGGCAAGACCACTCACCAGTACATAACAACACCTTGGCATGGAATGATAAGAGTTTTATAATTAACTTGTATTCATGCAAGCTGTAATTGAAATCATTTTCACTTGTGCCCCCCCTCCCAGGCTTAATCTGTTGAACAAGCCTAAGTCCTAGGTACCTCCAAATTTGTTTTGCCCATATAAATCACACAATCACACGACGCATGAAAAATCAGTGAGACAAATCAACATTAGGGTGAAGACAAGCAAGTTTTTTACTGTCCCTTTTCTTTGGAATGTCTGCTGAGGATCAGCTTTTCAACCACAATATTCAATGCGTGCATAAAGATTGAAAATTATTATAGTGAAGTTACCTATGCCATTTGCCAATGATACTTACCACCGGAAGGGATCGTAATAAAAGCTTTTCAGAGTTCCAAACACTCCACCACTCCGAGCAGGTGCCATTGTTGATCGTCTGACTACTGTTAAATGCAAAAACTTCCTCTAATCCTCACTCAAATCAATAAAACTGCGACCATCCCACGTGAACAGCAATGAAAATGAATGGTATGGTTTAGCTAAATTGGGTTTATCGAACCTGTCATGCCATTTCTCTGTATCAAAATCCCAAAATAACTTTTTTTCTGAGTAATTGTATTTTTTTAATGTTATAAAATTTGTTTAAAACAGTTTATGAAAGAAAAAATGTAAACTTTGCAAACACAAAAAATATATTTTTCGATGTTTTTACATGGCGCCACCAGGTTCGCACAAAAAGCCAAAGTCGGTGACTTGTTCGGCGCGATTGTTACATTTGAGCCGGTTTCAGCCGGAGATGCGTCTACAAAATTAATCTGCCGTGTATTTACTGTCAGTCAACTGGCACAAATGTTAGCAACTCTTTTTTTTTGTAACACCTACTGAACCACATTCCTGTATTTCTACGTAGTCACAAAAGTATGAAATATTTATAATCGTTAGTCCTTTTCTACTAATCCTGCTAGTTCCTTTTCTGGCATGCGGACAAGTGCAGCAAAATTGTTATGTAACTCGACTCTGCGATACGGATTCATCATCGCAACGCAATGCATGCCTCGAATTGAGGGCTATCAAAGTTGACATTTATCTACCATAGACAGTGTGCAGTTTTGTGCTTATTGCCGCCAAGTTCGTTTGTAAACCTCAAAATGCTTTATATGTAAGCTTAGTGCACCTTGCCATGTGCCCAGTGCATGCGTATATTTTTACACTATTTCATCAGAAATCCGCTTTCGCACTTGGCTTCTAGGCTGTCTCCCTACCTTCAACCGAATAATAGTGGAGGACAGTGGGCAAAATTACCGGCAGGCCGATGACCATCGCGAATTCCTCTGAAAGCACCCTACGGACCTGTGTATGACGCAATTCGATGCGTACAGTTTGACGCCACATTCTTCATCCGCATACGCCGTGTCAATCGTCGGCAAACCTCCGTATCGCGTAGTGGTGTGATCAAGCGACACCAAATCCTGTTACGATCATAGTTTTCATCTGCACCTGTTAATGCTAAACCGCATACACTTTAAATACATCACGTCACCTCTGTCCAAATACAACTTGGCACCATGATCATACAAAGTTTATTTACACCAAAATCAACAGTACACTCAACAGCACAATAAAATGGCGTGGACGTGGCGACACCATGAGCGATGATGACCGATTCTTCAGATCCAAGGCGACGGCGGCGGCCCGGGGCCTAACGACCGCGTCACCTCGCGCGGGACCGGAGCGGGCGAGCGGGGGGCGGGCGAGGGTCGCTCAGGGGGCCGCGTGGCCGTTGACGCCGTTGTGGCCGTTCTCCTGTTTGGTCCGCTTGGCGTCCTCTTCCGCCGCCGGCTCGGACAGACGCTGCGCGCACCGGGGCTGCGTCAGTGTCAGCACGCGACTAATGGGCGGTGGGCACTTCGTGCAATGGGTCATGGTAATGGGTCAGTATCGGCCAGTCCTGGACAGACGTAAACCGGCAGTGCCATCACTAGCAGTTCAAACATCGCGGCAATTTTCATTCTCCGCATGTGAAGTCTGAGAAACAATTCATCCGACAAAACGATGCGGACTAGACCATTTAAAAAAGCATGCGAATGCAAAGAGGACATAGTCTGTCTTCGACAGTCAGAATCTCAACTCAAACTGACTAGCCCGAACGGTTAATACTTAATATGCTATGTAATTAAACCCAATCTCACCTTCCGTTTGACTAGGTGTCCGATGCTGTGCGCCTCTTTCTTCTCGCCGTCGCCGTCGGCGGCGCTGGCGGCCGGCCGTGACGTCATCATGGCTTTGACGGGGGAGATGGGAGCCGCGGAGGTGGACGGGCCGGCCCCTCCGCTGGCCGCGAACTGAGGGCGCACGCGGGATAATGGGCTCTTGAGAAATCAGACATTCGGTTGCCGTTAGAGGTTTCAGGCTAAAAAATACCAGTATTCAGGTTGAAAGTGGAATCAGACAGCCGACAGGTAAAGATAAAAACGTAGCCCATTGTTACACACCAGAGGAATTTAATTCCGTATTGTGATTCAAGTCAATTTCTGACATTAACCCGCGCCCTGCTGGGGGGGGTGTTTGAACACCCCCCCTTGTGGTTTTTCGCGAATATCTCAAAAACGGCGGCGCGGAGCGCCGCCGTTTTTGGTACACCTTATCATACATCAATTCTACACATGTTGTGAAAATTTCAGACCAAGGTCATTCAAGGTCAGGTCACCAGGTCACTTGAAGTGACCTCACCTCATAAAAACTTTCAATGTCTGTCATAGCTACACCGAGTGACCGATCGCTTTGAAACTCTCAGCGATTGCTAAGAGCAATAGCATGTACAAAATGTATATCTCAGAATTTTGATATCGATGACCTAAGATCAGGTCAATTTTGCGACCTCCCCATTATCCCGCGCCCTGCTGGGGGTCCTGGATTTCCACGCCCTGCTGGGGGGGGGGGGTGTTTGAACACCCCCCCCTTGTAACTCGGCTCCTGGGCCACGTAGCGATACGCGGAAGGCGGCGTTCGAAAGAGCGTAAAAAATAATGACGAAATCACTTCGGTCAATTTTTTGGTCAGGTCAAAGGTCAGGTCACCAGAGGTCATTGAAGGCAAAATTTCGCCGATTTCCAGGTCGAATGTCGAAAATTTCCAAGAAGCCAACGCATAACTCGGGAACCAATAGAGCTACAGCGCCGCGGAAAAGCGCATTCGATAGCCCTATTAACGCCCTTTCTGAGTAATTCTCTCAGATTTGACCTAACGTCAACGGTTTTGCCTGCAGGGGGCAAAAACTGCAAAAATAGCCGATTTTTTTCGAAAACAGTTTTTCTGCAATAACTTTTGACCCAAGCCTTGTACGAGCTTACTTTTACCGGCATCGTGTTCCTCTCGTCAAGACGCATCGAATGAACTATGACTTGACCTTGAAAGGTCAACTTGAAAATTTGACCTCAGGTCAAGGTCATGACCTGACCGGAAAGGGTCATGTTGCATATCAGTTGATCCGTATCGTCGAGCTGAACACATCTAAGGCGTTTCCATCGCTCTAGCATGTCTCTATCAAAAGTTATTTGTGAAAAACTGTTAGATACCATTCGTGACCTAAGATGACCTCAGGGCATAAACAAGGGTCACGGACACCATTTTTAAGTTCAGTGTGTCTAAACCACTTGTAATTCGGTGTTTGGGAGTGTTTATAATGTCTTTCATCCAAAAGAGGCGCATTTCAATTTTCTCCCATTGACTTATAATGGGGAGGTCGCATAATTGACCTGACCTTAGGTCATCGATATCAAAATTCTGAGATATACATTTTGTTTATGCTATTACTCTTAGCAATCGCTGAAAGTTTCAAAGCGATCGGTCACTCGGTGTAGCTATGACAGACATTGAAAGTTTTTATGAGGTGAGGTCACTTCAAGTGACCTGGTGACCTGACCTTGAATGACCTTGGTCTGAAATTTTCACAACATGTGTAGAATTGATGTATGATAAGGTGTACCAAAAACGGCGGCGCTCCGCGCCGCCGTTTTTGAGATATTCGCGAAAAACCACAAGGGGGGGTGTTCAAACACCCCCCCCCAGCAGGGCGCGGGTTATAAGTCAATGGGAGAAAATTGAAATGCGCCTCTTTTGGATGAAAGACATTATAAACACTCCCAAACACCGAATTACAAGTGTTTTAGACACACTGAACTTAAAAATGGTGTCCGTGACCCTTGTTTATGCCCTGAGGTCATCTTAGGTCACGAATGGTATCTAACAGTTTTTCGCACATAACTTTTGATAGAGGCATGCTAGAGCGATGAAAACGCCTTAGATGTGTTCAGCTCGACGATACGGATCGACTGATATGCAACATGACCCTTTCCGGTCAGGTCATGACCTTGACCCGAGGTCAAATTTTCAAGTTGACCTTTCAAGGTCAAGTTATAGTTCATTCGATGCGTCTTGACGAGAGGAACACGATGCCGGTAAAAGTAAGCTCGTATAAGGCTTGGGTCAAAAGTTATTGCAGAAAAACTGTTTTCGAAAAAATCGGCTATTTTTGCAGTTTTTGCCCCCTGCAGGCAAAACCGTTGACGTTAGGTCAAATCTGAGAGAATTACTCAGAAAGGGCGTTAATAGGGCTATCGAATGCGCTTTTCCGCGGCGCTGTAGCTCTATTGGTTCCCGAGTTATGCGTTGGCTTCTTGGAAATTTTCGACATTCGACCTGGAAATCGGCGAAATTTTGCCTTCAATGACCTCTGGTGACCTGACCTTTGACCTGACCAAAAAATTGACCGAAGTGATTTCGTCATTATTTTTGACGCGTTTTCGAACGTCGCCTTCCGTGTATCGCTACGTGGCCCAGGAGCCGAGTTACAAGGGGGGGTGTTCAAACACCCCCCCCCCCCAGCAGGGCGTGGAAATCCAGGACCCCCAGCCGGGCGCGGGTTAAAGGGACCCTCCCACCTTAACATTAGATTTGAGTTGAGATAGCCAAAATGGGGTCCCTGGCTCACAATTACCGGTTTCGGCACTCACAACATCGAGAAATTCCTTAAATCGGAAATATTGAATTTCAAAATTGCAGCATTTTGATTCAGAGGGGCTATAAATGCATAGGAAATGCATGACGTCAGCGCAGATATCTAACGATTTTTAAATGTTTGACTAAAACGTTTGGTAGCACGCGGTGGTATATGCTGCTTTGCGCGCAACAAATGCCGCACTTTCAAATAAAGTCGCTAGGAACAGCGGAGATCCCAAAAAGTAAACAAAAGTAAAAGTCCAATATCTTGAAAATCGGTGAATATTTTTAGGTGATATTTGGTAGATATTCGTTTTCGCTCTTTCTGAACCGAGCGACATCACTTTCATGCCAATTCATAAACTTTTTTGAAGGTGGGAGGGTCCCTTTAACTGACACTTATTTCATAAGTTCGCATTTTGTGAAATCTATCTTTACTTTAATCATGTGCATATTTACAAGCTATGAATAAAAATAAGAGAAATATGGACGGTTTTCAACTTCTAGTCGAAAAATGGCTTTAAATGATCCTAAATGATGGTCAAATTACCACTTCGGCGATTTTCTTTTGTGCTTCAGCCTTCATGTCTCGCATATCGGCAATCTTCTCCTTCATGTCTGGAATGAGATCCTCCAACTCCTTGATTTCGTTTTCCTCCTTGTAGAAGGGGTCCTCGTGTTCGATCTTCTTCCCTGCAGTGGCACAATCAGTTCAGAACACGATCAAAATTGTTCGGCGATGATTAGAATTAACATTCAGGTCGTCGTCGTTACCGTTCGCACTAAATTATTTGTGCTAGGGACATCAACAAAATAGGCTTCAGCATGACAAAACCTTAGTGAATGACGTATCTGGGCAGGACTTAAGTACACAAATTATTTCGCAACAAAATTGATCATAGCAGCAAGTACACGGGAAAATGAGCATATATGCGGTGGATAGTCGATAGACGACTTGTTTTGACTTGTCATTGATGCGACGTTCTACTACACAAATTATATTGTAAATGCACAGGGATACCGATGCTAGCGTGTAAGAGTTCGCTGAGCCGAATCCGAATCCGATCCGCTTGCCGTTTTCTCTGCCGAGGATCTGTACATGCAGTCTCGCTCGCCGCTTTCCCTGTGATTATTGTCTCGCTCACCCACCTGTCGAGGATTCACCGCTGGAGTCGGGGACTCACTGTTTTCCCTACCAAGGATCTGGTCTCGTTCATCATTGTCCATGGTCAGGACCGCCCACCGTTTCCCCTGTCGAGGATCTGGTTTCGTTCACCCTTTTCCCTGCCGAGGGTCTGAAAAGACAGCCTCACCCACCATTTTCCAAGTTCGGGATCAGCTGGTCTCGCTCACCGTTTTCCCTGTCGAGGATCTGCCGCTGCAGCCTCTGTACGCGCGCCAGGATGGTGTCCACCGAGGCCTGGAAGGCGGCGATCGCCTCCGAGTACTGGTTGGCCAGAGAGTGCGCCACGCCCAGGTGGTAGTGCGTCTCGGCGATCAGTCGGTCGTCCGCGTCCAGGTGCTTCTTCTGCGAGGGGAATGGAAATGAATAAACATCAGAGCAGAATATAGCGAGAGGACTGCCACATTCGTATCTCATCAACCAAAACAATGTGTGTGGTCGCTTAATTTCCGCACCAATTGGCAATTTCTAAGCATTTTAGACATTGGCAGTTATGAAGAGCTGGTATTTCGAATGGCTCATTAAACACGATGGCAAAATAAAGCCTCATCTTTACCTGGATGGTGAGGCAGTTGCCGAGGTCGTCTACTGCCTGGCTGTAGTTCTCGGCCTCTATGCTGACCTCACCGAGCTTCTGGTACACCTCAGACAGCTTCAGGTCAGACGGCTTGTCCTTCGCTTGCCTGGCGACGATAAATGTGCTAGGCAACAGATATCCAACACAGGAAGCGCTGAGCAATGTTTCTGCAATGACAATCAGAGAAGTTGCCACCAGGAATGGCTATTTCAATCCATAACAATGTAGTAACTTAACAGTTTCTAACTAGTTTATACGAAACCACGATAAATGTAGACATGTATACGAACCTGGTGAAGATGATTTTGGCGAGCTCCAGCACCTCCCAGGCCAGCTGGATGTTGGGCACGTCCTCCTCCTCGTCGTCTCCCTCCTTGGCGCCGTCACCTTCGCCCTCCTCTCCCTCCTCGGCTGGAACACGGCAACATTTTATTATCCTCATACAAATTTTTTTTTTTTAGAAACAAAGTATAAATTATTAAGCTTATGAGTATTAAACAATAGCTTAAATACATTTCGCATTTGGGTAATTGGGACCATTTTCAATTGATTAAGATATTCCTTTCCGCTGAAATGCTTGCCAACTCAGCAAACGTATGCATTGTACTCCAAAAATCCTTCCCGATTCGGTTCCTAACGTAGTCGAATGGTCATTCAATGTCAAATCAAAATGCAGCGATCTATGAATTAGTGCAGTGCCAGTTTTTCTCCCTCGCTAGTGATCGGCCCCCACTGCCGCCGACCGTCATCAGCACTCACTGTCGCAGTCCCGTGACGTGTCGCCCTCCTTGGTGGTGTCCGCGCCCTCCTCGCCCTCCGCACCATCCTCTTCACCCTTGTCGCCGTCCTTGGCCTCCTCTCCGGCGTCCTCTTTGGTCTCTCCCTCTCCGTCCTCCTTGACGGGCGCGTCCTCCGCCTCCTCATCGTCCCCGTCCTCTTCCTCGTCACCCTCTGTCGATTCTGAGAAATATGCCAGACCTGGGTCAGCATTTTTATCACATGAACAATATTCGCAAAATGCTAAAAATGGTGACAGTGAGCGTGAACATGAAGTGGGTTCTCTTGTAAAAATTACTCCATAGGTTGACTGATGTTTATATTTTCATTTTATTTTACTTCTTCAATGAATTAACGTCGAGTGAAAACATTTAACTTTTACTTTCCTTCTTAAAATCTTCTAGTACACTCGAGGGCAGATTGATGTTCCACCACTCCCTATCCATCGGGCTCCCATGGCTCAGCACTGGCTGCTGCCAGTGGCAGAACTGGCAGCACTGGCACTGGCAGGCAGTGCTGAGCAGTGCTGAGGGCAGGCAACACTGGCAGCAGCCAGTGCTGAGCCATGGGAGCCCGATGGGTAGGGAGTGGTGGAACATCAAACTGCCCCCGAGTGTACCTATATGACAGTTAAAGCATCAAAACGAAGTTGATTAAAAAACATTTGATGAAACGAACGAGGCAAAAGGCGAGAAAAAAAGCAAACAAACAAATGGAAAACCGCAGAGATAATAGATTGGTAAATACAAAGTGTAGCAAAACGAAACAATATTCTTGCCACAATGATACGAAAAAAAAAACTAAAAAATGAGATAAAAAAGTGGCATCTACGCTTATATACAGCGACACAGTTCTGCGACACCAACAGGTGACGGTGGAGATGTGAGACTATCGGCTACAATAGTCGGATGCCTTAAACACAAACGGTACGGTTTGAGCATTGTAATAGCCGCAGCTTTCGCCACAAGCATATCAGTGACCGTAAGTCATCGCTACCGTAGAAAACCAGCGCTACGGCGACTAAATCTTCTTTCGTCGCCGGCTTGCAGTGTTCCAACGTTCTAGCGACCGAATAAACGAGGCCCAGCCAGATTTGCAGGCTCATAAAGCCCGGTTGATGCAGTTGAGACAAAATACATTCGTAGTGGTTAGTCATATACAAGCAACTCGTTAAGGCGGGTTAGTCTAGGAAAGTCGTGCGTGCTGAACTAATTAACAAGTCTGTTAGTCTGTTCGATCCCGTATAACTGCCCCTATTTGCCGAGCCAGGTCTACATCTGTACTTGGCCTCGCTCCATTACGACAGCTCACCGACTGGCTTCGCGTCGTTCGGGGCCTTCTCGTCTTTGTCGGCAGACTCGGCGGCCTTCTCCGCAGACACATCAGCTGCCTTGTCAGTGGGAGTGTCCACTGCCTCCTGGGTCTTAGTAGTATCGGAGGTGGCCTCCTTAGCCTCAATGTCGGCAGAAAACACAGCCGAAGCCTCTGTGGCCGGCTCAACCGTATCATTTGGATTAGTTTCCACGCCAACCTCGACAGTGCCGGGCTCAGCAGGCTTATCACCGGACTCTTTGGAAGCTTCCTTGACCTCAGTGGTTTTATCTTCGGGCTTCGATTCCACAGTTTCGGCGTTGGCAGCGGCTGACTTATCCTCTCCCGGCTCGACCACGGCAGTGTCGGTGCCAGGCTGTTTCCCGTCACCAGAGGAGGCGTCTCCCCCTGCCGTCGACAGGGTAGCGCCATCAACCTCCATTTCCTCAGCGGACTCCTTATCATCGGCCTGCGCCGCAGACCCCTCTGCGGACCCCTCCGCGCCAGCCTTGGCAGCACCGTCCTCAGCAATGTCAGCGTCCGTAGCCGTGGCCTTGTCAGAGTCAGACTTCACAACCTCTTCAGGTGTCTTGTCAGCATCGGCTTGCGTTTTCTCTGACACTTCCATGTCAACCCCATTTTCAGCGACCGCATTGGCCTCCTGCGCCTTTGCTTGCGTCTCGCCATTTTCCATCAACGTTTCGCCGGTTTCCTTGTCGATTTCAGATGCCGAACCCTTCCCATCTTTAGCGTGTCTGGCCTTCTCCAGAGTGATGAAGTTCTCCTCGAGCGCTTCGTCCACCTCCTCGACCACCTGCATCCTTTCCTCCTCTGCGGGGCAGCACGTGCGGTACAAGCAGGACACGCAGGTACCAACCCAAGGGACACGCATGCGGGCAGGTGTGTTACAGTGCACTCAAATATGCTAGGAGCGAATGAGACACTCGTGCTGTTGAATAGTTAGCAATATGAAAGTTTGGGGCAAAATGTTGACTATACACATGGAATGATAAATATGCTGTGCTTCGACGATATATTTAAACTGGTAGGCAGCTTATTCTTTATAAATGTAGCGGGTAGATTCAACATATAAACCACGGTTCGCTAATATTACGATGATTTATTTACGTTACCAACTATTAATGGCTTTAAAATGTAAATGAATGATCAATTAAACTTGTAGTGTGTGGACACTACAGACTGCCATTCTTGTTACTTTTGTACTTTGTTTTGGGCAAATTAGCAAACATATTGAAGGCGCAATGCGAGCTGTGGCAGCTCAATTATATACCTGACAGTTTCTCGGGATCCTCCGTCTGCGACGTGTCGGCATCGTCTCCTTCGGGCACTAGAAAACAGGATAACAGCATGCAACAGACACGAGCTCACCAGGCACCCACCACAACAGAGACAACACCCACACAAGGGATTGGCGTGCAGTGTGCACCTCGCCCAAACCAGTCAAACATACATCACCAAAATACACACTTGTGCCACCTTTTTTAAACCAGTGCATATTGCATAGTATTCCCACCGAAGCAGCAGTCATTCAGAATGTGCAAAATGCAGTGCAACTGTGCTGATGAGGACACCAAAACATGCCAACATCAAAACTCGCAAAATAGAACAGTATTCCTGTCATGCAGCACCATATACAACCACCGGCCTCTCGCCAGTCCCTGGGACACCGTACCTCCGTCGAGCGCGTTGCCGAGCACGCCCGTCTCGATGCGCGACAGCTCGAGCAGTGCCTTGCCGTAGAAGAAGTAGGCCTCGCCGCACGGGTCGGCCGTCTCGCCGTACTGTTCGGCCAGCAGCCGGCACGCCTCCTGGAGCGAGTTGACCGCCGAGTTGACGTCCCGCACCAGCAGGTGACGCTTACCCTGCACCAGGTGCTGCAGCGCCTCGTTCCTGGCCAACGCAAACTCAGATATGTAGATATGTAGATGTGTATGCATGTAGATGAGACCATGTGCCAAACATTGTGCCATGGATGTTGCACTGGCCATAAGCCACCGCCCCACAGTGGGCCAGGCGCTTGAAAAAAGCGGAATTTAATCAATGAGCACAGCTGTAGTGCCAAAAATGATTCATTACAGGGTAAAATATGCTGAAGCCGAATCAGATATCCAATTTTAGATCTGATTGGTTACGCTGGGTCACTGAGACTGACCTATGACGTCATTATTGAACTTGCGCTTCGTGTATGCCCGGGACAGGCGGGCACATGCCGCATTAGCCGCGCGTTTGCAGTCTTTTCGTGGTTTCAAGCGTTCAAACATGTGATATGCTGTTGGTCCCATGCATTAGGGTGGGTGTCAAGGACACCTGAAGGTCGGGTCAGGTCATTGACCTTGATGACCTCTGTTCACTTTTTGAGTTTTACATGTTTCTAAGCTAGTTTTTGAAACTGAATTCGAATTTAGTAGCGGTTTGAACATTTACGAAATAGTTTTGGTGCCTTCGTAACGATGTTACGAAATACGAAGCTATCAGAGGCGGTTGACGCATACAACGAATACCCGGCAGGTTGACGAATACTGGTTGACCTGACCTGACCCGACCAAGCCTAAACGCATGAAGACATCATCTGTGATCAAAACTAACATGATATTCGTGATCAGCACCCCGAAAAACCTTTTAGCAGCCACACTTTACCACGTTCTAACAGGTCCCGATTTTCCCGACCTTTGGGTCATTGACTTGACCTCGGAAGTCACCGTTTGACCTATGACCTTAAAACCGGGTGCCGTTGGCTTCGTCCCGTGACGACCTATATGATGATTTTTTCCGCGAGGCTCTAGCTCAATCAGGGGCCAAACGCGAGGAGGGTCGCACCCCCCCCCCCCCCGTGCCGTCGAAGGATGCAAAAAGGCCCGTGTCGGGGGGTTAAAGGGACCCTCCCACCTTCAAAAAAGTTAATGAATTGGCATGAAAGTGATGTCGCTCGGTTCAGAAAGAGCAAAAACGAATATCTACCAAATTTCATCGAAAAATATTCACCGGTTTTCAAGATATTAGACTTTTACTTTTGTTTACTTTTTGGGATCTCCGCTGTTCCTAGCGACTTTATTTGAAAGTGCGGCATTTGTTGCGCGCAAAGCAGCATATGCCACCGCGTGCTACAAAACGTTTTAGTCAAACATTTAACTGACGTTCGAAAGCCTGATGACGTCATCAGATTCCCGTAATGGTTAAGAGATAGGGACCACGCTGGTCCCACCCTGCAAGTAAAGGGAAGAAATTTCTTGAACACCATAAAGCTGCGGGGGTTGCGACCAGGATAAATGGTGGTTTCTGAGCCTGGCCGCAAACTTGGCTATCTCAACTCAAAACTAATGTTAAGGTGGGAGGGTCCCTTTAAACCCCTATTTGTCAATTTCGCGCAAGAACGCACAAAATATTTGATTTGGGCAGCAAGCTACACCTTGAGGAAAGTCAGCCAGCAAATATCTTTGTGTTGCACGGTGACGTTTTCTTTATATCCTTATATGAATTCATTACGTCGTTGCCGGTTGCACTACCCCGGTTCCGAACAGGCATTGTAAACCCCACCGCTACTATAATAAGTATGAAGTCGGCCTTTGGGGCCAGTTAAGGTTATGTTCTGGGGAAGGTCAGGTCAAGGTCAGGTCAAATTAGGTCAAAGTTCGAACTGATATTTTTGCATAAAATGGGTATCGATTGGATGCGGCTCGTCACGGGGAGTATAATAGTCGTCTTTGTTTTGTGCAACGTGGTCTAGAATTGTTTAAAGTTGAGTTCAAAAATTTTAGTCATCAATTTTGAATAGTATTTGCTATAACTTGGCCAAAAAAGGAGACATCGATCTAAAACTTGGTATGTAGGCAGAAGAGCGCAGGGACTATGATATATCCCGTACTTTCGAAATTCGAAAAAAGTTTAGTTTTTCTTTAAAAAAAATCAGTTTTTTATATTGGGGGGGGGGGGCAAAATCCCAATATTTTGAAAATCCGAGATTGCAGTTTTGTAGTGCCGTCTTTTCTCTACACGACCACATAAAGAACTTTGAAATTGCTTCTTAACAGTAGCTTTTGTGAGCGTTTCAAGAAATCATGTTTTTGCTCATTTTTGCTCGAACGTGACCTCAGTTTGACCTCAATAACTCCTGACCTAAGGTGAACCAAGACTTAAAATTTTGTGTGAATGTGTCAAATTGATACCCGGGAAGGTACTGAAAATTTTGTGGCGCTGCACCCCGCCGTTTTCTTGCTATTCAGGAAAAACCATAGGGGGGCCAAATTGCCCCCCCCCCCCAACGGGGCGAGGGATAATATGTCAACAACAAAGGTCTTTTAACCTCTGAACTCAAGGTAAAGTAACAGTCACAGATGTACTAAGCCACAGGCTACCTGTCCTCCATCACACTCTGTCTGCAGGTGGCTGTGGTGTTACTTGCCACACTGCTCATGCCCCTCCCAGTTGATTGTCTTTTTCACTTCCCTGTGATGCTCCAATTACCACAGATAGAGCAGCTTAATGCTCATTCTCCATCCCCAGTGTCTGAACATTTGCTTTCTCTTTCTTTATCTGGGTCTTTCTCATCTTGACCATTATTATTGCTGGAGATGCTAGAGAAGTACTTCATGCCAATGAAAAAAAAAACAATCTGTGACATAAACATGATTGTTTTAACTGGGACCAAGTGTCTGCTATAATGCTTCATTGCTTTATTTAACCATTGGCATAGAAAATACTGCTCACAGCTGCAAAATGTTCATTTAAGGCCTAAAACTGGTCTATGATCATATTCACCCCAGGTATCATTGTCACCCCGGTTTACGGTCTTTGGAATAATAAATTACTACAAAATTCAATTGTGAGAAAAATATTTGTCAGAAGGGCAGGATCAGCTTAATTTATAGCTTTTCAGGTGATTGAGGAATCTACATTCGACTCCAGTGGCAAAATAGGATCAACATTTAGCTTATGTTTAGGGCTGATTTCTTCACTTGAGAAACGTTTTGATATTATTTTTACTGGTGTGTGATAATATTTGATAAATATTAAATTCTCCTTCAGTTGATACCATTCACTGGTCTGAGAAGTGCTACCTTGCTGCCTAAGGGCTGATAAAAGATCGCACTTTTAGGGGCAGCTCTTCAACATGAAGCAGGAATTAAATAGAGCACTCTAGTTTTAGCTTATTTCCCTGGTAAGTCACCAACTATATAGCTTAGCTAGAAAACAGCCCATGGGAAGTCCTTAATAAATTTGAATTTCCCCTTAATACTGAAACTCTTTCCAGTTGGTCTATTGCATGCAAGAGCATGTTCAAAAACATCAAATCACACTTGCACAATTCATACACATGAAGGTAAAATATGCATTATTGATGCAAGCATGATTTAAAGCATTTAAATATTTTTTTTCATGAGATTTCCTGAATGCAGCAAATCTGTCTCAACTTTTACACCAAGGGAGGCATCTTATAAGATTTAAAAAATACCACCAAGCCTTTGGAAATACTCAGCAGAGTGGACATGAACACAACAGACTACATGTTAATCTTGGTCTAGTTTTATTCTGATTTCTGTTGCCAGCCGCCAGGCAAATTAGTTAAGAACTGTTAAAAATTGAAACCGGTATTATCAAAATCAGGCAAAAAATTTCAATGCATAGGTAGGTATTTAAATTGCAACATTATGTAACTGACCAAGTATACCTACCTACCAAAAAAATTAGAATGAACGAGAGGATCAACAACACTCAAGACGCACCAGTGGGTAAGTACTGTATTAAACAATTTGAATCATAAAATAGTTTTCTTACGTTTCAATCTTAGAGGGTGATGACTTTGGTGACCCTTCCTTTCCTTCGACTTGAACTGCTTTCGTTTCAGCCGAGTCGGTCTTCACCTCCTTTTCATTTTCACACTGAGGGGCCGACTCCTTGTCAGCCATTTTGAACTACGATGAATGAGTTGATGCAGATACAGATGGTGTCTTGTTTAAAAGATTCGTAGCAATCTAACAACAAACCAACCGATTTAATAGACTTGATAAAATACAAAAGAAATAACGCGAAAACCAAAACCGCGACCAACACCACCACGACCGCGAAACGCACAAAGCGCGGGAAGTTGCATGGATGCCAAATCGACTTTTCCGGTCGGATACCAACAATATTTTTGTGATCAAAACCCAAACAGTACCAAAACATAGACCACCAAAGTGATGAAAATACTGAAATTTCGAAACCAGTCAATGATTTATTGACAAAATCAATGATTGAACATTGAGTCAGATCAGGCATGCATTAGACTAACCAAAATAACCTAATTTCATGACTATATTCTAGTATATTTTTTGTAAACTAGACTATCTTTTACAAAAGCGGCGCTAATGTTACTTTTCTCATTAGGTCACTGCCAGTATTTTGTTTTTATGTCGATTTCATGTTGTATTTTGTTTTTAAAGCATAAATATGAGTGAATTGAATACGATCATAGGCGGCGGAACGGGGAGGGCACCGTACCCCCCTTTGATTTTGGCCTTTTAACATTAGCCCTATGGGCGTTGCATGGAAAAAATGGGACCAAAATTGGGCAGTGCCCACTGCCCCCCCCCCCTTAAGAAGGTGTTCCGCCGCTACTGAATACGATCTCTTCGAAAGTGACAGTTCAACACACCACAATTTGCATTTCGGTTGAAGAAACTGTCTAGTTTGAGAGGAAAACTCAGTACATTACTGCTATTTTCAAATTCCTACGCACATGGAGTGGCGATCGCGAGAAGGTTACATTAGCGGTGTCAGGGCAATGCCAATTGCCATAAAATCAAAGCCATATCCATAGGCGGCGGAACGGGGAGGGCACCGGGGCACCGTGCCCCCCTTTGATTTTGGCATTTTAACATTAGCCCTATGGGCATTGCATGGGAAGAATGGGACCAAAAGTCGGCAGTGCCCCCCTTTAATTGAAGGTGTTCCGCCGCTACTGGCCATATCAAACCAACGGGCATCAAATAATCTCCCCATCCCCACGGCACAAATAGAAACACTTGGGTGGTGGAGTGTGGAGTACTGGCCCCCGTCGATTCTTACAAGGCTTGGAAAACCCACACCGGTCTTTTTCCGGTCCGAAAGCGGCCTGGTCTGAATATTCGCGCAAGATAGTGGACTGTCCATTGCCGGTCCCGTAGCTCAGTTGGCAGAGCGTTGGATTCCGCATATTGAGTTTGTTTTGTTTAATGTTTTACTGGGTTAGGCCCTTTCGGTCCAATTAGACCATTTCAGAGCCGGAAGGGGGAGCTGGACAGGCACCCTAGTGAGTCACCGGGGCTGAGCCCGTCCCGAAAGACAGGCCGACCAGCCCCAAGGTACTCACTGCACTCTGCTACGGGGTGCGCTCCCTCGGGAGCAGCGGTGCCGCTCCAAGAGAGCAGCCCGCATGAGATAAAGTTGCCTGTTCAGCCCGGAAGGGGTTGCGGCGTGGAGGAGAAGGATTTCAGTATCCTATTCCTGAGGATAGAAGCACGGAGCGGTCCATATTGAGAGCACGCGTTCCCGGTTATAACAGTCCGGGTTGGAAGCGCGATGGGCGCTTGACGTTTATGGGCCTCCTGACAGGTATGGTTGCGGTTGGTGGCAGGCCGTAGCCAGGCGAAGTCAGTGAGCGGACCGGCCGTGCGCGGCTATGCGGAACGGGGGGGGGGGGGGGCACCGGGGCACCGTGTCCCCTTGAATTGGACATTTTAACATTAGCGCTATGGGCGCTACATGGAAAGAATGGGACCAAAAGTCGACAGTGCCTCCTCCCCACCCCCCTTAACCCGCGCCGGGCTGGAGGGGGGGGGGAGTGTTTGAACACCCCCCCCCCCCTGCGGTTTTTCGCAGATATCTAAGAAAAATGCACCTGTGACCCCTTTGTGTGCCGGCCGCCCTGAGGTCATCTCAGGTCATGAACGGTCACCAGCAGTCTTTTGGCTTTAACTTTTGCTAAAGACGTGCTAGAGCAATGAAATCACGCCAGATGTATTCAGCTCGACGATACGGATCGACTGATATGCAATATGACCCTTTCCGGTCAGGTCATGACCTTGACCTGAGGCCAAATTTTAAAAAATGACCTTGACGCGTCTCGACGAGAGGAACACGATGCTGCCAACAGTATTGTCGTGGCTGTGTTGAGTCAAAAGTTATTGACTAAAAACCATTTTAATGAAAACTGCTTTTTTACAGTTTTTGCCCCCTGATTTCGAGGCTAAATCTTTGACCTGAGGTCAAATCTGAGAGCAATGCTCAGAAAGGTCTGTGAAAGGGCTATCGAATGCGCTTTTCCGCGGCGCTGTAGCTCTATTGGTTCCCGAGTTAGCCGTTGGCAGTTTCCAAAATTGTTGAAATGGACTACATTTGACATTTGATGACGTCTGACGACCTGATCTTTGACCTGACCCAAAAAATGACCGAAGTGTTTTCGTCATTATTTTCGACGCTCTTTCGAGTGCCACTTACTGCGTGTCGCTACATGGCCCAGGAGCCGAGTTAGAACTAGACGGGGGGGGGGGTGTTCAGACCCCCCCCGGCCCGGCGCGGAAGTCGCGGAGCACCGGCCCGGCGCGGGTTAATTGAAGGTGTTCCGCCGCCACTGCGGCTATGTGTGCACGTTAAATTTTGGACTCCAAATTCTGCCATAGAGCCGGAATTGCGCGATCAGAGGGTAGAGGGCAGGGTCAACGCAACAAGCTTCGCTTAGTGGGGATTCTGTCCTTGTGAATCCTTCCATTCAAAAGGGTCGGAATAAATGTATTAAAAAACTGTGAACTGTGAAGGCTAGTCAAATTGTCTTTTGACTGCACCATGCCATCATAACTGCTGGCTTAAATCGGCTTTGGAGGGCTTTGTATTTATTTGGTGCTTACATCGGCTTCAAAGGCTTTATTCCCGTCTCTGAAGTGAGGGCCCCATTACCGGCATTTGGGGGCCTCACTCGAGTAGTTAGGGCCCAGCCCAAACAAGTCTCTTGTCGGCCCTTTAGAGGCTCTTTCGTGTCGCAATGTCCCACACAATTCTCTTAGGTCTCAGACTCCTATGCATCGACATTCGAGGGTTATTACCGGCTTTTTATGCACTCCAGCTGGAAATGAGGAGAGTAAACAGGCATCGCACGAGAGAGCTCTCAGCTGACACTCCGCGCGTTACACTCGGTAAACTCTACGATACACTCCCCGGACGCAGCCGAATTGGCAACTCTACCGGAAAACTCTCGGAAATACTCTTCACTACGCTAGGCTTACCGACATTTGAGGAAGATTCGAAGAGTTATGAGGCGGGAGTTTCAGAGAATTCCGAGAGCCTAGAGTAAATTTTTCTCTCAGTGTACTAAATTTAGTCCGAACAGTTTTGATAGGAATGATTCGCAAGGACAGAGCCACTGCTAAGCGAAGCTTGTTGCGGTGATCCTGACCTCTACCCACTGATCACGCAATCCCAGTTCCATGGCAGAATTTAGAGTTCAAAGTTCAACGTGCGCACATAGCCGCGCACGGCCAGTCCCCTCACTGACTTCGCCTGGCTATGGCCTGCCACCAACCGCAACCATACCTACTTGTCAGAAGCCCATAAAAGTCAAGCGCCCGTCGCGCTTCGAACCCGGACTGTTATAACCGGGAACGCTTGGTCTCACCACGCGGAGTCCAACGCTCTACCAACTGAGATACGGAACCGGCTAAAACTGGGACCGGGACCTTTGAGGGCCTCCGCAGGCGGCAAGACCCAAAGTGGCCTCTTGAGCGCAGTGCTGGCCTTTGAGGGCCGTACACTGGCAACAGAGTAGTCCTTAATGGTCCTATACGGTGGCATGACGCTCCAGATCAAATCGAACAGGGAGACTATGATCCTGCACAAGAAGATACCACCACATCGTCCCGAGCGCCTGGAGACTGCTTCGGCGCACAAGAAGCTAGCACAACTCCAGCGCTCGATAAGATGGTGTTATGTTCGTGTTCGGAAATGCAGTTTCCGCACTTCGAGAAGCTCTCGCGGTGACTCTAGGACCACCGCCATGGGATAATGCAATATTGGCGATAGCAATTAATTACCATGTAGGTACACATTTATGTTAAAATTGTCTTCGGACGACAGAGCAATGACGGTGCACCGGCTGGTGGCCGCCTGGACCCCCAGCTCTTGGCCTTTATGTGGATTTGGTGATGGCGTATATACTAGTACTACCTACCTATAGTATAACTATAAAATAAAACCAGTAAAACGCCTTTTGGGCGACCAACGGAGCGAGCGAGAGGATGGGCCTTGCACGTGCGGAATTGCGAGGGGGTACATCCAACTAACTTGTGCACTGCACCCTACTAATCGGTCTTTAGCGATGTGCCAAATTTCAGCGCAATCGGCCTAGCCGTTCTCGAGATCTGGAAGCGGCACACTGCACGTGCGCACGTGCAAGCGGGGTCCAAACTGACTTTTGCACGGCACCCTACTAACTGGTCCCCAACCGTGTACCAAATTTGAGCGCAATCGGCCAGGCCGTTCTCGAGATCTGGGAGCGCCCCCTGCACGTGCGCACGTGCTGTAGCACCCCAACCTTAACACATGCAGATGAATTATCTGATGGAGACCTAACTGTGTACCGAGTTTCAATTCAATCGGCCCAACCGTTGTGCCGTTATTGAGGTTGCAATTTTGGGGGTTCTTAAAAAATGTCCAACTTTACCACGCGCCACGTGCGGTAGTTGGCAAGAACGCATGGTGGCCATCACACCACATAACTTTTACGTCCAAGTGACATTCAGTAAAGAAGACCGCTTGTCAATCGGATGTCCCGTTTCTAAGATATTAGCTTTTGAAGAGCGTCCCCACGGCCGGCCGGCCGGCCGGCCGGCCGCTCATACTCAGGATTTTCCCTTAATTCAGTATGAGACTCCGCTCGCTTCGCTCGCTCCGTAATTAATCTCGTCCACTCAGAAACGCAGCCCATTTATAGTGCTACCTATTACCATACCCCATTCGTTTCGCGTTAACAATCACTCTGGGGCTGTGCATGCTTTCCATGTGACTTCTTTAGCCCATAGCCTGGTTAGCGTTGACCGTCGAGCCCAGTAACATAGGAGAGAAAGTGAAGGGTTTGTTTGCTTGGTTTCGTTAGGTTAGGCTCTTTCGGTCTGACGAGACCATTTCAAAGGCTCATGAGCCTTTCCTTTTATCCTTCCGGCTTTGCAAAGCCGGAAGGATAAAAGGAACTAGGGGAGACATTGGTCTGGGCTAGGGCACCCTAGTGAGTCGTCGGGACTGAGCCCATCCAGAGGACAGGCCAACCAGCCCCCATAACACTCACTGAATCTAAGTGCGGGCGTGCACCTATGGGAGCTACCCCGCCTACCCGCATGGGATAAAAGTGCCGTCCAGCCTGGAAGGGGTAGAGGCATGGATGAAAAGGATTTGACTGTCCTGAGGATGGAAACAACGGAACGGTGAATGAAAGGATGGTGGCAAGAGAAGTTTGAGAAAAACGAAAATGTAGCGAATTTACGCATGGCGTGCAATTGTGCAGCCTATGCAGTCAGTGTGCAGCCTATGATAAAACTGTGTTAAACTGTGTTTTATACACGCTGGCCTCCAAAGCGTTTTCCTTTCCTCACTCGTTATACAAAAACAACGCGCCGAGCCGTTACAAGACAACTCCGAGCCAGCCGAGCCAGCGTCGTCTGCGCCGACATCTCTACATTATCCCTACCAAGATTACTTTACTACTCAGCGCACGGCATACCTACTCTCGTTCGTTCGCCGCACTATATCCATGGGGCTGGGCGTCTTGCATCCATACCCAGCCCATACATACGTTGACGAAGACGCTTCAGGCGTCAACTAGGAAAATAATTCTCACAACTAGTGCTACTAGTCCTAGTCAGTAGTCAGTAGCAACTATTCCAAACTATAACGAACTACGACCGATAAACGGTTCATGAAGCGAACGATTTCACAATGCATTGCACTTGCACAGGACAATCAATCCGAAACAGTTGCTTCAATGTTGCAAAAGCATGAGAGTAAAGGATAATAAAATAGGGCAAGCTGCCCCCACTGTCCCACCGGTTCTCTCGCCTATGTCAATCAGTAGTGCATTGACATAACATCTCGTGAACTTTTCGTGAACCAATCGGTCCACGTCTTCTGCTTTGGACCATCCGTATATTTATATCACGCATCGGTGGTTCAGTGGTAGAATGCTCGCCTGCCACGCGGGCGGCCCGGGTTCGATTCCCGGCCGATGCATTTTGACCTCATCCAATCTTTGACCTTCGTTTGGGCCACTATCAAGGTGCACTGCCCTGTCCCCGCTGTCATCTTGATGCCGTTCAATATCGGCAAAATAATATTGGGACCAATAACTGCTGTATTAATTCGCATTTTAAGCCCATTTACGGTGAGGTAACGTCCGGTCTTTAACCACGATTTACAAACACATTTCAGTATTCGCCATTCCGAAGCAAGGGCACGTTACGTCTTTGGTTGGACCAGTTGGATGGACAAAGTCAAGCGCCGTATGCCAAAATGCATCGGCCGGGAATCGAACCCGGGCCGCCCGCGTGGCAGGCGAGCATTCTACCACTGAACCACCGATGCCTTGCGCACAACCAGATATTTAGACAGGGTAGAGGGCGACGGGCACACGGATGGGGCAAGCCACATAACCGATGGGGGGGGGGGGGGAAAGATGATGATAATTTGGTGTTTTAGGGCGCACCAGCAACGAGGCTATATGGCGCCATGGCGCCCAACCGATGGGGGGGGGGGGGGGATTGGAGTACTGGGCACGGCCAAGCCTTTATGTAAGTAAAGAGGTGGATAGGCCACGAGATTCCACACTACTGTCAGACGGCTTTGGCGACGCATGCCCGTACACAAAGCAGATTAGAAGTCGACAGGCTGACGGACGGTGATACGTTTAGCTTCTTGGTCAGATCATCAGCAACGAACGGAGCTTGATCAACTTCAGTACATCGCGATCAATTCATACCGAATACGTGCTGCTATCAATAATTGTTCAATATGTTTCATCCGTAAAAATGACGCAATTTCTATAACATGACCAAAATGGCTTTTGTACATTTTTTATTGGAATCAGATATTCACTTGCAATGCATTCAGTAAGCGCTGTAAAAACATTTCGGGCAGGGTACGCTGTGAGGCCGGCTGAGTCTGCCAATAGACGGAATGGTGCGGTGACGGCCAGCGCTGGCAGTGACGGCTCTGGGCGGCGGGCTCGGAGGACAGCTGGGGCTCCCCACCCCGGCCACCGCCCCGCTAGGTGAGCCTACCGGCCCTGCTGGTAGCCGGGGAAGAGCGCCTTCAGCGCCGCGAACAGATCGCCATTGGCCTTCAGCGAGAAACTCTTGCCGAGATCGTGTCGGCAGGCGGGGCACGAGTAGACCTCGGCTTTGAACGAGCGGCGAACGCAGGGCTGCCAGCGAACGGGGGCAGGCACAGGGTCAGATCCACGACGTGTAGTTAAGACGGGGTCAGGGGCACATAAAACTCATAAAAAGAAGTAAGGCCACCCAAATGGTCTTGCATCTCAAACCATAGCCAAGACGAAGCACGGACATGATACGGGGCACGCGATTTATGGCGAATAAGCCGATGTAGGTCCCAAATCAGCCGCGTCGCTGGCCGGTACTCACCTGGCACACGTTATGGCGGCAGGGCAGGGTGACTGGGGTGCAGACCAGCTCCTGGCAGCAGATACACATGAAGGTCTCCGTCACTGCGTCCAGGAATTTCTGAAACACGCCAGTTGGTAACTACGTCAGCGATTTCGGCTAGCTAATAACGACACTAGACACTGAACGTCGTGAGCGACCCTCACGTACGGCACACACGACACTAGTAATCTCTAATTTGCACGATATTTATCACTCATGAAACTCACGATATCAACGACACTGACGAAATCAATCAATCACATCAGCCCGTCTCATAGACAAATTTACTGAGCGTTGGGATGACGATAAGCTATCCCATCACTTAGGAAGACCCTACAGACACCGGATCTCCTCTGCGGCTGGCCCCCACAGTCCTCACCAGTTTCCCGTCGGCCAGCGTGCGTCGACACTCGTCCCAGAGGTGCCGATTCTGCTCGTCGGCCTCGATGAGGGCGGCTATGGCCGGCTCCGGGCTGTAGGCGGCCGGTCGGGAGCGTTTGGTCGGCGGGCCGTCCTCGGCACGGTCACCGTCTGAGCCTGAGTCGGTGGCGGCCGCAGAACTGGTGGCGCCCTCCACGCGCTGCACGACGGATAGAAGGGTCAGTTGGAACTAGTCAGGACACCGTCACAGTACAAACGGTCGGAACACAGAACATAACAGAGCAACGGTCCGAACACTAAAATATAGCAAAATCTGACAGTCGGAATACATTACAGCACAGACTGAGGATATGGTCAGGAGAGGACCCTGAGATATCCCTGAGGATCACTGATGATATCCCTAAGAATACTCGTGAACTAAAGACACTCAAGGAATAGCGATAAGATACGGGAGAAAATGGCACATTCCATAAATTCGATGAAAGTTAAAGCCGTACGATAAGAACCACCGTTATATGAACACATAAAAGACAGCCAATCCCAGGCAAAGCCACAACAGCAGCTACCACCCAGAGCCGCTAGGAGTTAGGACTGTCAGCAACCGGCCATAGCCGCCGCCGCAGCTGCCCCACTCACCACCATATCCTGGATGCCGAGCTCCAGGATGCGCCGCCGCCCGTCGGGCGTCCACGGCGCCGGGGTCGGGTCGTCTCGGCGCAGCAGGTAGCGCCACACCAGAAAGCCGCTCTGACCCTTCTCCGGCCAGTACTTGACGATCTTGTACACACCGTCGTACCTGACAGCGAATCGTTACAAGGTTTGTGTTTACTGAATGTTGAAACATTAATACACATTGGTTGTTTCAACATAGAAGACGCCAAGGAAGAGGAACAGAATCCGCAATTCTACCTAACAGTAACAGACCTGCAGGCTGCAGACCAAGGTACAGTGCTTTAATTGGCGGATCTCCCGTGTTGTAACTATGACGTAATTGTGATCATGCATTAATCCGCTAAATTTGTGAAGTACAATTAGCGCTACGCTCATCACATTTACGGGTGTTTTTTTTTTTCTCCGGACCCACCTGAGTCCCTCATTGGGCGCGTATTTGGAGTGTTTGCCCAGTTTGTACGAGCGGATCACCCGTACCGGTCGGCCGCCGCGCCAGTCCTCCGCCTCAGCGCCCGTCTTCGAGTTAATCTTGGCGTTACAGTTGAGAGCCAGCGCTCTGTGAGATGTGCCAGCGGGGACGGGTTACAGGGACCGGTATGGGAAGGTAGCCAGGCCATAGGCATGACACAATGACTGAGACACTGGTGTTAGTGTATAGTGCCATTTTGCAGTCTCCAGAGGACCACACCGGCACATTTTGCTCTATGCTAAATTAGCTGTTTAGTGTGCTCAAAAGTGATAACAAAAAAATGAAAAAGGAACTCGTATTCCATGCCCTTTTCATAAAACGAAAAGAGAACGGGCAGGGTCCAGAGCTCCATACATCGGCGCCCGGTAGTCAAAGCGGCACTCACTTGTTCATCCTGGTTAGCTGTTGGTCACAGCTCTGTCCGGCCGTTCGCTTGTTACCGGAGAGGTCCCGCCCGCCCGACCCTGGAGGCATGGCAGAGCGGGACGCAGACTTTCAGAATACGCACAGCTGTGGTTCGGAGGTTAGTAGACTGCTATGAGAAGGATGGCAGCCGGCTACGTGGTTGATTAGGAAACAAGAACGACTACTGGCTCGTTGGCAGTTGCCAGTTACACAACAGACGTACGAGAAAGTATGTTTACAGCCAGCCGGGCTGACATCAGACGATAAACCACCGTGCTCACTACGACGGATCGTGTAGGATGAGCAATAATTTTCCAGAAGGAACTAGCCCCCTCCCCCAGATATGCGTTTAGTCCGCTACTGGTAGCATTGTTCCTTGTTTGTTTATTTGGGCTTTAGGGCGCGCCGACTACTAAGGTCATTTTGCGCCCATAGCTCCACCTTGCAGAGTCCCTCTCCCCCCCCCCCCCACAGGACGCACCGCTCCACCCCTTCATCACCATCCCCCTCACCTGTGTAGAAGAACTCCTCGCCTTTATCCACATCATCCTCATACCCCCCAGAGAGCACGATACTGAAGGCGCCCTCCTTCTCCCTGCCGGCGATCCCGGCCACGTGCGGCCGGTGCACACCCGCCTCCGAGGCCTGGATACGGTACTGCCAGCGCATGCCCACCTCCACGCCGGGCACAGGACCCATGTGGTTGGTCGGCACGATGGTGCACTGCTTCTGACGGCCAGCAGTGGCCATGCCCTTGCCCCAGTCGCGCTTGGTGGCTTTGTTCACCACGGAGGCCATGCGCGACTTGCGTTTGCTGGCCTTGAGTTTCTGTCCGGCGAGAACCACCTCACTGGTGTCCGTCTTACACTCGGGGCAGTACCTGACCGGAGTGAGCAGCGGTTAGGTCACATTGTCTGAACGGAGCAATTCCTTATTAGTTTTTTTTTTATAGTTGACTCAGACTGCACCTGGCAAGAGCATTGAACAATTAGTTCACACCAGTCTAACCGACCCCGGGCTAACACAGTGTCTAACTCAGGGAATATAGCTAAGATAATTAATGCCTAACGGTCCGTTCTCCGTTTAGCTCACACCAGCGACGTGACAATTGTACCCCTATTACTACTGACATCAACAGTCAACAGCCGCGTCACCCCAGCTCACCAGTCGCCCTCCTCGGGTATGGCCTCCAGGGGCGGCGTCAGGCACGAGATGTGGTAGGGCATGTCGCATTCGTCGCACATTATCTGCTTCTCCGGCTGCGACTTGCTGTGGCAGACGTGGCAGCCGCAGACCCGACAGTCGCGGTCCGGCCGATCGCGGCAGATCTTACAGGTCGGGCCCACCTCACCTGTTCAGAGAGTAGCGGAAAAAAAAACTGTCACAAGAGTGACACTGGCGGCAAATTAGACGGATAGCATTCAAACAACTCGCAAAATCCAAATCGTTGACAAAGATGCCATTGATTTAACCCAGATTACGGTGCCCTAAAGAAAAAAAATATACAATTACAGTATACAAAAATAGATAACGGCAAGAAAACCTTATTCAGCCTGTCAGTGATCATGTGAAAGCACGTACGTTTCGCTGCTGTGTCGGTGCCATTGTCGGCAGCGGCAGAGTCTCGCCTTTCCTTCCTACTACGCTGCATCCCCCGCTCCATCACCTCGTCCACGAACTTCACCAGGCAGCCGGCGACGGGCACTCGGTCCGCGCCCAGCAGGGCCGTCACCTCTAGCCTGGAGAGAGAGGATGTTCATCATCATCATCATCATCATCATCACTTCGTTTATTGATCAAGGCATGTAAAAATAAAGTTGAACAAACAGATAAGACATGATGCAAAAGCACACAATGTACTTAACTCGAGGCACCATGTCTGGGTAAGGGTAAACCAAGGGATAAAACACCGGCCGCCGCCACGGCACCGGCCGCCGGGCACCAAAGTCTGATGTCGGTGTCAGCCGCCACACAACCCACCTCGGTCACCAGCCACATGAGCAAGTTTACCGCGTGCAAGAGTCTTAAGTTAATCTACCGGTGTCAATCAAAAATTTTTGAAACGCGCGGGCCACCGCCCGACCACCAACACCGCCGAGATCAGCGCCGTGTACCAATGTTAGGAATAGTTGAGGTTGTTCAAGGTCAGCAAAAGAAGGCGAGATGCGGGTTAATGTATTAATCATTTCAGTTCTGGGATCCGCATATTTGGGACAGGAAAGGACGAAATGTTGGGACGTTTCGTCAGGATAGCCACAGTCACACATTGGGGAAGGACATTTGAGGATTTTGTATAAATGGGAGTTTAGATATGTCATTTCGGTACGCATTCTAGTATGTATGTAATGTATTTCCCTCTTTTGTTCCGAAGCTGTAATACTTTGGTGGATCAGGTAACCCCAGCCGCTCGCGAATTTCTTTTTTAAATGATTTATGATTTTGATTACGGATGGTTTCTGGCAATTGGTTCCAGTTTCTGATTGTCGCTGGAAAGAATGACTTATAATAAGATGATGTGCGATGAGGAAGTCTGGTGTGGGTGTTTGCATTTCTTAGTGTGATGTTTGTGTCGCGTGCTCGTGTATTTGGTATTCTAGACGTGATGTAATTTGGTGTGGGCTGGTTTGGGTCGCTGAGTTTGTGATACAGGATGAGTTTGTGCATTTGTCGTCGTTGCGTTAAAAGTTCCCAGCCCAGTTCTTTTCGCAATTTATCGGTCGGTGTTCTAAAAAGTGTACCAGTCACCAGTCTCGCAGCTCGATTTTGCAATGTCTCTAGTCTGGTTGCGTCCCGTATAGTAATATGTCCGTCGTAGATCGCGTCACAATAGTCGAAATGTGGTCTGATATAAATTTTATAGATTTGGTCAAGTATTTGTCTGGGTAGGTAACGTGCGATGGGGTAGAGGGGACCAAGTGTTTTGTTTACTTTTTGGCATATATTGTTTATATGTTCGTGGAATCGTAGGTCGGTAGATAGAGTTACACCTAGGTGAGTGTGATTTTGTTTCATTGGTATGGGGAGTCCTCCGAATGTTAATTTTGGAATTTGCGGAGTGCGTTGGTGGGAAAAAGTTTGTTGAATGGTTTTTGCAGGGTTAAATGTTATCGCCCAGTCTTTTCCATAGTTGTAAATAACGTCCAGGTCGTCTTGAAGTGAAGTCTGTGTCAGTTGTATGTCTGTCGCGTGGGGAGAGTATAGAGAAGTGTCATCGGCGAAGAAGAGAATGTCATGTTAGGGTTGGTATATGTAGTTCAGTTCAGAGGAACAGTGCAGAGGACCGAGTAGGGCACTCGGTCGGCGCCCAGCAGGGCCGTCACCTCAAGACTGGGGAGCGGGCGGTAGGTAGAGCGTTAAGGCGAGCGGAGTAGTTCCGAGGTATAACTCAGATAACATACATTATGGAGACAGGGCTATCACCTCCAGGCTAGACGGCGGAACTGAGTGCAGTGTTGGGCGGGTACATTTCAGCGGAACGGCAGCGGTACATTTCAGGTACAATCATTGGAACGGTGGGCAGCACTGCTGACGCGTGGTGGGGCCAGCGAGAAGTGATTATTTACGGAGAGAGCAGAAAGCCAGATGGCAAGGTACAGTTCTGCCGGCATGCACAATCAGTACCTACTAAGTAAATCAAGCTCCCAAAAGGCTTTGATCACCGCGTTCCCCCCGCAAATTCCTTATCCCAATCCCTCTCCCACTACCACTCCCGCCCGGTTTCCCGCCCGTCGCTCACCGTCGCCTTCTGCCGCGCGCCTGTTTGCCCGTCACTATGGCGTCAAACCAGAACCCCCGCTCGTCCGGCTCGTCCACGTTGTAGTTGACCAGCACCTCCATACCGTCGACCAGTGACGAGAAGGGCAGTGTCACCGAGGCGCGCTCCCGCAGGTCGGCTGGGTTCAGCCAGATGGGCTCACTCTCGTCCTCGTACCTGAGAACAGCCGGACATATTGAACGCAAGTGATTCGTTTCAAAGAGCGGCAGATAACGAAAACTCATACAGAAAATACCTTACAGACTAACTGTAGTTTAATAACATTGCACGACGTACAAGCTACACGATGAGCGGGTCACACTAGCGCCCGCTACGAACCGTACACGATGCGGTACAGGAATCAGGATGCATCGACATTTTTACGGCACACAAAAACTTTTGATACATGTAACAGCTATGAGCTAAGCCAACATCAGACAACATACGACCATACCTCGGCGTAAAATATAGCACAGACGATACATCCGTGCACCTGCGGTCCCTACTCCCCTGACTCCAAGGGATACCAATGGTGCGGAACTCACCCCTCGAACTGAACGGCGTACTGGTGGCGGGGCGGGCCGCCGTCCGGTGTTGGAGTCTTCTGAGCGCGCAGCCCCTTCACCACGGCCTCGAACCAGGCGCCCGAGCTGGGGTCGCGGGCGTCACAACAGTCCCCCTCCTATGGCAAAAGCGCGAGGGTGAGGAGGGATGACAAAGAGACGCGAGATTCGGAATGCGACACAAAACAAAATTTGTGCAAATAAACCACAACAAATATTAAACACAAGTCTTCGTTAAAAATCAATTATTCACGGCAAAACAACGACAGAGGATACAAGAGATGATCTAACAGTAGAGTAGAGTGGAGTAGAGTAGAGTATAGAGAGAAGGGAGAGAGAGAGAGAGAGAGAGAGAGAGAGAGAGAGAGAGAGAGAGAGAGAGAGAGAGAGAGAGAGAGAGAGAGAGAGAGAGAGAGAGAGAGAGAAAGAGAGAGAGAGAGAGAGAGAGAGAGAGAGAGAGAGAGAGAGAGAGAGAGAGAGAGAGAGAGAGAGAGAGAGAGAGAGAGAGAGAGAGAGAGAGAGAGAGAGAGACCCGCCGTTCTGTTCGTACCCGGTACATGTCGTCCTCGGTGATCGGCTCCCAGTCCGCGGCCGCGTCGTCCGTCTCCTGAATGGCACCGGCAGGGTCGATCACGTCCGGTCAGATAACGATAAAATGTCGGGTAACGACATGTGAGCAAAAAGTGGGTAGTACCTCGTGGACAAATGTAACCATCGTGCATAACATCGATGCTTAATGAGGAAGTTACTCTGCCTTTCCATGCTAAATGAATGGACCTCGTACCTTTTTCGTCCATTGGGGCGATGATAGAGCATCGCCATTTTCAGTGGCTTTGCGGTCACTCGCGCTTGTATTTGCCTGAAAAACAGCAAATATTGAATTGTTTTTTCAGCTCTTTGGCAACCATCACAGTAATAATACACCACAACAAATTTCCACAGAATAATAGAGTAACATGTGATATACACACAAGCTACCACAGCGTAACTATGCCAACAACACACCTTATTGAGATCATTTTCATCTTGCTCCAATTTGACAGCACATTTTGGCGACTCTGGTGGTGCCAACTGTCGAACCATCAGCTGAATGACATCATTGACATTGACATCATATTCAAACATGGTATGGCCATCCTCCATCTGAAAGCAGCACACTGTCAGTGAGGTCTCATAGAATGACATAGTGAACTGCACAAGGGCCATGGGATGTTTCAGTAGCACTCTGGATGCAGAATCAATCACAATGAAACATGATGTCAGTGCACTTTATTGCAAAAAAAAAAAACTACTAGATGGACACTTATGTGCAGCATGCAAAAGCACCTGAGTCCTCAGAGCACAATTCACCAGTTAATATACATGAATAAAAACTACACCATCTCAAAATCATTAGAAACTGGCTTTTCACTTTTGGTATGTAATCAGATAGGTAAGTAGTAAGTACCAGTTAAAATACCATCATTTTCACCATCAAACACCATCAAGACATACTGCCATCATTTAACTGTATCCAGAAAAGACCAAAAGTGACACCAATGACAAAAAAACCTACTTGTTTTCCTCTGAAAAATAGGCGCTGGCTCTCGGGAGGAACATCCAGCTCTTCCCGCACCAGCTGCCGGAACTCCTGCACTGTTGTCAACTTGGAGATGACAACGGTGGCCGATGACTTGCCATCCATCGTCCGTACCTTCACGAACATGGTGACTGCTAGAGATGACACTCAGATGTTTACTGTTGACACATGAATGGAGAAATCAAAACATATCACAAAACTATTAGCATTGTGTTGAGGATAATTGAGTGAATGACTGAAGCAGGTGCTAGTCATTTTTTGTACATTCGCACATGTTGTTTTACCTATGGAATTTCCATGACCAGGAATTCATGAAAACGGAAGTTCAGGTAAGCCCATTATACAAGATTGGAGATCCTGTGGCATTCCTCTCGTTTCATGATGCCGAGTGGCAGTTTTTGTGAATAATTCCTCAGCATGGAAATTTCACACGAAAATCGGTGGTATTCAACACAGGCTTAACTCCTCACAACTCACAAGCATCAATTCATTTGATGATATAACAGATGGGCATGCAAAACTTTATATTAAAAAATCATAAATCGAAGATGAGCAATATCACGGACATTCACAGTTCAAGTTCACGACATCGCACCGTGCTTGTGCTCATCATCATGCTACACTAGGTAGGGGAGAGTGGGGCAAAGCGGCCATCCGGGGCAAAGCGGCCACCCATCGTTTTAGCCCTTCATAGCTGTCGTCAGTTCCAATTTATGGTTTCCAATTATACTTCTCTTCACGGTCGTTCGCATGAGCCAGACCGGGGTTTCAGGCCCATCACCATTGTTCTGTGAAACACAGAAAAGCATTTCTTGCCAGGTTACCAACTATGTTTATAATTTTTAAATGCTATGTTATTCCATAGCCGTTTGGAATTTTTTATAAGCGTTCTTGTCCATGCATTGCATGGTTATCGTACATGTATTCTACCAATTTTAATGTTTTTTACCCCACTAATAGCTAAGCTGGAATATTTTTTTCTCGGACGGTATGCGCGGGGCAAAGTGGCCGGGGCAAAGTGGCCACCCCCCAATTGGCCATAAGTTGATCCATCTGGATAAAAAACATTATTTATATTCAAATGTGTCGTCATGCATTCATCTTGGCCACTTTTCAGTTGCATTAGTTACGAAATAATGCAATTAAATGTTTTTTCATGAAAATCCTTTCTTTGTTTACCTACAGGTGGAAGATGATAAAGTAAACATCCATCGTCGCTTAAAGCTTGTCACCATCAAATACCCTATAGTCGTACATGAGGCAACTATTTTGTTTCTCATATCGGGAGTTGAGAAGACGCCGGTGGCCGCTTTGCCCCAGGGTATGGGGCAAAGTGGCCAATATGCATAGGTTTAAAGTTTTGTCAATATCTTTCATATGCGAACGCCTTTGGAAATAAAACGCAGTTGAAATAAAAGGCAACTTAATAGGGATCACATTGGTATAGAAAGAATCTTTCCAAGTTTAAAAGTCAAGCGTTGGCATCGTGAGAAGCGTTAGGGTGGCCGCTTTGCCCCACTCTCCCCTACGATACCTTGACGATACCACGGAGTCCCAGTCTAATGTCACTTTGACTTAGCAATCGTGAAAACTAGTCAAATAAAATTACCTTTCGTCGTTTTCGTCTGAAAGCTTAGATATCCTTGGTGATTTACCCAAAGAGAGCCAGAGCAATTATTACACAAAAATCAGAAAATACATCATGTGCTGCAAAAGCCACGCATTTTGTGTTGTGTTTTGGCCACGTTTTGGCGCTCGCTTCAGAATATCGCGGGAAAACAGGGGGAACTCTATTCATTCTTAGCACGCTTTGAGCCGCTAGCGCTATCAGTTTCCATGGTAACTGCGGGCGAAAATTTGATTGTTCCAAATTTATTTATTAAAAAATATGCTATCAACTAAACTTTTTATAATCATCGATGCACATTCTAGTTTAAAAAGCACAACCATGGAAAAATTTAAGACAAAATATGTCGAATAAAATATATGACGTCATCGCAAGAAGCACACGAAAAAGAAGAGAACAGAACTCACATGCGGCGATATTACGCTCAAAAGGAATGTGACTACTAAAAAAGGTGAGGGGAATTGAAGGAAAATCGTCGAGGGTTGGAATAAATTATAAAAATGTGTTCAGCCTCGGACAGTACAAGCACCGAACAACGAAAGAAGCAATGGTCTGAGCAATAATATTGATACAATCGCGATTCGCAAGACCCGTAAGATTAGCGCTTCCCACGGCCATGGATTCCACGGTGTTGGTAAAAGCAGAGGACAATGAAAATGCCTCTAACATTCCACCCACTTTTTTAAAGATTACACCAATGTTCATACTGTGCATCCAAGCATTGCAAGCCCGTTCACCAGATGGGATGAAGTACAGATTGTGTGCGTGTTTTATAACCGTTTGCATTTGGATTTTTTTACATAGCCTCCAGCATCAAACATACGTTTCGGTGATGCTCGACCGTGACCATCCACAGGTTCTTGTACCTAAATTATATATGCCCTATATATTTAGTTCATATATTCGACTGTCAATTCGACTGTTCGGTGATTTGCTACCAGACTGATAATCATGGTCGCAACATTCTCGTTGCGGCAGCCGTCATCCATCGACTGCCATCGCACCGTTCTCAAAGTGTCGGAGGATAGCGAACGCCCCGCTCGACAGTCTTGCAGTCTCGAGTTCGCAGCCGTTGCGTATTTGACATCCGTGCCTCTGCACCCGATGTGTGCTTCGCCCGAGCCCAAATAACAGACGCAGCTGACCAGAAGGAAGTGTATTTGGTTGTGCCAACATTCCTCACAGGAAATCAAGCTTCATTAGCAGATAAAACTGAGACGGTACTGTGTGTGTGCAGATCCCGCGTCTGGCCTCCGTACTAGGACGGACTGCCAGAGCGGGGGCGGCCGGCCGCCGGTCGGAGATGGGTACAGTGAGACAGACAGACGGAGGGGGCGGCGGCCGGCCGACAGCAGCGGGCGGGTCCGGTTAGTCCTGGTCCGAGTCGTCCTCGTCCGACTCGGCCTCCTCCAGCCAGGTCAGCCACTGGTTCACCTGCGGACGGACAAAAAACAGTGAGTTGCAGCGACACAGGTCAGCCACTAGTTCACCTGCGGACGGAATTCAACAGTAAGTTACAGCGACACAGGTCGGCCACTAGTTCACCTGACGCAAGAAAATCAGCAGGAAGTACAACAGGCAAAGATGGCCATATTCATTATGTAACAGTACCACGGTCAAAGACAAAGCCCAATCAAAAAAAAAAACGAAAACATCGTTCCCCGAATTCTTTATAACCCGAGCCTAGACTACCAGCAATATTCGTTTGTTCTCAATAAAATACGATTTTAAATAGTAAAGCTGAAAACCATGGAATGTCTCAGTCAGCAGACGAATTCAACCAGACAATGCCAAAAAACCTTTGCTCAGACTACCGACCCTAATCACGACTCGATCGCCAAGGACGCCAGCAATCTCGCCCAGGACCAAGCCCCCATCGACGTCCAGACGGCCCACCGGGCCGCCGCCAGAGTGGCGAGGGCCCGGACCATCCGAGCCTGGCCGGCCGGCTGGTTCCGCCGGCTAACCGGGGACCGCCTCCCGCCGGCCGTGGCCGGCGGAGACCGGTCGGCGGCGGTGGACATACACCAGCTCCGCGCCGGCCACTGGACCAGCTCTACGCAGTGGCGCCACAGTCGGGCCGGCGCCCTCCCGGCTGGCGGGGTGCGAGCAGTGTGACGATCAACACTGCAGGGCCGCGCTCTGCCCCGTCTGCCGGGAGGAGGCGGACACCCCCAGCATGTCCTCCTGCGCTGCGCGGCTCTGATGGCCACCCGACACCGACTGCTGGGATCCATCAACCCCGACCTGGAAGAGGTGCGGAGCGGCGCCATCGTGGCGGCCGCCCACAGGTCCCTACAGAGCCTGACGGCTACGTCTCAGCTGTGAGACGGAGGGACCAACAACAACAACAACAGCGGACAGGCAGGAATAATTCTCCGCATACGCCGGCGGCGATAGGCACCCACCTGGAACAGCGCCTTGCCCTTGCCGGGGTACTCGTCGTTGACGTCCTCCTTCCAGCGCAGGAACGCCTCCTCCTCGACAATCTCCAGGTCGTAGAGCAGGTTGAACCAGCGCAGCAGCATGCCCTTCGGGAACTGGTGCTGGTAGCAGAACACCTGACGGCGGAGAGGCGCGAGGTCAGGGTAACGCAAAACATCAATTAAGAACAGAAGGAAGCACAAATACAGCGTGACACCGGCCGGTAGCAGCTAAACCATGTCCCACTTGCATACATCATACTACTCAGACCAGACGGCTATAAATCAACGACAATTGCAGATTTTTTTTCGGCGTAAGGACGCTTTGAAGTTGGGACAGGTAGGTTCTTTAAATGAAAAAGTGATTGTGGCGTAACGTGACGTACCTGAAGGGCGTACGTGGCGGACACCTGCAGCGGCACGTTGTCGTGGGTAAACGCCTGCAGCACCTGTCGGAAGCGCTGCAGCAGCTCGCGCTCGCGCTCCTGCGCCTGTTTGTCCGGCATCTGGGAGCGGTCCACGCCGTCGGCCAGCGTAGTCTGCTCGGTGATGAAGCGCAGCACGCTGGTGAACAAGGCGCCCACAAAGTCGCCCTCCTGCTGCAGCTGCGCCGGCACGTTGGCGCGGATCCACTTGTAGAAGGCGGCCTCTGACGGGTCGGCCGACAGCTGGCGCACCAGCTGGCCGGCCAGCCGCAGCAGCGGGCACAGGAACGCCAGCTGCCGCTCGTCCAGCACCTCGCCCAGACGCTCCTTGGTGCGCTCGGCGGCCGGCAGCTGCGTCAGCAGGCTCGCCTGCCAAGGCAGAGGCACGGGACCGTCAGGGTCAGACAACCAACCGCACAACATTGGAATATCACAATACAACTTTGCACGAACATCCGCACACGTCATGATATCCTAAATCCAGTCAAGCGCTAAGACCGCGCACTGCTGCTTGCCTAACAACTCAGTTTACCGACGAGTCGGCCAAGCGGCGCCGTAATTAGCTCGGGCTGTTGGCTCACCTTGGTGCTGGCCAGCTGGTCGATGAGCTCCCGCTGGCTCTCAGTCTGTTCGCTCAGACGCTGCAGCACGATGAAGAAGAGCGGGAAGTGGGTGCCGCCCTCGCAGGCGGCGGCCAGCTCGGCCAGCGGCAGCAGGCCGGCGCGCACGGCCGCCGCCAGACAGCCGGCGGCGCGCTCCAGCGCCTCCAGCTGGTCGTCCAGCGAGTCCACCAGGTGGCGGAACGGCTCGGTGGCGGCGGCCGCCGTCAGCGTGTCGGCGCGCCGCAGCTCGGCCAGCAGTTCCACCAGCTGCAGACGCTCCTCCTCTGTCGGGGCACGGGCGACGGTCAGCGGGCGGCAGGGGGCGACACAGTCCCGCCGAATATCCATCAACTTTCTATTGATTTCCAATAATCAATCTCTCCACGAACTTTCCATTGATTTCCAATAATCAATCTCTATTAGAAACGTTATTGAACGAATCTCAGTTTACTGCGCGAGTTTAATCTGATCATGTCGCAAGTCCGTCAGCTGATCCGTTTCCGTACTGCCAATTACGAAACCCAACCAGCGACGTACCGGAGCGCTGCAGTCCGCGACTGAGCAGCTGCTGAAGCACGTGCACCACCAGTCCGTCGGCCACCTTGGCGTCGCGCCAGGCGGTGACGGCGGTGGCCAGCGCGTCGGCAGAGCCGCCGGCCGACCACAGCTCCTCGACCACGGCCAGCACGGCCGCAGTCACCTCCTCGCGGCTGGCGGCGCGGGCCTTTGCGCGCGGCTTGTCGTGGGACACCTGACAGGACGGAGGGAGGGTCGGGGTCAGAGGTGGAATATGTGGTTCGTCGACGTCAGCGCTTCACCAGCAACATCATTCGACCTTCCACCCTCTACAAAACAAAACACAAACACCATTCCTGGCACACAGCCAACTGCAGTGTCTACTCAGCAGCTGCGTCGCAATGTCCTTGCCAATACAATTTACACACACAAGCGTCACCGTCCGGCCTTGACAACTGACAAAGCGTGTTCGGCTAATACTGTACGACGGTCGGTCGGCCGAGTCGCCTCTTACCTTGGTGATCGGAGGCGCCTCGTTCTTGGTCATGGCGATCGGACGGTTGGCGGCCGGCATGTTCTTGGGCACCATGGAGGGGGCCTGCGGCTTCAGCACCATGGAGTTGGCGGCCGGCCGCAGCGACACTAGGTCCTCAGGGCCCGAGGGAGCCATCATCCTTTTGAAGCGCGGCGGAAGGTCCTTGACGCCGCCTGCAAAAAGATTAGCAAATGGTCAGTCATGCAAAAGCTCGTGACTCACATGGAGATAGCATAAGACTTTCATCACCAATAGCCAGTATTTGTTTTTCAGAGTTATGAGACTGCACAATGCTGGATAAATAATAATATTACAACCCATTGCAGGACGTGAAAACAACTTCCAATACTCCGATGATGATGCATTGGGGTTATTGGGCGCCCGGGCTACAGTGGTCATCGGCGCCCAAAACACGGCATTAGAAGATCACGTTATGACTATAAAAAACGCAGGGGAAACTACTTACTACTTAGCTCCCAAATTAATTAATGCGCCTGAGCAGAAATATGTTAACCTACGCTCTTGGAGAAAACATGACGAAAAAGCGTATGTAAGGAGCCGTAAAACGCCACGGACTCTCCGCCCTGCGATCGCCCGCCTCGGGTCTCACCGTTGTTGAAGTTGTTGTGCGCCGCGCCGGCGGCCGGCTTGCCGTAGCCGCCGGCCGTCTGTCCGGCGTATGGTTTGCCCTGGTAGCGGCCGTTGGTGTTGGCGGCGGCGGCGTGCGGCGAGGGCAGCGGGCCGGGCGGCGCCTGCTGGCGGCCGCCGCTGCTCCTGCCGTCCAGGCCGATCACGCCGGGCCCGGTACCCAGCGTACTGAACCCGACCGGCAGGCTGCCGAACACGTCCTCCATGCCGCGCTGGCGGCCGGAGCCCGGCGCCAGCATCGGCAGCGCCGGGAACGAGCGGCTCGGCGGCGCCTGGCGCGCCGGCGGCAGCACGCCGGCCGCGCGCGCCTCCTGCCGGATCGAGGTGATGGTGCGGGGCCCGTCCGACCGGTTCACGGCGCGCACCTGTCGGCAGACAAACACACACAGCGTCAGGCAACGACAAACAGGACAACTGAGTCGGTCAGGACGGCCATGGACTCGCCGTGTGATTCACCGATAACCGTCTGAAGTACAACTGAATACCAATTACTGAACATTGCTGCCAATCCGGCTTCCCCCACGATCATAACGAGCATGGTATCGCGATTCAGCAAACTCAGTCATCACAGTCCTCCCCTGATGAGTCATCTGGGCGTCCAACGCACCTGCCAGTTGTGGGCGCGCAGTTCTGCGGTGTTCTGCAGCAGGAACCGGATGCGGTTGGGCAGCTCCGGCTGTTCGGCCAGCTGTTCCATCCGCTTAAAGTACTGGTTCATGAGCGGCCTGGCGCGCTCCGTGTCCAGCCGGCGGCCGCAGGTGGTCATTATCTGACAGGCGCACTCCACGTCCTCGGAGAGGTCGCGCACCTGCTGCTGCTTCTTCTTGGCCAGCAGCTGCTGGATGCACGAGTGCAGCACACCCTCGTGCAGCATGCCCAGCTTGCCAAGCTCGCAGATGAAGCGGATGTTGCCCAGCATCTTGGCCTTGGCGAGCAGCCGCTGCTCCTCGTCCGCCGCCGACAGCGGACCATCGCGGTCGTCGAATGCCTGAGCAGGAGCGAACAGCTGTCAGACGGCGGACAGCCTCGGCCACCAGAGACGCACAAATTACGGGAGTAGGGTGGGGAGAGCCGGAAAAAGACAGGGATATTGCGCACATTCATAAAACTATGCACGGAATGATAGGCAACACCAGCTATCGCCGCCGTGCTGTCTCAGACTTGCATATAGCAGTTTGTAGCATACCCATACAATCACGTAAAAAGTGTAAAAACAGTTGCGGACAGACTGGTCAACCAACCCACCTGGTTGGCATGGCTGCGGTTGTCGAACTCGTCCTTGCACTTGTTGAGCAGCAGCCGCACGAAGGTGCACGGCTCACCCGGCGGGTCGAAGTTGGGCGCGCTCTCAGAGAGACGCTTGCATAGCTGAGCGTACAGGAAGCTGTACTTCGGCTCGTCAAGCGCCTTTTCGAAAATCTGAAATGAAAGACATTGCAAATCATGTCTCTGCTTTGTATGTACACGCACATATTAATGTTTTGGACACAACTGGGACAGGCAAAGTGCCTTAATTCTAACACTGGAGTCAAGATCCTGGACGGATACCAATTGGTAGCGGTGCTCTTTGAACTTACGACAAATTAATTTAAGATGAGAAAAATTCGTCACGGAATTCCTGCCTCAGGACACAAACTTACCAGCAAGATAACACCCTTCAAGATCAAGCTCGAGTCAAGCCCAATGCGGAGGATGGCATCTGTTAATTTGTCGAACTTCTCAGGGGCGAGTTTGTTGAGGATGCCACGAACCTGTGAACAATGACAGCAATATCAACAGAGTGTTGCTGTGGGCCTCTGTCCAGAGGGCATTTAATGCTAAGTATCTTTTAAAATGCATCCCGCAACAGCTATCAATACTACGTTACAATAACCGGTGGTAAAGATGACGCTAAAGTCACAAAGAAAAGAATCTGAGGCGTCATTTCTGACCTTGGCTGATGGCTATCAGTAACCTGAGATGCTCAGATGAGCCCCGAGGATGCTCTCTCCGCCGACCGATCAGAAAATTTGCAACGGACAGCACAGACCTAACCAATAAGTTGAAACTAGTGGGAACCCCAAAATAATGTAACATCATGCCCTGCCAATTGTACCATCACATACAGTTCCTAGCCAAAGTAAGACAGACAATTAGTTAGGAGCTTGATTTAATCTGTTTAAGATAGGATTCGGACTTTAGAGTCTCCCGAACGGCGAAGATTCTACGTGACGCCACGTAGTATCCTTGCTGTCCCGAAGACTCCAAATACGGCCTAAAACAATCAACAGTTGGTCCTGTGGTCATAAGCTATCAGCTGATCTAGCAATGTCACAGCATCTACACTATGTCAAAGAGTGGAAAACAAATACCGTAAAGCGGGGCTATTTGAGACAGTGGGGCTATTTTAGACAGTATTTAAAATCGCTATAAAATGAAGATCGTTTGATTTTTGTGTGTTTGTTTGTTTGTTAATTGGGGCTTTAGGGCGCGCCGACTACTTAGGTCATTTTGCGCCCATGATTTTTGTGATATTTTTGTTCAGGGAGGTGTGGAATCAAGCAGTAAAAAATAGCAGTAAAGCGGGGCTATTTGAGACAGTGGGGCTATTTTAGACAGTATTTAAAATCGCTATAAAATGAAGATCGTTTGATTTTTGTGTGTTTGTTTGTTTGTTAATTGGGGCTTTAGGGCGCGCCGACTACTTAGGTCATTTTGCGCCCATGATTTTTGTGTGATATTTTTGTTCAGGGAGGTGTGGAATCAAGCAGTAAATCGCCTGAGCAAATAATTAAGCATAAATTTTAAGTGTTTTTTATTTTATAGCAATTTTAAATACTGTCTCAAATAGCCCCACTGTCTCAAATAGCCGCACCTTACGGTATGTCTATGGCAAAAACTTACCTTACGAAAAATAGGATCGTGGTCTTGGGGAAATGCATCTCGTTTAAGCACAGAAGGTGGCACCCATCGGTTAAAAGGGTTGTTTGAGGAACTGCAATTGTCCCTGAAAAAAAAAAAACATAACATACTGTCACACAATGTGCATTGCCAGCCATCACAAAATTGAAGGAGTGCACCCCTTGGCGACTTCCTCGGTAGACTTTTGATTTTCTTACCTGTAGATGACACAGCAAAGCCATCGCAAATAGGTTACTCATCCACATATCTTTGTCTCACTTAATTTCGCATGTCATATAATTCATCTCACTTTTTTTTGCATAAATCATCGTCACACATTTGCATCGCATATATGACAACACTTCACCTTCCGCATTTTCGCTCCCAAACGCAAGCATTCGCCGATGTTTCTTTCCCTATGCACGAAGCTTCGTCCACAAGTCCTGTCTATCGAACCCACCCTAACAGAGTAAGGATCTTAGAAGTGAGCCCCTGACTACTGAGTACCTTCCCTTTTATGGTGATGTATCAGGTAATGCAGGGTGAGGGGATCACGGGCTTATCGAGAGGAAGGATGACTGAACATCGGCGGATGAAAAGTTAAGTGGATATGATATCAAGCCACGGAAGATGGGCGTCGATGAAGATTTGCTTTTAATGAATATCTGCAGACGAGTACGTGCAAAAACAACGATCTTATGATGGCACAGAGAAATAAGTAATGACAAAATGAAAAAAAAAATAAAGAAATGTGGTAACAAGGCAAATGACTCGCCCAAAAAAGCAGCCGATGGCGACGAACTTTTAGTACCCTCGAGTTGGTCAATTTTACACCTACACTGAAGATTTCATGACCCTGACCCGAGTCACCTTTGACCTGTGATCTGTTTATCGAGACCATGTTTGGCTGGAGCCTGGAATCGCGATTCGGCGTATATATCAGTTCACATTATATGTGCATTACCAGTCTTTTTGGTGGTTAACCCTCGCCGGCACAGGACATTTTGCGTCCTTCGACGGCACAGGGGGGGGGGGGGGGTACGACCCCTCCTCGCGTTTGGCCCCTGATCGAGCTAGAGCTTCGCGGAAAAAAACGAGCATGTTGCCCGTCACGAGAGGAAGCCGATGATACCCAATTATAAGGTCCTAGGTCATCGGGTGACCTTCCAGGTCAGGTCAATGACCCGAAAACCGGGAAAATCGGGACCTGTTAGAAAGTCGTGAAGTGTGGCTGCTATGAGGTTTTCCGGGGTGCTGATCACGAATATCGTGTTAGTTTTGATCAGAGATGATGTCTTTAAGCATTTAGACCAGGTCAGGTCAGGTCAACCGGTAGGAGTTGTGACGGGCATTCGTAATACGTGTCAACCGCCTCTGACAGCTTCATAACATGTTACGAAGGCACCAAAACTACTTCGTAAATGTTCAAATGGTTGCTAAATTCGAATTCAGCTCCAAAAACTAGCCTGGAAACATGTAAAACTCGAAAAAGTGAGCCGAGGTCAACCGAGGTCACCAAAGGTCAATGACCTGACCAGGCCTTCAGGTGACCTTGACACCCACCCTAATGTATGGAAGCAACATCAAATCACATGTTTGAACGTTTGAAACCACGAAAAGCTTGCATACGCGCGGCTAATGCGAGCCGACATACCTACGCCGAATCGTGATTCCGGCCAAACATGGTCTCGGAAAAGAGGTCACAGGTGAAAGGTCATTTGGGTCAGGGTCATGAAATTTTTCAGGGTAGGTGTAAAATTGATCAATGCGAGGGACTGAAAGTTTCGTCGCGATCGGCCGCTTTTTACGCGAGTTATTCGCGAAAAACCTTAGGAGGGGGAGTGCATCAACCCTGTGCCGGGTGAGGGTTAAACTGTGCAAACAAGTGAAATAATGTTGGTCCCATGCATCATGATGGTGGGCAACAAGGTCATGTTAAGCTCAGGTCAAGGACTCAAGACCACTGACCTTGAATGACTTTGGTTCACTTCTTCAAATTTTACCAGTTTCTAGGGTAGTTTTTGGAGCTCATTTTGAATTTAGCCCCCAGTTGAACGTAAGCAAAGCAGTTTTGGTGCCTTTGTTAAATGTTGCAAAGCTGTTCATGCCTACTTCATAGTGGTTGATACCAACTAGGGATAGCCAGCAGGATGCCTACTGTTTGACCTGACCTGACCTAAACTGACTTGGCCTAAATGCATGAAGACATAGTTTTTTTTTGCCGAAACTTACACAAACTTTGTAATCAGCACCACCAAAAAACCCTCACTTTACAAAGTTCTAGCAGGCCCCGACCTCCCGACCTTTGGGTTGCTGACCTAGCCTGAAAGGTCTACCAATGACCTAGGACCTTAAAATTGGGTATCATTGGCTTCCTCTTGTTACAGGCAACACACTTGTTTTTAAGTGAAGCTCTAGGTCAATCAGGAGATGAACAGCAAAATGAGGCACAAAAGACCCTCACCAGCTATAAGTTGGATGCTAGTAAAATTCCAATATGGGCAAGGGTTAAGATCGCAATGCAACAGTCCAGGCGACACGGACACACATAAAACATTTGGTATCACTTATCAGGACCTGTTGGGTACAAATATATGAATTGATGAGGGGAAAACACTCTGCCTCACAGGCCTGAGGAACTAACTAAAAGAACAGCAACACAAACACTCAAAAGTAAAAAATTCATTCTGTTTCAAAATCACCATACACGTATGATGTGTCAGCATGTAGCAACTGAGACAGAAAACCAATAGCTACACTCACCTCCCTCCCGGACCACGAGAAGCACTCCCGACTTCCCTGTCCAGTTCCGTTGTGGGTGGAATCTTGCTGCTGTATGAAACTTTAGGCTTAAAATTTAATATGGTTGAAGGAGGACCTGAAAAAAAAAACAGGGTTGGCATCAATGGGTGATGTATTTTTTCAGATCTGATGTGAGCATTTTAGAGCTCTCATAAGTGGGCTGGGGAAAGTTGCACAACAATCTCTGAAACAGGCTAACATTCCTGATGTTTGTGGAAGACATATTAGAAAAAAAGGCTACAGGATGACTGTCAATGATTGGATCTGTTATAGCCTCCAATAGTTGTCAACATCGCTATAATTGTCAATACTGCCATCATTTGTTAATCACCTCAAATTGAGTATGCACACTCACTGCTGGTCAAACATCAGATACACAATACCTGGAGAAGAGTAAAAACATTCCAATATGTCATGACCTCAATGAGAAGTGAGAACAGTTCCCACCCTGTTTCGCAGCCCAGTCGGGGAAACTATGGCAAAATCTGTTATTTTTAGCAGTCTGCTATTTTTGACAGAAATCTGCTAAAAATGGGTACGCATGTGACGTCATCGTACCCAAATATAGCAGATTTGGGTACGGCCCCATACAAAAGCAGATCTACACCCTAATTGAAGCAAATGCACATCAAATGCCTGGCAGATTCATGCTGAGAATAGTGCTGAGAATGTCCTCTGATATTTTTGTTCAGATCCGACTATTTTCAAATTCATTATTTGAAAATAGTCAGATCTGAACAAAAATATCAGAGGACATTCTCAGCACTATTCTAATCATGAATCTGCCAGGCATTTGATGCGCATTTGCTTCAATTTGGGTGCAGATCTGCTTTTGTATGGGGCCGTACCCAAATCTGCTATATTTGGGTACGATGACGTCACATGCGTACCCATTTTTAGCAGATTTCTGTTAAAAATAGCAGACTGCTAAAAATAGCAGATTTTACCATAGTTTCCCCGACTGAGCCGCTGCCAGCGCGCTGCCAACACGTGTCAAATTGGGTTTCCATGGAGACATCAACTAACTCGTATCTCCAAAATAACCACAAAGTATGACATCAGCTCGCAAAATGTGCTGGCAGCGTGGGTCAAACAGGGCTCCTTACAGGCCAGGTGATGTCTAAAGTAAGATTAAATTAAAAATGTGACAAGGTAACTGGTAAATCATGACACAGTCTAGACCTTACCCAGCATAAAACTGGGATATAGGAGAAAATCTTTCCTTAACTGCACTGATACTGCTCCCTATCAAACAAAGGAGGTGGAACTTCTTATCGTTCTTTGTCCACTAGTTGGTCGTGTGAAAACACAAAGACGTAGGTAACCCCGTCCAGGCGCTTTAACGCCACTACCACAATGATCTGGTGGAAACCTCAAGTCACAGGTGAATCCAAAATGTCTACAGACGTCTGCTCAAGTTTAACCACAGCAAAAATCCAAATAACCACCTTATCGGAACCCAGAAATTTCGTCGCAGTCGGGCGGCGGCGGTTGCTTGTAATCGCACCGTTATGGCGTCGTTGGGCTTGGAATGATTCATTTGTCTAGAAAAAATATACTAGAAATTGTGCTACTTTGAATTAATATCAAAAATTTTGGCGTTGTCGACCATCGTAATTATATTTGAGGATAAATAGCAAAATAAAAATGTTAAATGCTAAAGTTTCTCAATTTTCGAGAAGCTTAAATTATACTAGATTTAGTATAAGATGACAAATCTGGGAAGCGCCTAGTACATTTTAGAAGCAATGGTTTTAGACCAAATTACAAAAGACTTCTAAAAACAGCTGATGGAAATTTATTTATGTTTATAACTGAAAACGTGTACTTTCGTTGAAACGGCAACTAATAAATATTTTAAAATATTTTGGAAAGAAATATTTTTTTAAGAGAGCCTCTTTTTGTATCATTCTAAAATGTTCTTATTTTCGTTAAAAAAAATCGTAATATTTTACGGAAAATCGATTCGGAAATGTACTTTTTGATAAACACAAAGATATGAGGAAAAATGAATTTGTATGCATCAGTCAGCTTATAAGGAGCAAAGTTGTGTTATTGGGCCCTGCAAATTTGTCGATAAAATTTGTTGTTATGCGGCAAAATAACAAGCTACGTTTTGCAAAACTGAAACGACTGATCGCTGCTGTTCGCTTTATCATTTCGGCAAATGAGTTTGGCGATTGGTAGAGGGCCGATGAAAAGAACGTTGGTGAATTAGCTAGCATTTTACCAGTGTCATATATTTATGAGGCCCTCTGAACTGTGATTTGTTGTGTGCCACCCCAGAGTGATAGTAACTAATACAAATTGTGACAGGTGTTGAAGTCAAATAAGTGATATTGCTTGTTTTTCATCACAACAGTGACCCCTCTGAAGATATGATTGATAGCCTGTCCGACTCCGAAACTTGTACAGAATGCTAAGCTTTTAATTGAGCTTCGGCACAAGAATTCAAGCTGGATAAGCTTCCAGACTATCTCAGAGATACGGTTGACTGGTTTATGGGGTAAGAATGGCTTTGTTGACTATACCTATTGCTATTACAAATGTGATTAAATCATCTTCCTGTGGTGCAGCTCAAATGATAAAGAAAGGAACATCATGATAGTGGGCTGTTTTTTGTCTCATACAGATACCTACTCATCTTTCTCATTTATACCTACTCATTTGGGTAGGTATTTAATTGTTTTCCCACTGAGTGATGCAACATGTTTGATACTATTGAAAATACTTTATTTGAAAAGTGCAGGACTGCGAAATGACAGCATATTGTGTTGAATTTCTGAACTATTTTAGCATTTTATTAATTCCAATTTCTGAATATTTCAGAATTTTGTTAATGATAATCTGAGAGTTAGCATTGTTAGGGTGTGAACAAATAGGTATGATGCTACCTATTGAATTTGTTTTACTTGCAATGTTTTGATGTAACTCTGTGTAAATGAAAATGTTACTATTGATTTAAATAGATCATTCTGAACGCAGACCAAAACTCACCTATCTTAGGTACCTGGACTTACCTTACCTTCAAGGTGTGAAACTTGAACCTTAATCATATAATAAATGGGTAACATTGATCTGCTCTCTTTTGGGCCATACATACTCCCAAGTCCCAGAAGGTCAAGATAGGTACTCCAAATGATTATTGTCATATTGTTTTCCAAAAATGCTTGTAAATGGTACCTAGGTATGTATTTCCCCCTCCCCCAAAAAATATATTTCCCCTTATGTATCTCCCTCAGGTCAATTGTTTCTCAGTGTCCAACAATGTCACATTGCCCATTGCTAAGATTATTGTAGCTGGGGCACTTCTGTTTTCAAATAGAACTATCAACTTGATGTCTAGTTTTGAGACTGACCAGTTTCAAAAAGCATCCTCAGCTTTCACTGTCAGACATATATTCACACTGTGCTGACCACTAGTTTAAAACATTTTTCTGAATGGAGTATGGACTGAATGGACAGCACACTATATTATGCAAGACTTTGTGCCAAAGAGCAATTATATTTTCCTTACAAGTGGCTGTAGTGTTCAAGCTATCTCTTTAATTGCATTGCTGAGACCAGTAGTAGCTGTAAATTCATGACTGTATTTAGTTGAGAGAACAGGTGTTGCTCTAATGGTATATCCATAGCCTGTGGGTAGGATGTAGGTAGTACCTGCAGCTGCTAGGGTACCTGCAGCTGCTAGGGTACCTGCAGCTGCTAGGGTACCTGCAGCTGCTAGTGTACCTGCAGCTGCTAGGGTACCTGCAGCTGCTAGTGTACCTGCAGCTGCTAGGGTACCTGCAGCTGCTAGGGTACCTGCAGCTGCTAGGGTACCTGCAGCTGCTAGGCTGCCATTTTAAGCAGGTATGCAGCTGCTAGGCTGCCATTTTAAGGAGGTATGCAGCTGCTATCAGCAAGACAGGAATGATTTGTGTGGAGAGATTCACTGATCAGACAGATAGTTGTGGCTGAATATGAGCAGTATTGCATTGTAGAGATTCATTACTGCTGCAGATGTTGAAGCATTAAAAGGGTGTACCTGAGTACCATGTGAGTCACAGCTCCATTAGCTCCATTTCCAGTTGCTGTAAACAGTATGTCACACCTGAATGCTGCAAAGAAAAATGCAAGTGGTGTGAATATGAATTTTGATTTAGGTCCACAGCATCCTTCAGAAATTAAGTGACTCTCTCAGCAGACCAAAAATTGATGACATGGTCATAAGCTGTTACAATCAGTTGTCCTTATCCCATGCTCTGTCAACCTGTGCCCCACTGATGCTCCCGAATTTCTATGCCCTGCTGGGGAGGGGGGGGGGGGGGTGAATGCCCTTCTCTCACTTGACTCCTGGACCAAATAGTCATCGGTGACCTCGAGGTCAATTAAATTAGGCTAGGCTCGACAGTTTTTCCGGGGCTATCAGACGCCGTTTGAATTTTGACGATCGGCCCAGTAGTTTCGGAGTTAGGAGGGGAGCTTTGAAAAGCCCCTCCCCCCCCCCACAGTAGGGCGCGTTATACGCAGACCCCAGTGGGACGCGGGTTAAGAGGGGTCACAGGTGCAATTCTCTGTTTCATTGTATCAGTTTTACCTGATGTTTGGAATTGTTTAGTATGACTTTTGTCCAAAAGAAAGCTCAATTTTCTGCCATTGACTTTTCCTATTGGAGAAATCGCAAAATAAACTGATCCTAGCCTAGGTGACTGATATCGAACTTCTAAGATATACATTTTATACACCTTGTTATTCTTATCAATCGTTGAAAGTTCCAAAGCGATTGTTCAGTCGATGTAGCTATGGCGAGCATTAAAACCTTTTCTGAGGTAACGCCTTATAACGTGACCTGGTGATCTGACCTTTGGGGCGTTCCACGACAAATCGACAAATAAAAAATTAAATTTGCACCCTCATATTTTATTCTTCGTTGAAAACTGGTGTAAGGGGTTGTGATGGGCAGGGAAGCCAGCTGTGGCAAGGATTTTTTTCTTCGGACAACGGTTTCCGAGATATAGCCTCGGGCAATTCCTGGAGTTCGCGCTGCAGCCCTATGTTTGGCGGCCTATAACTCAGAAACTATTGGTTTTTTACGATAAAAACTTTATATGGTTCAACTCACAATCAACCAACAAACATTTTGGCTATCTCGGATTTTCAATTTTTGAAAATTTTGATCACGTGACCTTTTGTCCTATTTTTCGAAGAGTGACCTTGATATTTTCCCCACTGAAAGTTGCAATTTTGTCTGATGACGATTAAAGCCTTATCGATTGTCATTCATATGCGATAATAAAAAAGTGGTTATCGCCCTGCGTTGACCTCAGGTCAGGTCATTTTTATGACCTGTCCATTATTACGAGCGGGAGCGACAGCGAGATCTCGAGAATAAAGTAAGATAGCGACAAGCGGTAAACGGTAAAGGGTACACACGGATAAGGTCTATAATTTTTACTGAGGTCATTTTCAGGTCGGGTCAAAGATGACGTCACAGGAGCTAAAAGGAAGTCAAAATAGCGGCACTATACATATATATGAAGTTTTTCTCGAGTAACTTTCAAGGTATCCCAGCTAGGAACAAACTAATAGCACCATCGTGATCCTCTCGTCGATCGGCATCGAAACATATGTATGTTGACCTCGAAAGGTCGAAAGGTCAAAAGTTGACGCGAACTCCAAGAATTGCCCGAGGCTATATCTCGGAAACCGTTGTTCGAAGAAAAAAATCCCTGCCACAGCTGGCTTCCCCAACCATCACAACCCATTAGACCAATTTTAAGCAAAGAATAAAATATGAGGGTGCAGGGCACTTGTCGATTTGTCGTGGAACGCCCCCTTTAGCGACCTGGGTCTGTAATTTTCCGGTGCGAGCGACTTTAGCGAGTGTCATTTGAGCGAACGTCATTTGAGCGAACCATTTTCAGCGAATGGCAATTCAGCGATTATCAAGTTCATCGATTATCAAATATAGCGATTATCAATTTTAGCGTAAGCTATGTTTCAGCGACATCTATTTCGTCGACTACAATTTGAGCGGCTGTCAATTCAGCGAAACATTTCATCGTCCTGTAACGGTGGATTTTTTTTCTTTTGCGAGCGTATGCGTACAAATGTTTCCGGAATTTCTCATGGTTATCCGGAACTGGATGGCGGATGTCGCGCGTTCAAAGGTCAGACATTGAGCTCCAAATTTAATGCTACATTTTTTTTTCAAAAATTCCAACGGTTCAATTTCACCCCCCCCCCCCCCCCCTACCCCACCCTGCTCTTTGTCAATAATGGTGACCAAACGTTTGTTCAGAGATCAATATTGCTTGTGCTTTTTTTCAAGAGACTGCCCCGCTTGAATTTGGATCAGTTCCCCATGTTGTAAAATTTGTTCTTGCCCCAAGCACCGTACGAATTTCCAGATATTTGGGTGAGGTCCCTGAAACATAGTCTGGATTCCCCTGTGCCATCTCTCTAGTTTATTATTGGTCCTTGGCATTCCTTCCGTCGCCCTATCTCTCACGTTCCACATTTTCAATTCAAATTTTGCCCGCCTCCTTCCCCTCCCATGCACCCCTTGTTGGTCGTCCGATGTACATATGTGTCTTCAAAATTCAAATGATGTGTAAAGAGGTGCAATAATTTCTGAAAAGTAGCAAATGATTGACTTTCGTCGCGTTCGGTCATTCGCTGTAACTGCATCGCTCAATTGGCCTCCCACTGACCCCCATATATTCGCTCAATCTGGTTTCGCTGATTCTGGTCCTCGCTAAAGTTGATAATCGCTGTGATTGAATTCGCCGACTTGACAATCGCTGAAAAAGCCAATCGCTTAAATTGATAATCGCTGAAAATGTTTCGCTCAAGTGTCGTTCGCTGAAATAACGTTCGCTCAGGTGTCGCAGAACCGTAATTTTCACATTTGCAGAAAAGATGCATAAAAATGTGTGCCAAAAACTGCAAAGAGATGTCCAAACATCCCCTCCTCCAGGAGGGCGCGGGTTAAGTAGCTAACTTACCTAATGCCTTTGTCGTGTTGAACAGACGGTTCAGGTGATCCAGACGATCGAAACAATAAGTAACTTTCGGATTGCCGGAACAAATGTTAAGCTTTATCTTAACATTTTCGCATAGCTACTGAACACAGTCCATCCTCACGCTGACTCGTCCCAATTATGTAATCGTAAACCGATCGAGCAGCGAAAGGATTCGAATTCGGACATTGATTCATCACGTTTATTGATTTTTTTAAATCTTAAGTATCGAATGGGGTCCAACTAATAAGGGTAGGGTAGGTCTGGTCAGTTTAGCTAATATTGATAATGTTCATTTGGTTATTTTGGCTGAAAAAAATGACAGGAAAACTCGTTCATACAGCTGATTTATTCAGCAAAGATTTGCTCAGGAATCCTCGAAACCGAGATTTCGATGTTCAACTAAGGAAATCAGATGAATAAACAGAGAAGCATATTTGACTGCTGTACCTCTTGCTTGTTTGATGCAGTCGATGAGCTAAGGAAATATGTAAAGTTGCTAAGCAAAGTTATCACCTTGAGGTCAATGGTCAATTATACATAAATTAATAACGTAGGAATGTTCTTTGCGTAACTAATTTAGGTTATGTCCGACGGTCCGTGGGTGTATTGTTAGATGTGTGTCGGTTGTGTGACACATCGCACACGCCAAGGCAGCCAGGTGACGTGCCGCCCCGTTCTGACCCCGTCCCGCCCGTGTGTGTGTGTGTGTGTGTGTGTGTGTGTGTGTGTGTGTGTGTGTGTGTGTGTGTGTGTGTGTGTGTGTGTGTGTGTGTGTGTGTGTGTGTGTGAGCAGTAAGGCGCGCCGGAAGGACCGCGAGAGCTCTGCGCCGTCGCAGGAGGAGCACAAGCTCTACCTGGAGGAGGCGGTGCTAGAGCGGAAGCACAGCGACACCGACCTGCGGCCGCTGGTCGACCTGCCGCCCGGACTCGGCTACAACGAGTGGCTCGCCTCCCACAGTCAGTACCGGCACGGACGGACGGACCGGAGATGGCCGGCCGGTGCCGTGGACGTTTTTTTAGTGTCGCATAAATATTGGCGTGGCATGTTCATGATAATTTTTATTCTGATTTTTTTTTTTGGGGGGGGGGGACCTGCAAAAATTATGTGAGACACGTTATGATTTTGGCTTCATCAAATTGTGTGTGTGTGTTTTTTTTAATCATCGTATCAATCCCAAAACATCGTATGATTTTATCGTATTGCACTGCCATATGCTGTTGTGCTCGTCTTCGTCTACATCGCTGTTCATGTATAAATCAATGACAGTAGCATTAGTTGATCAGAGTATGTCAGTGTCAGTATCTGGTTGCGTGTCACTGTGACAGGTCAGCTGTCAATGTCAGTGTCAGTATCTGGTTGTGTGTCACAGTGACAGGTCAGGTGTCAATGTCAGTGTCAGTATCTGGTTGTGTGTCACTGTGACGGTCAGCTGTCAATGTCGGTGTCTGATCATATGTGTCGGCCAGTCATTGCCACAATACCCGTTCACGGTCCACGTATCGTTACCCCGTGACTCACCAGTGTACCGCTGCGCGCGCTGACGTGTTGAGCCGCGCTCCAGGAACACACCATTGTCCCCGACACCGCGCCGGCCCTGACCGCTGTCCGTTTTCCGTTTCAGCCATCGACTTTTTCCAGCACATAAACCTGGTGTACGGCACCATATCCGAGTACTGCACCTCGTCCACCTGTCCGGATATGAACGGACCGTGCCAAAGGTAAGGGAATGCTGTGTATTCGAGTACCTACTGTATATCCGAGTACTGCTCCTATTCTACCTGTCCGGACGTGAACGGACCGTGCCAAAGGTATGAGTACCTAGAGCACTGGACACCCGAGTATGTCGTCGACCCTTCCAGACATGAACGAGGGACGGTGCCAAGGCGAGGGACGGAGCTTCGGGCACACATCCAGGGGTCGCCTAAACCAACTCTGTCTTCCGTCGTAGCTCTATGTCACTGTGGCAAACAACAATGCATTGACGTCCTTTGTTCAAATGTCTACGATGATTCCATTCTCTCGGAAAAAATATATCGCCATGCATAGACCTCTGTATACAGAAGTCTATGCGTCATGGCATTGTGAAATCACTGATCGTGCAGAGGTCTGTATGTGACGTACGACAGCTGGAAGACCTGTCTCGAAATTTAGACGGGCGTGGAGGTCTGGCGAACCGTGGACGTAGATAACAGTTCGCTCTCCGAAAACCAGCCTTCAATTAGCAACACCTCCAGAACTTTAAAAAAAAAAAGTCGCGAAAATGAGTGTTGTCTGTTGATATACCCCGGGGTTGTCTGAAAGGACCAACTTTTCCATGCTGATCGATCTGTGTATCTTTTGCGTCCTATTTGGGTTATAGTGGAAATTGCTCCTCGGCTGCGTTGTTATCAGTGTAGAATAAGGCTAACAGCTGAACTCTGAAAGCTTTATTGGGAGTTATAACATGTTGCCGTTTTCTGCTATACAAGCCGAATGGGCTGTTATCGACCATTTTTTTCGCAGACATCTCAAAAACGGCGTTCCGCACATGTGAACATTTCAGACCCAGGACTTTCAAGGTCAGGTCACGTCCAGGTCACGTCAAGTGACCTCACCTCAGAAAAAGTTTCAATCCTCGTCAGAGCTACACCGACTGAACGATCGCCTTGAAACTTTCAGCGATTGCTAAGAGTAACAGTATGTACAAAATGTAATTGTATATCTCGGAATTTTGATATCGGTGACCTAAGGTCAGGTCAGCTTTGCGACCTCTCCATTATAAGTCAATGGGAGAAAATTGAAATGCGCCTCTTGTGGACGAATGGTGTTCAAAACCCTCTCAAACATCAGTTCATACGTAAAAATGACACACTGAATCGGAAAAATGCACCTGTGACCTCTCTGTGTGCCCTTGAGGTCATATCAGGTCATGAACGGTCACCAGCAGATTGTTGGTTATAACTTTTGATAGAGACGTCCTAGAGCGATGAAAACACGTCAAATGTATTCAGCTCGACGATACGGATCGACGGATGTGCAACATGACCCTTTCCGGTCAGGTCATGACCTTGACCTGAGGTCAAATTTTCAAAATGACCTTTCAAGGTCAGCGAATAGTTCATTCGACGCGTCTCGACGAGAGGAACACGATGCTGGCAAACACAATGTCGTGGCTTGCTTGAATCAAAAGTTATTACCGAAAAACTGTGTTAAGTGAAAACGGCTATTTTTACAGTTTTTGCTCTGTGGAGGCTAAACCGTTGACCTGAGGTCAAATCTGAGACTATTATCCAGAAAGGTCTGTAAAAGGGCTATCGAATGCGCTTTTCCGCGGCGCTGTAGCTCTATTGGTTCCCGAGATAGCCGTTGGCAGTTTCCAAAACTGTTGAAATGGCCTACATTTGACCTTTGATGACGTCTGGCGACCTGACCTTTGACCTGACCCAAAAAATGACCGAAGTATTTCCGTCATTATTTTTGACGCTCTTTTGAATGCCGCTTACCGCGTGTCGCTACGTGGCCCAGGAGCCGAGTTAGATTGGGGCCGGCGCGGAAGTCGCGGAGCCACTCTGTATCCTCCCCCCTCCCCATTCCGTTTTGTCGATCACAGATTAGTAGCTTGGCACGTGTAGTCCACCCACGACGGTCCACCCACGATATAACCGAATTATCAACGACCTCTGTTACAGGCAATACTTTTGGATGGACGAGAAGGGGAAGAAGATTAAGACGACGGCGCCTCAGTATGTGGATTATGTGATGACTTACATTCAGAAGACTCTCAACGACGAGACGGTGTTCCCCAGTAAACCCGGTAAGACTATTAAAGGGACCCTCCCACCTTAACATTAGATTTGAGTTGAGATAGCCAAAATGGGGTCCCTGGCTCACAATTACCGGTTTCGGCACTCACAACATCGAGAAATGCCTTAAATCGGAAATATTGAATTTCAAAATTGCAGCATTTTGATTCAGAGGGGCTAATGCTTAGGAATACCCCTCTGAATGTGTGACGTCAGCGCAGATATCTAACGCTTTTTAAATGTTTGACTTAAACGTTTTGTAGCACGCGGTGGTATATGCTTATTTGCGCGCAACATCTGCCGCAAACGCCGCACTTCTAAAATAAAGTCGCTAGAAACAGCGGAGATCCCAAAAAAGTAAACAAAAGTAAAAGTCTAATATCTTGAAAACCGGTGAATATTTTTCGGTGAAATTTGGTAGATATTCGTTTTCGCTCTTTCTGAACCGAGCGACATCATTTTCATGCCAATTCATAAACTTTTTTGAAGGTGGGAGGGTCCCTTTAAGTGAATTTGTTGATATTTCCAAATAAACCCAATGGATTCCTCCGGTAAACCCAGACTGATTCCCTCTCGACCCATTGAAAGGTTCTAGTTAACATGCTGATACTTTCCATCAAAGCTAATGAAATAAACTGCCCAATAAACACTAAACCTGTTGAGACCCCCACCCCCACCCCTCCCCCACAAACCCCGTAAGATTATCCAGTAAACCCATCGAGAATCCCAGTGAACCTGGAGATGCCCTCCCCCAAGTAAATTGGTGAAACTCCCCATAAAACCTAGACTATGAGACTCTCCAATAAACCCGGTGATTTGGCCCAATAAACCCGGCTAAATTCCCCTAGCAAAATCAGTAAGATTCCCCAGCAAACACGGCAAACTCGGTTAGACCTCCCCCCCCCCCCCCAGTAAACCTGTTTAAACTAGATAGTGGGATGGATGCGTCTCCTGTCACTGGTCTATGGGGAAGGGAGGGCTACAAGCTAGCTGAATGTCGACTGAAATTCACGCGAATGGTTTCGATAGTTTCGCTATGCTACCGTATGCAACTTGTTCTACCATATGCCATGGGCGTCCGATGTCGAGTGCATGCTAGGATGGCGAAGGGGAGTGGTTGCTCTACATTCGCTATCTGAAGAACTACCGGTCGCATTTCCTGTAAAAACGTCAGCCATGCCTCGCTCTGTGACGTGGCATTTCCGTACGGAAACGGTGCAAGTCGGCGTATGCATCCAAAACACCGGTGTTATTACGAAATACCGTCTTAGGCGGATCAAGATAAGCTGGATTCAGTGTCGGTCGGCTTCTACCTGTCATACTACCTTCAAGCGTGCCTGCTGGTCGCACCTTTGCGCTTGAATAATGTTATCGGTTGTTTCATTTAGTCTGGGATTTCTTTGTCAATAGATGCTACTTGCGATTGGTGACTATGGCGCCATAAAATGACCATCATCTAATGAAATATCCCCATCACATATACGTTGTGGTCTATCTGTGATTTTGTCTGTTCTACTATCTTTGATAAGCTGCCGTACCATAGCTCGGCAAAAATTTTCCTTATTCATTCATATAGAATATGGCTAGTGGCTACAAACATTAAATGTAGTTTCACAAAACGTCTATTGTCCGCCACGAATTATTGCAAGGTAATGTGCTGTGGGAAGGGAGGCTGAAATTACTGCTTCGCCTTGAATTGGCGTATGTTAGAATTTGTTAGATACCCATTACACCAAGCATATGATTGTCTCAGAATATACGTTTGTGCTATCTTTTTAGAGACCCCCTTTTTTCGCATGAGCTGTTTAGCTGACTGTTATGTTTCTATCATTGCAGTGAACGACTTTCCGACCGACTTCGAGCTGGTGGTTCGCCGCATCTTTCGGCTGTTGTTTCACGTGCTGGCGCACGTGTACCATAACCACTTCCGGGAGGTGATGCTGCTCACGCTGCACGCCCACCTCAACTGTATCTTCGCGCACTTCACGCTCTTCAACGAGCGCTTCAAGCTGATCGACGACAAGGAGACGGAAGTGTTGCATGACCTGGTGGTGGCGCTGAAACTGGCGCCGCGTGGCGTGACGTCACCGCCCTCCGCCTCCGCCGCCGCCGCGGCCGCGGCTGCCGACGGCGACGGCGATGAAGACGAAAATAAGGAAAACATTGACGTGGGCAACGGCCGGCCGGCCGCTGACAAGGCGGTCAGCATGGAGACGGACGAGCCGGCGCCGGCGCCGGCCGAGCCGGGCGCGGTCGGCGGCGCCGCGCCGGCCGAGTCCTGCCAATAGTGATATCCACCTACCGAGCCCGCGCTGCGCCGCGCCGCCGCCTGTTTTACCCTGTTGGACGTCGCGCCCCGCTGTCGGCCCGACCGGTAAGTTATTTTAACCACGTTAGTTTCTTCTGCAAGTGCGCGACCTCGCTTGCATCTAGTCGCTCTGTTGTGATTGCTGGTACAAATGCGAGCCGTTGTTGAGTGTGGGTCGGCGAGCGTGTGCGGTCGCCGCCGGTGCGCCGCGGCCGGCGCCGGCGCCCCGTTTTACTGGAGTGACCGGGCGCGCGGCCCGGCCGGCCGGCGGCTCCCTCTCCATATCATGTAGTGTGGAGCGCCGCCCGCCTCTCTGCCTTCTGTGGTGCGCGCGCGCGCCGCCGCGGCCCGCCCGGCAGTACCGTCAGCGGGCCGCGTCCCATCGCCGGAGCCGCCGGAGCGCCGCTCCTACCCGTGGTACGCCGCCGCCGCCGCCGCCGCCGTCGCCTTTGTCGTCCAACTCCTGTACTTAGTCGGCCCGCGTGGCCGCCCCCTGATACCAAAGTCCCTGCGCCGCGCGGCCACCTCCTCCGTTACGGGGCGCGTGCGCCGCCGTGACCGAGCCGAGATCACGTGGGGTCCGGTCCGATCGGGGTATTTTTGAGAGAGAGCGTGAGAGCCGGGAGAGCGAGTGTGGGGACGTACTGTACTGGATAGGGCGCTGATCATGGCCCGGCTAGCCGCGCGGGCGGCGCGGCGGCCGCGCCGATCGCCGGGTGGCCGCCGTGCCCCGCCGGCTAGGTAATTCACAACCGTAGAATGTGATAGACGGACTGACCTCAGGGTATATGAGAGGTCATTCCGATAGACCAGAGACAAAATAAATTATGTGCACTGTGCTGACTGCGTGTGGGAGCTGACACACTGGGCTGGTGGAGGCGGGGGTGCGACCGACGTGCTGGGTCGTACCGGCGCTGAACGAAGGGAGGGGGGGGGGGGGGGCTGGCGACCCGATCCAGAACTGCTAACACCGCGTAGCTCAACGACAGCTGTGCTGCAGTCGAGTCTGCCATCTCCGGGAACCCAATGATAAACCGACATAACAGCGACAGATTCGCCATAGAAACAACGCTATTCCAGTTCGGAAGGTCAATTTCCCTGGACGTGTCGAGCTTACGTAACGACGATTTTACTGTCATCACGGGTTCACATGTTCTTTTCATGCCAACGAATTGAGTTTTGAGCATCTATCTGGCCAGTCTGCTAGATATGGGAGGCATAAACAATTGCAGGGCCGCTTAGCTCAGTCCGTGACTTGGCTAGGCCGTGTCATGTAAACAAACCATGGTGAAAAGCCTATCTGTTCAGGCAGGATGTGCAGTTCGCTGGAAGCAGCTCATGGCCAGCCAAGTCATGTGCATATCGCGGAACCCGGTGTGGTGAGGTTTTCCGGTCGTTCCAAGTTGCTCGGTGGCCGTATTTCACCCACGTCTTGCCTGGCGGTTTGAGGGACATTCAGCTACGGTCTATAGCACACATAAACGAACCCGAGTCGAACGTTTTATGTGCAGCAAGCACACTGTCACAAGCCCGGGTGACCAGTGGTAATCAGTCGTGGGGCCAATCGGAACTTGGACCTTAGGAATTATGATTTTGTCCAATGTCCAATTCGGAATTCGGTTGCATGGTCATTGGTTACGGTCCATTCACACCGAGTCGTGTATAACCCGTCAAGCCCTCATGTCTAGCCGGAGCGTTTGGTCTCGTCAGGCCGTAATTTGAATGTATCCGTCATATGGTCAGCCTCAGGTGTCACCCGGACTGGTGAGCTGCAGGGCTGCAGAGTCGGAGTCGGTCGGAGTCAACAGTTATGACCGGAGTCGGAGTCGGAGTCGCCGAAAATCCATCGACTCCGCAGCCCTGCTAGATGGAGTCGGAGTTGGAGTCGGCCGAAGTCGACAGTTCTGCCCGCAATCAAGGTCGGATTTGGTTTTTAACCCTCGCTGACACAGGGGAGGGGGTTGATGCAACCCCCCCTAAGGTTTTTCGCGAATAACTCGCGTAAAAAGCGGCCGATCGCGACGAAACTTTCAGTACCCTCGCATTGATCGATTTTACACCTACCCTGCAAATTTCATGACCCTGACCCAAATGACCTTTGACCTGTGACCTCTTTTCCGAGACCATGTTTGGCCGGAATCGCGATTCGGCGTATGTCGGCTCGCATTAGCCGCGCGTTTGCAAGCTTTTCGTGGTTTCAAACGTTCAAACATGTGATTTGATGTTGCTACCATACATTAGCGTGGGTGTCAAGGTCACCAGAAGGTCAGGTCAGGTCAATGACGTTTGGTGACCTCGGGTGACCTCGGTTCTTTTTTTTCGAGTTTTACATGTTTCTAGGCTAGTTTTTGGAGCTGAATTCGAATTTAGCAACCATTTGAACAATTACGAAGTAGTTTTGGTGCCTTCGTAACATGTTACGAAGCTGTCAGAGGCGGTTGACACGTATTACGAATACCCGTCACAACCCCTACCGGTTGACCTGACCTGACCTGACCCGACCTGGTCTAAATGCTTAAATACGTCATCTCTGATCAAAACTAACACGATATTCGTGATCAGCACCCCGGAAAACCACATAGCAGCCACACTTTACGACTTTCTAACAGGTCCCGATTTTCCCGGTTTTCGGGTCATTGACCTGACCTGGAAGGTCACCCGATGACCTAGGACCTTAAAATTGAGTATCATCGGCTTCCTCTCGTGACGGGCAACACGCTCGTTTTTTCCGCAAAGCTCTAGCTCGATCAGGGGCCAAGCTCGCCTGTGCCGGCGAGGGTTAAAAGCCGGAGTCGGAGCTGGAGTCGCCGAAAATCCATCGACTGTAGCCCTGGTGAGCTGTCCCGTCATTCTGTTTCGTGCGGTCCCTTTCTACCGAGCCGTGCACTGCCCAATCAAATCTAATCAAATCGGCGACTGCACCCGTAGGTGGGCCATGAACCTGCGGCAGCGTTTATTTTTGTTCAGAAATAATGGCTATTGAGTTGAACTCAGTGGCCCAGACTGCCTCAGCAAGGATGCTATGCTATTGATGACGGCGTTACTGAATTCCCATTCCCCAGCTTCGATAAGTCCGCCTTTTGATCTGCACCGCAGCCACTAGAGTGGGGCTTCAGTCCAGTTCACTGTGCGAGCGTCGTGCGAGGTCGCCGTGTGGTCTCAGACCCCGAGCTGTTCCCCAGTGTCATATATCGCGTGTCCATTTCAGTGTTTTCCGCCACTCTAGCCAAACGTGTCCTTGCTCCCTTATATGGGCTCTTGACGCGTTCGTCTGCGTCGATTTCCATTTTATCGCTCTGTCATCTATTGTTTGAATGGTATATGTGGTACCGGCTTGGCCAAACTTCCTTGTTGAGAAATAAGTGTATGATTATTCAGTGAACTTGAGCAAACAATACGCCATTTAAACGCCTCTGCACGCAAGAGGCAAGCATTAGCATAGCAAGGCCTCTTTCTTTTTCTTTCGTGTTCTTTTTGGTCGCGGTAAAGTTTTGTCAGACTGCGAGCGTCGAGGCAAACTCTTCTGGACTTCAGTCCTTAGACCGTAGTTCAATTTCGGATCCCTGATCGACCAGCTGACAATATTATTTTGACCCCCCCCCCCCCCCATTTCCACTCACCGTTAAAAAACAGCGATGTATTTCGCACATGCCGCGTATTTATTCTCCTATCAATACAAATGACTCACGAATAAATGCCAATGCATGACGATGACAATGTACACAATGCGGGATGAAAGAACGAGCAACAGATACATCACACCTCTCACTTCTCTCTCTCCATAATAATCAGCAATAAAAACGGCGAGCCAGACTACACAGCTAGCAATCACATATATGTATAGAGGCGCACCGGCGTGCGCCGCCTAGCACTCTGCGAACCTGGAATGACTGGGTCGCGCTCTGTCCACGGGCAGGGTGGCGCCGGCCGCCGCTGGCGCCGCCTGCAGCGCGCTCACCACCTGGTCGCCACTGAGCACGGCCATGGCCACGGCCTCGTCGTAGCCGTGCAGCCGGCGCATGTCCCGGTACAGCTGCGCCTGGTCAAAGTCCCGCAGTCGCGCCTCGCTCAGCGGCGGCCCGGCGCCGTAGTGCTGCATCAGCAGCCGGTGGTCGGCGCCGGGCGCGCCACGCTGAGAGCCCGACCGGCCCCCCGAGTCGAGGTGTTTGCGCTCCTCGTCAGAGAGGTCTGCCAGCAGCAGGTGCCGGCGCGGCTCGTGACGCTCGATCTCCTCGTAGACGGGGTCGTCCACCTCCATGTAGGTGTGGTAGGGCGAGTGGGAGCGCCGGCCGCCGCGCCGCGACTGCTGCTGCTGGTAGACGGCGAAGAACTCGGCGTTGGCGCGCGGCCCCAGCTGGTCGGCCGGCACCGGCACTAGCACGGCCGCCGGCGGACGCTCCAGGCTCGGCGCCGACGCCAGGTAGCGCACGTTGTTGAGCGTCAGGTGCGGCGACTCGTGCTCCGAGCCGGTGCCGTGGCCAGAGTCGTGACTCTGGAAGTTGTAGCAGCCTCCCTGAGACACACAGAGGGCGGTCTGGTCAGATGGCGGCGAACATTCGCGGCAGTGGAACACACAAACACCACGGAGACTGAGACATTACAGAGCATCATATAAATCCATAGGTGGCCTAAGGCAGACTTGACGAGTCACAGCGTAGCACTGACTGTGTTTTACAAATATACGGATATAACCAAACAGCCATATACGGTATCAAACGAGGCACTATGCCACACCAACCAGCTAAAAGAACGGGGGCCTTGGAACGGAGCTGCGCGAACGCTACCATACAGGCGTTTCATCGTTTCATCATGCTTTTCATCGTTACACAAACGGACACCGAAGAGCCGCTATGACAAGCCTCACCTTCTCGACCGCCAGCATCTCTCCCGTGAGGTTGGTCCGCAGTTTGGCCGGCATGGAGCTGCGCATGGTGCCGCGGCGCAGACTGCCGCCGCCGCCGGCCGGGCCGCCGGCAGACAGCGAGTTCAGGGTGGCCGACTTGGGGTGGGCCGGCGCGTGCGGCGACCACAGCCGAGGGATCTGTGGCAGGGCGGAGGTACAGGGTCAGTACAATACACACAGGGAAAGATAGAACGCACATCGAGGCGCATCAGTACATCACGGTTATCGATTTCCTCTCGTTGCTCCAACCGGAAAGTAATCGCATGCTTTGTCCACATAATATCTTATTCCGAAGAGAACACCGTTCTTTACCGCGCGCAATGAGATGACGAGCTGGCAGCAGCACATTTTCCCGTCCCCCGCGACTCGTGCCCGAAGTAACACCATATCAGATGCGAGGGTGCCCAAGGCATGCATGCAGGCAGGCAGACGTGACAAGCGAGTGACGTCACACACGGAGACGGGTGACGTCACACAGGGCGGGTCGTGACGTACGTTGTTCTGGGTCGACATGTTGAGCACCGTGTTGATGGTGCCGTTGCTGGTGGAGAGGGTCTCGGCGCGGCCGCCGCCCAGCGTCTTGGAGCTCTTCAGACAGACGGGCAGCAGGCCGCGACTGTCGAGGGCGCTCCTTACCTGGCGTGGTCGGGCAAAGGGGGCGTGCTACAGTGCGTGCAGACAACACACAAACACACAGACGGACAAACGGACCGGGACGGGGCGGCCGTGCGGCAGCGGCAGAACCAGCAAAGCCGGGCAAACCCAGTGCAGCGTGGCACAAAAATTAAATCGGCGTAGACCCATTGAAAAAGATCACGCTTGAATAAAGCGTGGCCCAAAGTAAGCTAACAGCACACGACATAACACCAACGTGCAGTATGACATACCCCAAATGGTTAACTAACGCACCGCGTGGCGAAAAATAAGCCAGCGTGCACCAATTTTAGCATGAAATAAAAGTGAACACACAAAATGGTACGCGGTACACGCCAAAAGTACGGCAAGCAAACCCTTACGCAGCGGGGTACGTAATGCGCCTTGACCCACCGTGCAGCGGGTGTAAGCCTAACAGGGAAGCAGGCAAACTGGTATGACCCCACACTCACTCCATCCCCTACCTTCTCGTTCTGGATGCAGTGCAGGGCGAAGATGAATATTCCGAGCAGGGCGTTGAAGACGGTGAACAGGTAGGCCATGACCACGTTGCGTCTGTCGAGGAACACCAGTCCGAATGTCCAGCTGAGCACCAGCAGGAGCAGGAGGAGGACGGCGGCGCGCAGCCAGCCGCGGATGTACGACAGCCGCGACTGCTCCTTGGTCTTGATGGTGATGGCCGCGCTACTGTGCTGCAGCATCACCCACACGGCCAGGCCCAGGAAGATGGCCGTCAGCTGAAACAAAACGGTGGTGGCGGTCAAACATCTGAGATAATCAGACACCACGGCCGTGATTTCGTGATACTTGCTCACAAACACAGGCCACACGGGTCGTCAACTAACACAAACACGCGTCAAATCCAGGTCACACTCACAGACCACTTTTCACGTCACACTGCAATCAAATTCCGATCTTCCGCGTCACGGGCCGCGCCCGCTCGGACCGGTTCCGTCATCCTGTCGGTCCGCTGGCGCAAACAACTCGACCCAGCTGTGGCGGCCCGCTCCGGCGACATTATGCAGCCGACCCGATCGGTCTCGGGTACGGCGATATTGCAAACACCCATTTGAATTGAGCAAACGGGCCGGCGGCGGCGGGCGTCGCTGCAGCGGGCCGAGCAAACAGAGTGCGGCGCCGGTGGGCCGCTCCCGGGGAGACGCGTAAACAGAGGCAGCGACGGCCGCGGCCGGGCCTGCCCAGTGCCCACCGGCCTGGGACTGGGGCTATATTTTGAGCCGAGACGGCTATTACTTTTGGGTTGTAGGCAGCCTGAACTGTACCGATGATTGTTGTCTGTGGAACAGGGTGAAAATTTAACAGGTCAAGTATGTCCAATACACAGCAGGAAGTGAGGTTAGGTCACTGTCCGTCGTGGTACAAGCCCGGTGACCAGCTCTTTCTACGCAACACTCACCAGTATGAGGATGATGGCCGGTCCGGCGAAGCTGAAGACAAAGTAGTTATCGGTGCGCAGCCAGCAGTGCACGTTCGTTCCATAGCTGACCGGGTCCACCACGCACGAGACGGCTACCACGAGCAGGGGGACGCCGTACGCGGCCACGTAGTACCAGCGCAGCCGCGAGCGCTCCGCCTCGAACACGGTCAGCGTGACGTACAGCTGGAACGCCTCGAAGAACACCCAGAAGAAGGCAGCCATTAGGAAGAAATGCATCAGCCCGGCGAGGACTCCGCACACCACCGGCCGGGCAGTCTGATGGAGGCCGGCCAGGAAGCTGAGCTCCACCACCAGCAGGCAGAAGAGCAGGTTCTTGTGGATGGAGGTGCGGTCCGACTGGAGACCGCGCACCAGGACGAGCGCCACCAGCGTGGCCGACAGGCAGAGCAGCGCCACCGCGCAGCCCACGTACACCACGATCCGCAGCGGCTGCTCGGGGTCGTCGGCCGGCGCGGAGCTCACGTCCGCCAGCACGGCGAAGCTGGTCAGGTGGTCGCACTCGCAGAGCGTGTGGGTGCGATTAGTGAGCGTCACGCGGCAGCCCTCCTCGGACCACATGTTGACCGTGTAGTCCCAGAAGGAGCAGGTCGGGTTGCTGACGTTCTCGGTGACCAGGTGGCGGAAGGTGAGCTGCACAGGCTCCGACAGCTGGATGTGCCGGCCCTCTCCGAGCGAGGCGGACAGCACCAGGCTGTTGACCACTCGGGTGCCGTTGACGGCGCCGTCGGGCCGGCGCTGCTGCCAGGAGAGCGGCTCCAGCACCGTTTCCAGGCCGCGGTAGGCCAGGAACACCACCTGGACGGTCCGCTCTCGGCTGTTGTCGCGCAGCGCGGTCCGGCCGAGCCGCAGCGAGCTGCCTTCCATGTCCCACTGGCGACGGGCGACTTCAGAGGGGAACTCCAGCGCCTCCACCGTGTCAGACTTCTTGTTGTGCACCGTCATCACTGCCGAAGAGATAACGAACGAACCCGTCAGCGCAAGCAGTCAAATGGCTCGATGAATGGGCTAATCTTAGCAGCACACTACTATGTCGTAAATACTGATATTATTGTTAAACCGTCTTATCTGACTTGATATTTCATGAGGAAACAACTGTTAGAACAAACAGCTAACTGACATTTAAGGCAGACGACCCGAAAGCTTCAGAAGATTGAGCTCTACGTTACGATACTAGCTGGTTGGTCGTCATTTGCTGCAAGGACTTTGCTAAGGATTTTGCTTAAAAACTGTGTTTTCCCTCCAACCCCAGACCCCTGTGGCATACTCACGCAGGTTCCTGTCGATCTCCAGAATGGTGCGGTCGGGCAGCACGTTGTCCGAGAGCAGAAAGGCGTTCTGTTCGAGCCCGATCAGCAGAGAGGTGGCCGCGCGGCGGCGCTCGTCGCGGCCCATATCTCTCCAGGCGGCCTGCTGAGAGTCGTCCAGGAGGTGACTGGCGGCGCGCACCACGTGCTCAATCAGCTCAGTGACGATCGCCTCCCTGCGCTCCACGTCCGGGACGGCCATCAGCTGCTGCGCCTGCCGCGAGGCCAGGTGGTTCACCAGGCGCGCGGCGGTGCGCACGTCGCCTCCGAGCAGGCCGTCCGAGCGGTCCGTCACCTGGGCCAGCTCGGCGGCCACGCGCAGGGTCAGCTCCCCGGCCAGCAGGCGCTCCTCCAGCGCCGCCATCAGCACCGACTTGCACTCGCTGAGGTCGGGCCGCGGCGCCCAGCCGGCGCGGCCGGTCGGCGGCGAGCCGTGCACGCACTGCCAGCGAGCGTACCCAGTGGCGCCGCCTGGACAGGCCTGGACGGCCACGTCTCCAGCCCGGGTGTAGTTCCAGCGGAGGCCGCGGGCGGCGCGAGCGCCGCAGTAGTGCGGGCTGGTGGCCAGCCACGGGTCCGGCAGGGCGGCCGGCGGCGGCCGCGACGGAGCTGCAACACGGCACGAACGGTCAGCGGCGGCACGGCGGACGGCGCGGCGCTATAACGGGAGGCCGGAGCGTCCAGCCATTGCAGAGCTGGGCGGGAGCAGCCCTGCGTTGGTGGATCAGGACTAGTGCCTACGCTCACACGATTTGCAATAACCGAGCCACTATTCCAATTATAGTTTCTTTTACATTGGATTTTTTATCATCGCACGATCACTTTGAATGTAATCAACCTTTGAATATAAACAGTCAAATTATGATCCATTGTGGGTACAATTTTACCACTAAGTAGTCGGTACACTCCCACCTAGATGACAGGGTTAGTGGTGAGTCACCAGGTCACACAACACACTCACACACACTCAAGACGAACAGACCTGCCGGCCGGCCGGTTGGAGCTCTCACCTGGTGTCTGCGTGGTGGTGGTGCTCGGCGTCACCGGACCACGCGTGGTGACAGTGGTGCTGGTGGTGCTGGCCGTGGTGCTGGTGGTCGCCGTGGTGGTTGTCGTTGTCGTGGTGGTTGTGGTGGTGGTGCTGGAGCTCTTGGCGTCACCACCCTCCTGCACCACGGTCACCAGTCTCCCATCGGCGTCCTGTTCGACCCTCTGGCGGCGTCCGGTCACCCCGGGTATGACCACCTGTACTCCGTCGGCGGCTCCCTCGGCCGGTCGGCCCGGCAGCCGCGGCCGAGCCGTGGTGGTCGTGGTCGGGGCCGTGGCCGCCGGCGGCCGGCGCGACGAACTGGTGCCCGAGGTGAGCCACAGGTTCGGGTCCGGGTAGGACGAGTACCAGGGCGGGTGCGGCCGCTTGGTGGTCGTGGTAGAGGCAGCTGGAGACCAGAGAACGGTTAGCGTGCGGGACGAGACATGCTACATCGACACACACGGATTCACACGCAAACGGTTACTGGAAATCGACACAAAAGTCTGGCTACACCACGAACGTCTTGAGTTTTATGTTGATTTACTTTTACTTTATTAAAATTCCTTACATAGCAGGTGTGATTTAAGCAAAACATTGCATTGGCCATGCATGTTGCAACGTCCATGCAAATACGTTCCCTTTTTGGTTTCGTCCAAACATCGCGATGCTCTGCAAAATCGATAAATCGATTTGGTGAACGATAGTGTCTCTTTCTCGTCCATTGTTTTACTATGCTACATGGTTTCCTTCCCCCTCATGTGACTACCATCATAAAAGCTCAAGCATAAACGGATCTTTTCGATAATAACGAGCATAAAAAGAACCCAACCTTCGCCATATAGCCGGTATTATACATAGCACATTGTTACACGCATGCATCATGCTGGGGTGACTGGGCGGAGCGGCCATTGACAAGGCTGTTGACGAGGGAGGGGGAGGGGACCGCAGCGGGGGGGGGGGGGTCGCGGAGACACCACCGCCGGCTAATTATCGCCGACGGTCGCTCGACAAACAATCAGCGGCACCGCTTTGAACGGAGACGCGCGGTCGATGGCCGCCGGTGGCCGCGACACGCCACCGCTGGAGAGCCGTACACAGGCGGTGGAGCCGCACCTGACGCCCCGGCCAGGCCGCCGCAGTGGCGTGTCGGGCCCGGCAGCCACCTGGCCGAACTGAGAGGCGGCCGGGGGCGCGCAGTGGCCGCCCTGCAGCCGCCCGGCCGGCCTCAGTTTATCGCCAGACAACGCTCTATCGGCCGCTTTATAGAACAATCAGTTGCCATTTTCTTTATCGGCCGACAGTTACAGCTGGCCGGGCAACAAGTGTGGCTCCGACCGACGGTGGCAGCGGCGGCGACGGCTGACCGACACACAGCGCCTACACACGTGACGGATAGGGGCAGCGATCCGACCCCCGTCATAAACGAGTAGATATAAAAACGGACAAGGAGGATACGCAGCCACATCGAGTAAGCGAGCCGATATATGTGCAAGTCAGGCCACTCAAGTACCGATCGACAGCCCCAAGTTTATGAACGGGAGGTGTGGTAATCAGTTTACCTCGGAAGCGTGCTAAATTTGCAGCAACAATAAACGGCACATTCCGAAAATAGCATAACTTCATCTGATCAAGAGAGAAGGGGGCGAGGGAAGAAAAATTTATTTCACCTCCAACGAGCCGGCACTCAATGCAGGGTTTTAATTGATGCTTTCTGCGTAGACAAGATGATTACCGTATATCTCCTGTACAAAGGTGCATTCCGCAGGCGCAGTGTTAGTTTAGCACGGGCTACAGACGAGGGGTGGGAGCATGCAGAACAGGCGTGCAGCGGGCGGCCGGGCGGAGTCGCCGTTACCTTTCTTGCGGCACTGGTATTGCGCCTCCAGGTATTTGAACGTGCCGGGACACATGTCGTCGAACGTGACGGTGTTGGCCACCACGGCACAAGCCCGGCGCTTCTCACAGCTGCAGGACACGTCACTGGGTTACCAGCGCTGCCTCAGCGGCCAGGAGAGGTCACCAGGCATGTCAGGATGGGTCACTGAGGCTGTCCTGAGGATCGGAAGGATGTTGGATCTCCAGGACAAGCCCACCCCCGTCCCGCCCGGCTCGGGCGCGGGTTGCGGGACCTTCTAGTTGCAGGTGACTCAGGTAGAGCCACAGGGAGAGACCACAGCCACAGCCGAGCCGAGCCGGGGTGAGCCAAGCCCGACAGGACACCGACCGACCTCGATTCGACGCACACGCGCCGAAATGGGCGCCGTCGGCGGGCACGGGCGGCGGCAGGGCCCGTGCCGGTCTTTTGTGCCATCAGCCGAGGAGTCTGATTAAATTAGACTTTAACGGGCGCTGTAGATGTTGCAGCGTGAGTGATGGGGCCAAATTATAGCCCCCGCGCGACCATGGCGCCGGCGGCAATTAGCAATTCTGATTCGCGCCGGGCCGGCCGCCATATCGGCTTTGTTGGCTGGCCGCGCGCACGCCGTTAAGTGTTCAGAGTGATTTGGGCCGGTCGGCCGCGTGCGGTGCCGAATTGTGCTGAGCTGTTGAGAGCCGGACGCGCCGACGGTCGGTCGGTGTGGGGGAAGATGTGGGGAGGGGTGAGGAGGGCGTCGGACCGGCACCGGTCACCGCAGTGTCCGGCGGAGGGCTGGAGGACCGCCGGTGAGCCGACCGGGAGTAGTTAGTGTTAGTCACAGAGAAGGTAGAGCACACACACCACCACCGCTCCGCTCCTCTGGAAAGTCGCCAGGTTAGTTGGTTAGTGGTTAGTGAAGTCAGACAGCACCCGAAGAAGACCATCACCGCCGTCACCAGCATGCTGTCCTCGGCGCCGAATCAACACCAACCTGACACACAGCTGTAGTGCACTTCAATGTACTTAAAGGTGCCCGGACACGAGTCGCCAAACTTCTCGGCGGTGACTTCGACCGAGCACGAGTTGGACACGCCACAGCTGTAATTGGTCGGGCACGGTCAGCGGATGTGCCGAACGAAGGCTAAACACGGTGTCAGCGGGATGCCGACCCGACAGGTCAGGTCACACCGGCCAGCCTGAAATTGGCCGTCAGTAATGCGGCCAGCAGAGGTCAACGGAGCGACGCCAGCACGCAGCCAGTCCCTATACACGGAGAGTGCATGTAACAAGGACACGGGGACACTAGATCCAGATATAAAAGTGGATTAGAGACATGTGCACGCTGGACTAATTAGACACGGGCCCTGACCGTTACGGGCACAATTATGTCGTCCGCGTACTCGAGACAAACACAGGAAAACGACACAAACACTCGCTACAGCACAGCCAGACAGCCTGGTCACGGGACACGAAACCGGGACAAAACCAACATCGCGTCTTCCGAGGCTAAAAACAAACAGCGCAGCATGAAGCGGATCTAATATCACGGATGTTGTGAACCGATATCACGGACATTGTCCGTCGATGACCGCCTGGTTAGAGGTCCGCCCAGGCAGAGAGGGTCTGCCGGGGGCTGTCCTCTGCACGGGCCGCGCCTGCGCTCTGTTCGTGACTGCGCCGACTGTTGCACAATTTCACGGTTTGTCCGTGAAATCGATCGCCGGCGGCGCCCGTGCAGTCCGGTGCAGCTGAGCGACAGTAGAGCTGCGGGGTGCCAGAGGGTCGGGACAGTCCGCGGAGAGGGGACTGACCGCATGGTAAATGGCAGCGCTCTGGCGGGTATGAGACCGGCACAAGACAGCGAGCTGCTTTGACATACTTCACTGACAGCACTCTCACCCAGCCGGAACGGTATAGGTGACAGTGGTCTGGCCTACTGGCTTCTGCCGCTAATCTACCCTGTCACCAGATGACAGCCGTCTGCCACGACACCCAGTGAGGTCCTGCAACCCTCTGACAGTCCTGTCAGCAGGACTGCGAGGTCAGCAGTCCTGTGTGTCCAGCACACGACCACCCAGGGCGGGTCGATCGTTCCGGCCGTCAGAGTGAGGGTGTGAGCACGCACTGACACCTGCGAGTCCGTGCCCGGCACAGCCCTGCACCGGGGGTTAACCGGCCTGCCGCGGCGCCGGGGGAGCCCGATCAGCTCGAGCAGGGTCGGACCGTCTGGCGGACTCAGCAGCTGACAGGCTGCTAGCAGTCGGTCGGTACAATGGGTAACGGCTGGTGCCTCTTCAGAGCCGAGTAGCGGACGGGTGCACAATGCACATTCCACCGCGCCGCCCGAGCTGAGTTGGATGGAGCGCCGCATGCATTCTCAGCAGCTCTGAATACCGAGCCGATCGGGCACCGTGTGGAGTTTGGCCGATGCATGAGGCGGCCGGCCGGCGGGTACCGGCAGTCACCGGCGCCGCCCCCGTATATTCGCCGGAGTCCAGCGGCCGGCACGACACGTCACCGGGCCAGCCCCACCTAAAACAGGGCCAAAGTAGCTGGCGACACGGCCGCCCGCGCCCCCACAGGGGACAGACGGGGGCAGTTTTCAACAGTTCGCCGCGGCGCGTGGCTCCAAATGAGCGGTCGGACGCATGCCGCGGCCCCGTAGCGGCGCCTAATGCCGCCGGCACTGCTGTCATCGGGCGCCGGGAGCCGCCCACCGGCGCCGGCCAACGGCCGCCTTTATAGCGCCAGATTGGCACCCTCGCGCGGCCACCAATTGATTCGCTCTGTGCTGCACCCGTCTGTTTGATGAATTCCGGCCGTAACTCTACTCAGACGGCGACACGGTGTCACACCGCGCCGTGACACAGTGTCGCAGAGCCCCCTCCCCCTCCCTGCCCCCGGTCGACGCCATTCAACTCATAGCGGCGACGCGGCTATGGAAGGTTAGGACCCTGCCCGGGCGCCACTGAACGTGACCGGAGCAAAGGGAGACGGGGGTCGGAGACAGATAAATCACCCCGCCGACAGACGCGGGGCAGACCCTGACTAGGGGTGGTGCGAAGGGGAGTGTAGGAACGGGCGCGCCGCTGGCAGCAGAGCCGAGAGGCGCGAACGGCAGTCGTCGACTGCGACGGACGGCGAGTGGAGCAGAGAGTGGGCGAGAAGTTTCCCACCCACCCTCACCTATTTAATAGATGCGACTTCGAGATTCGTCAAACCTGCATATCCTTAATCCCGACCATATACCTCGTCGTTATCACTCCGTCGGTGCGTTTTTTAGGGGCCGTCCTACCCTACAAACGAGCCGACGCGAGTGGTTTCGGCCGCTGACAGCCAACTGAGGCGAACGCTTGGTGATAGTGGCGCGGGCAACGGGGGCCTAACTTAATTTGGCGTCGCCGTGTCGCCGTCCCTCAGGCCGACACAGCCGTGGTCCGGACGGGGCGCGGCGGTAACTCACGCGGTGATACGGAGGATAGTCGCCGACACACGCCGCTCTGGCTGACACCGAGCTAACACAGCTCGGTCTCAGCACGGAACCGCCTGCTGCACGCCGCCGTAACGGAGACGCCGCTCCGCCGGCACCCTGATGATAATTAAGATATTTCTCACCGGCGCGAGGTGCAAAAAGGCTCGCTCGGACCACTGCGTACGTGCACATAATTTCAGAGGGCGGGCCGACTAGGTCCGGACGGGTTAGAGCCGGTCACGTCAGCGTCGGAGGCCAGAGGCGCCGGCAGGCTCCGCTGGGAAGGTGCAGCTCCGGCGGCGGGGCGTCAGCGGGCTCGGCGTCAGTTTTCCCTGCGAGGACGCAGCTCCGCCGGCCACAATTTCTAACGGGGCGGCGCTCTTGAGCAGTTGTAGCCGCCATTGACACGCTTTCTGCCGTTCCATAGCGAGAATGTGTGTTAACGACGACTTGTGTATACTTTATGTTGAAACTCAATCGAGTGGTGCCCGGCCGAATATCTCGGTTTTTGTTGCTTTCGTTTGTAAAATGCCGGTTGAATTTACCGCAGCCAATAGCCATGGAGCTCGGCGGTATATACCTCCAGCCTGGGCGGAGCTGTCGGAGCTATCAAAAGCTCGGCTGAGCTCCGAACCGCGGCAGGTCAGCTGAGCGCACAGCCGCCCCCCCCCCCGCTCCCTCCCTCTCCCCGCTCTCCCATACAGGCACGGCGTCACGGACATCGCCCGGCGGACACAGAGCTCACGCACGCGCGTGACGTCCGCTGAATCGACGCCGCTCGCCGCTCGCGGTGCCAGCTCGGCTCTTAATGATAGGTCGGTCGACGAGCGGCGCGTTTTTACCCGAGTTTGGATAGTACCGACCGGGATGGGCCGGGCCAGGGCGGAGGGTCGCCGAGCACGCAGCGTTCTGCAGACAATACCGCCTATAGATAGACTGACACGGAGTTTGACAGACAGGGAGACGGGCAGATGGATGCTGTAACAGAGCGCCACACAAACACGGACACACATGACTCACAAACACACAGCACAAACTCCACGGCGCTGGTGGCCGGTGACCCAGAGCCGACCAGCCGGACCGAGACGCCACTTTCTATCCGGCGCCGCCCGACCCGGCGTGGCCCGAACCATGCATCACCGCAGCCCGCCCGGCGGCCGGCCGTGCACGGCGCGGCCATTACCGACTCTCGCCGGCCGGCCGCGCCGCGGAGACCCGCCGCCCGCGGCCGGCCGCCGCGCGGCTCCCGCACCTGGCCAGTCGGCTCGGAATGCGGGCCGAGCGGCCGGTCCGCCGGCAACGCCTACACGACCGTGCACAGGCTGCAGTGGCTCGTATGTCATCCGGTGACATCGCTCGTCGGTTCACCGGTCGTTCGGTGTTTGTCGAGCGTCGCTGGCGCAGGGACACCCGTCCGACCCGGGAGATTCACGGCCATTGATGGGGGTAATGGAGCGACCATGCAGCTGTGGACGCAGTGCGGAGACGGCGTTCACACCCACCCGGCACACACAGACAGACCTGCGCCACGGACGGAGCCCTGCAGTGTGTGTGACCGGAGGTGGGGGGCGATGTGGTCACCCCGGACCGCACTCGGCGTCGTCACGTCCGCAGCCACGCCGCAGGGACGTGCCGGTCCCTCCATACGTGACCCATGACTCAGAGAGCCGACAAAGAAGACCAGGCGGGCGCAGGCGGCGAGAACGCAGCGCCGTGTCGGGGTGACAGCAGCAGCAGCACACACGGCGGCAAACACAAATACACAGGCAGAGCCACGGATCGGGAAAACCCGCACCGCTACCCGGCCAGATGGAAGGCCACGCTTGTAACGTCGGCGGCATAGTCACGCTCCGGCAGCGGGCCAGCGTGAAACCGTTCACGGAATCTGATAACACGACAGCCACCTGGAACTGTAACTCCGAACCAGTTCACACTCACCACTCACAATGGCATACGGAAACAGATACATACATTCCGTGTCACTTTCCACACACCACGATTGCAACACGCATTGTAGCAGCTCCAATCACGTACGTAGGATCTACTCAGGTGAGGCGATAGGTATAGATCAGAAAGAACACACTATCCAAGAGCTCACCTCTGTTCGAGCACGCGCAGGGAGCGCGGCGACATGCAGTTGACGCTCCAGTCCGTGTTGCCCTTCTGGTTGCAGATGGTGATGGAGAACCGGCCGAAGTTGGCCCGGATCAGGTTGATAAGCTCGTCCTGGCCACACTCAAGGTTCAGCGTGGAGCCCTCGCAGGCGTAGACGGTACTATAGCCGGCTGAAAAGCAGAGGGATCACAGTAAGTCAGGAGCACAGAGGCATTCCGGTCATTGATAACGAACACAAAGATATTACGGTCACTGGATATCAGGAACACAGAGATATTACCGACATTGAGCGGTAGGAACACAGAGATAAAACGGTCATTGGGCGGCAGGAATGCAGAGATATTATCGTCAGTGGCAGGAACGCAGAGAAATTACGATCACTGGACGCCAGGACACCACGCACTGGGTGACAGTGAACGCAGGACAGCCCGGCACCGCGAGGGCGGCAGATGCACAACAGACACACTTATACCGATTGGTGTGCCATTATGCAGAGGACATCGGGTCACGCACACACACCAGCAGTGAAGGGACTGGAGGACATTACAGTGTCAGAAACGCAGCGACCGTCTCATCAGTGGCTGGGTAGATCGACATCATCGCATCACAGATCGACAGGGATGGACGCGGCCCGATAAACATCAAACACGATTGGCATATCATCTGGAATCCACCGACTTTTCGTGACAACAGAATAGCGTTAAAGCATCTTTACGCTGAAAACAGGTGCGCTAATACGCCAAGTAAGAAGTCCTGCTCCTCTTTTTCCGCCCACGGTCAAAGTGTGCAGGCGAAAGATGGCTGTCTTGCGACACTTCGGGGGTCTTCGAACTAGGCCAGCAGAGAAGCGTTGGACGGACAGGACAGTACCCTGAAGAGGCAGGCCCGCCACCGTCGCCGCCGCCACCGGGGCCAGAGCAGCCGTTGGCGGCCACTGGAAGGATTTTACGATTTTTATACGAGCACCTCCCTAATGGAGGCGTCTCCATTGAAATCATTAAACAGGCAACACGGCTCGGCCAGGCTGGCCAGATTGGGATCGCGAGCGGAGGACACGGCCGCCGCGCTAAAAGCGCCACGAAAAAGCCGGCCGTAAAGTGATTTGCACCTCGCCGGTTAATTCGAGGCGCGCTGTCTCTCATTTACGGCGACAAAAGGCGTCCTTGGCGGCGCGGCGGCGGCTCTGAGGCGACAGTGGCGACTGGAGGCCGGCGCCGGCGCTGCGGGCACACCGCCACACAGGGACAGGGCCAATCAGCGCCGCTCCGACACCGCCAACAAACAATGGGCACCGGTGGACGGACGGATCGCCCCCGGGGACGGCGGACCACTGTGGACCGGGGCCTTTTATACGTGCCGCGCCACATAGCCATAATGTCGACCCGACAAACACAAACGGTATAAAATTGACAACTCCCACCGCGTGCCGACGCCGTGTACCGTAATCGTGGGTACCTACTGATGCCCGTATACAGCTTGTACCCGGTACCGGTAATCGGAAGACTTATATTATTTACAAAACAAAAACATCCAAGTGACATCAAAGTGAGGACTGTTCGGTGTGCAGGGAGATCATTTTGTAAACCTTGCTTGCAATGCACGGTTGTACCGTTATCCAATGCCACTACAGTTTGTGCATATCGGTAATGTCCCTTTCCCTCTATGACTGTACCGCGGTACCGGTCCCTCCGCTGACTGCATGCACCGTACCTTTTTCCCTCCGCCGACTGCGGGTATATGTAACGGTACCGTTTAGCCGAGTCGGCTGTTTACTTACGTCGGACCAATTTATCTCATCCGAGGATAAATGTGCCCAATTCATCTTGAATGAGGAGAAATATGCATCAGCCGGTCGGCGGCGCCTCTCTCGCTGCCGGACTAATTTACGGCTACTTTAAAATGATACAGGATCAGCTTATAAAGAGCAATTTACCATGATTTATGCATGAGAAACGAGCCTAATTATCCGTGTACGAGGGCTGATGCCAGGTAGTGCGGCCACCGCTTCTAAACACCTTTTATTACCCAGACACGTCCTGCAACCGTCTTTATTTGATTCAGCTCGCCACCAGTTGATGGCCGGGCAGCGGCAGGGGCAGTGTTCCACACCTCTGCCGGCGCCGCGCGCGGCAGGGGGGCGGTGACCGCTGGCTCCCGCAGGGCCCATCGCCGGCCGCCTCTCTTTACGGGGCCGCCGGACAGCCAACTCACCGCTAACAGCACACAAAGGTCCGCTCCGACAGCCATCAGCGCCACGAGTCGAACGCCAGACACGTCAGGAATAGTTTGGCTGAGCGGCTGCTCACACCCCGGGCAAGGGCTCCCCTGGGTCCGCGGAGGGGCAGACCGGATGTCCAGACAGGCTATACCGGCCGCGGCAGGGGCGGCGCACAATGCCACCAGCCAAGCTCCGTCCGGCTCTGTGTTTGCATACACAGACCATGTTAAACACATACGAGGTGCTACCGGCACAGAGTGCAGACTCGACAAGCCGTTTCTAACGATATATCCCAAAAGAAATTAAATTTGCAGATCCCAAACGCTCTGAACATAGACAATCTACATTCAGCAACGCAGCATTGTCTGCAGATTAGGAGCTGCCCTATTCCCAACATAATCATTACTCGGCGTCCGCAGCCTGCCGCCGCCCCCGCCGCGTCCCAGACTAACATCAGCCGTCCGTCTGACCGGGCCGGAAGGTCGTCATCAGCGCCGGCTGGGGCGTGTCGCGACCGACGTCGGCGGCGGCACTGACAGATGATCCGTGTCTCCGCCGTCATCCCGGCCAGCGTCGGCAGCGACGGAGGCCGACGCAGGACGGTCCCGACGGGCCGGACCGGCGGTTGACAGCGCCCGTGCTGACGAGGCCGGCCGAACGCGGTCAGCCGTCTCGGCGGCTTCTGACGGAGCCGGCTGGCGGAGACCGCTGACAAAAACGACTGACAGGAAGCATTTAAGGCATCTGGAATTCGACCAGCTCTCTCTCACCGGCGATTGTTCGCCGAGGCGGTCAGTCGGAGCGTGAGACCTCTGTCGGTTTTCGCTGGTGTGCTCGCTAGGCGTCGGCGGCTCCTGTCCGACATCATGCTGAGAGGTGTGCGCGAGGGAGAGCCGGGGGCGAGCTAGTAGCAGGTGCATCACGTTCCACAGCTCCCCGAGTTCCGCTCTGCATATATCCCTGTCAGAGACGAGCGGCCGCGCCAGACCGTCACCGCCGGGGGAGAGTAGTAGGGGAGAACGGCGGAGACCAACGAATTCGAGACGAACGTCTCCCACATCTGACATCAGTCTGCGACCGCAGAGACGCTGAAATTAAATCGCGGTAATCTTCTTTTGGCGAGCCCTCCTCAGATTCGGCAGCCATTTGTTAGCGGTGGCGATGAAAATGAGTTGGAGACAAGTGAGTCTCCAAGAAAAAGAAACCGACAGAAAAATAGCGCTAAAGCGGGTCTATTCGCTAAGATATTCAAAAGAAATGGGAGCACTGATTAAAAAGGTGCGCTCTGTTGGAGACGACAGCGTCTCAACTGAATATCAAGCTGACAAACTTTCCGAAAATCGGCGAATTTTTACGACCGCGCCGCCGGCTGTGTGTGACCGGGGTGTTGTCGGCGGCACACACAGCCCGAGGAGCGGCGAAGAGCGGCGCGGCGGGGGGCGCGCCGCCGCGAGCCGCTCCAGCGATCACCCAGACAGCGGCGCGCAGAGACGACGCCCCTCTATTGATGGAGAGCGGGAACAAAAAACCCATCCCGCCGCGCCGACCAGCGCGCTGTGGCGGAAAATCTTGGGCCGGATAAACCGCAGCTGTATCAGACGTGGGGTCGGCGGTTCATTCGGGATCCAGAGTTTGGTGCGTAGTCTTCTGGCGCCTCGGCTGGGGGAGGCCGGAGCCTGCACTGGGGTCTCAGGGAACGAGCCTGTGTCTGGAGTCGCAGCCCCAGACCAGACCGAGCCCTGTGCCAGGGTCTGGCCCCGAATGGGGATGTAAACGGGTGGAATGAGTGTGAACAGAGATGCACACGGCAACTAATTCCAAGATGACTTTCCAGACGGGCCACGTTCAGCAGTTATCAATGACAAATCTGCTCCTGACTGCGTCGATCCTACAACAAATTACGAGCTGGGTTCCCCGGCACCTCACTAACAGAGACAAATCTATCGGGCATATGCACAGCAACATAAACAAGCCTGCACTAGACGGCAGAGAGCCAGCACACTCTTGATTGCACTCGTAACGGCCGGCGGCGCGACTGTAAAACATGATTTACAAATTGTTTTTGTGCGGCAGTTCCCCATGCAGGCCGTTTATCGGCAGTGCTCCTGCCAGGCCGCGCGGCGAGGGAGCCCATTGTCGGAGAGGGCCGGCCGGGTGACAGCCGGTCCGGTAATTTTGATGGAGCGGTTCGGACCGCGGGCCGGGGTCGGGGGACAGTGCGACACAGGGAGAGGCGGTGGGTACCGGGTGAGGCAGCGCGAGACACTGCTCGGCGGCGGCGCTGCGGGCTGCGAGCGGCGGGTCGCGGGGTCACGGCTGCCGCGCCCTTCACTGGCGCTCACCCAGCCCAGCCGCCGAGGACAGTGTCATCGGTGCGCTCGGCGAGGGCCGCTCCTCCGCCGCTCGGCCGGTCCCCATCCCCCTCCCGTCCCGTCCGCCGGCGCCGATGGTCCCCCGCTGAGCCAATGTCCGGCTCAAACGGCGCCGACAACGGACCGTCACCGGAGCGCCGTCACCGGGCGACGAGTCAATTACGGCGGCGCGGGGGCCGCCATCCCGGACGGTGGCGGACCGCCGTGGGAAGAACCGGTCGCCGCCCCACCCGTCATTTCAGCAAAAATGTGTCACCCGCGGCCCATCGCCGCTGCCCCGAGTAATTATCAAAATAATTGAAACGCGGATAATAGGCAGTTTCCTTGGCGGAACAGCGCCCGTGCCGCTGGAGCGCCCGGCGGCGGCCGACAACGTGTCGAATCAAGGCCGCACCTCCGCCAGGATGGTCGGCGCCGGTGTGCCGAGGGGCGGTTCGGGCTGTGACAGCGGCTCAGAGTGCGTCCGGACCAGGCCGGCGGACAGGAGCGATCGGCCTTCAGACATCAGTGACAGCCGGCGTTCGCGTTCATCAGCCACCAGCCGTCAGTCCCATGCTAGCAATCAGCATTGAGGAGCTCC